CCCCCATTCCTCAACTGTCAAAGTAACAGCGCATGCAGCGCTCAGATGCCACGAGCAGATATGCGCCATTTGGTAGCTGACCCACGACATTGAGTGTTGCGATGCCGTCAATATGGTATTAGAGACACGCGACGCGGATGCTTCAAGCAGCAAGTATTAAAACCCTCCGCTGCATCTCGCTTGGCCCCTGCAACCTCGGCTCAAGCTGGACCGCAGACATTAGACGTCAAAGTATCGACCCATACCCGTCGACTGTAGCACACTACGTCTATTATGGCACTCCCAGCACGGTTCGTCTCTAGAGCGTCTCCCATGCTCCATGGGCACCGCCGATACGAGTCAAAGAGAAGGCACTCAATCTCCGCGCCACGCCAGAACGGCCTGCCATCGTGGCCACGCAATGCGGTCCCGTCACCCCACGAGATCCTCGGAGTGAAGCCTGGCGAGACGTACTCGAAGGAGCAGTTCCATCGTCTGGTGAAGCTTTACCACCCCGACATGCGCGATGCCTCGGTGGAGCGTACAATTTCCCATGCGGTCCGCCTGGAGAGATACCGCCTTGTCATTGCCGCACACGACATCCTCAGCGACCCGCAAAGGCGGCAGCTTTACGAAAGGCATCATATAGGATGGAGTTCTAGTCAGCGACCGGCGACGTCACAGAGTGCAAGTTCGTGGGATAGGCCAACGCATCATACCGAGTCGCCGAGCCCTATGCGTCAAAAGCCAATTTACACGTCCAATGCCGCCTTCGCCATGCTCCTGTTGACGTTGGCAATGGTTGGCGCCGTGTCGCAGGTCAAGCGCCTCCGGTCCAATCGGGAGAGGCAGAGGAGACTGCAAATCGTGCTGCAAGATGCTATACTGGAGGAGCTTCAGACATGGGCCAGCATACTCGGTGGTCAATCGCGTGACGACCGCATCATGGCATTCCTGGCGAGAAGACACGGTGTGCCGGAACAACTTCAGCGATGGGGTTCGACGTATGCACCACACTTGCACGGGGAGAATGTTCAATTTGTTTCCCCTGCTGTGAAAGACTAGACCTGAACTATTAACACAAATATGAATCAAGAGGATATCGGCGTTTGTACGTAGAAGAGTCGAGCGGAATACGGCGACCTGGTGTCGCGTGCTCCAGTCTTCGTCAGTACCCAGCCGGCTTGGTGCAGTCGGTAAGATCAGCGTTCGGGTCAGACCCAGGAACCTGAGATTGTAAGCTGCGCCTCGTGCCAAAGAAGTTCGTGGACCTGAATACCTTGTGAACGACTGCGAACGGGTCCCAGTCGGCATGTGTATGCGGTGCGTACTCGATGCCGTTCATCATACCATCGACACGCTCGTCGTTCGTGCCATATAAATGCGAAAGAAAGGCGTACGCCATATCCATGCCTTCCAACGCGTCAGGACTGCATATTTGAAGAATGGGTCGTAAAGGGGCATCTGCTCACCTGCAGCCACTCCAGAACTTGACCAGATCTTCCCGTCTTGGACCCAGCGCGCAACCGGTACCCACGTCACGTTGGTCCCGTGGCTCGTCACCCAAGCCCAGCTAGCCTTGTTCGTTGTCGCCTTCTTCCCTTCCAACACACCCGCCTTGGCGAGGCTCACGGCGCCGGTGCAGACGCTGAACAGATAGTCCACCCGGTCGATGCGGCGCCTTATGAAGTCTTCAACCATCGTGTTGTTGTTCTGTTCAAGGGCGACGTTCCCGTAACCTCCAGGGATAAGCAAGACGTCGATCGCGGGCGCGTCATCGAAGGAGTGCGTCGCATCGATGGTGGGTTGGAGCATCCATCCGAAGTCCTGAGCCTCCGTCGCATCCTCAGCCTTAATGGGAGGTATGCCGCCGCTCACCGGGCCGGGCTTTTCAGCGATGACGGAAAGGGTCATCTTGTATGACCTGGAGAGCTGAGAGGTTGTTAGTGAGCCATGATTCGAATGCTTTGCCTAGGGTTGTCAAGACAAGCCTCACGCTGTAGAACATTTCCAGTGGCCCAAACACGTCGAGGGGCTCGAAGCCAGGAAAGACGACCTGTTCACGGCTTAGCATACGCGACACTAGACGCATGTCGTGATTCAGGCCTGCAACATACAACGCCAAGGGAAATCGTTCTTTTCGAATTCGCAGTCTGCTCCGCGGTGCGATCAGGCGCTCCGCCCTGCACAGTCACCAGGCCGGTAAAGGCGAGCAAGATGGAGAAGAGGATCATCGCGCCTCAATAGAATATATCGAGTTTGTCCGAAACCTTGAGTCAAAAGATGGCGGCTTGGGCATGTCTACTATCACGGAGGCAGATACATTCTTGTGGCCATCGAAGGCGGCTTATATGAGGGGGCTTGCCCTAGATCTGCATGCATCATTCCCCATCTCCGACGGCGGTGGTCGGGACATATTGATCCCCGAAGAAAGAACAACAGCGAGAGGGCCGACAGTTCAATTGATAGATGAAGGGGATATTGATGTTATCTCCGTGAAATTCGCGCTGTTCTTCACACTATTTTTTGCATGTGGTTAAATGAGGTCTTATGAGACATTGAGTTACATGGCTTGGTGGCCACGTCAGGCTCGGCAGCTGCCCCATCAAGCCCAAGTGCCGCGCAGCATACTGGAAGAAGTAATTTGCTCATACGCTCTCACTACCTCAGCGGTATCATTGTTGGCTCGAGTCTGTAAGCATGCGGGCTGTTTCCGATTATAGTTGGGTCGTGTCATCTCGATTCCCGGATCGGCACCCGAGAGTACGGAGAACGTTGATGGCCGTCGGGGGCTGAGGTGCCACTTATTTCTATCTGACTGCGGACCTCTACATCTACGGTACGGGCAATGGGCTGTGCAGATGCTCAGGCCTAGGGGTTGGAGTGTGAAGGTCTGTAGTCCGGCGAGCAGCACAGACGTACTACGCCGATGGCTCGTCTACGGGAAAGCTCGCTTTACCCTCCGCTGTTACTAGGTGGCCCGAACTAAGCCCCCTATTTGGATCTACCAAGACATAGTCAATTCATCTGATGTTAGGTGGTCCAGCCTATGCTCAGATACCTGCTTTGGTCGTTTACCGCGTCATCGGCTTGGGTCATGTGACAAAAGCTGGAAGTGGATGATGGGCAACGGCGCATTCGTCAACATCTCTGTCACTACAAGATCTGAGATGTCTGACGTTGGTGACAGGTTTGTGTAACTCAGACCTGGGGTCCCCCGGCCATCTGGAGACAGCTGCTCTACATGTTGAGAAGATGAGTTTGGTACCCGCATTGGCAGAGAGAAGACACATTCTGGATCAGGACGAAGACGAAAAAAGAAAGGCAGGTAGAAGTTGGGGCTGGCTCAAGGCAAGGGAGGTGATGGAACTAGTGATCCATCAGCTCCAACGCGGGTGTCTAGGCAAGCCCATGCAGCCGCCATAGCATGGCGCCTTGGTTAATGATGGAGGGATTGGCTATTCGAGGTGGGCAACGTTCAATATGACGAGTAGCGCCGCTGAGTATGCAACAATGCAGTACGGAGTCGCAAGTAGGTACGAAGTGAAGACCGAAGCAACGTCGCGTGCGAATGTACATCAGCGGAATATCGGAGCTGGACACATGGCTTGTTACTCGTTCAATTCGCGCGAGTGTGCGGAAGGCTGTCTAGTGCCCCTTAGTAGCGGGGGTTTCCAGTTCCCTAGGCAAACTTGTACGATGGTGAGCCCAGAACATGTCGGACCACTTCCGCCCGACCTGATCCATATTACCGTCCGTCATTCATTAACCCGCCATCGTACACCTCAGACTGTAAAACGACCGACTGCGAGACCCCTTTACAGGGCCACGGCAGCGGCGAGGACAGCGGCCATGACGCCACCGACGGGGCCAATGTTGGCGCCAGCAGTGCTGGTGGACGCAGCAGTGGTAGTGCCCGAGGCAGAGCCGGACCGCGTGGCGGTGCCCGTGACCGAGGGGGAGGTGCCGGAGCCGCTGGCGGTGGCGGTCACAGAGGCGGAGCCGGACTCGGTGCCCGTCGCGGAGCCGGTAGCGCTTTCGGAGGCGGTGCCGGACTCAGTCGCGGTAGCCGACTCGGTGCCCGAGGCGGTGCCAGTGGCAGAGCCGGAGGCCGTCGCAGAGCCAGTGGCGGAACCCGATCCCGTCGCGGAGGCTGATCCCGAACCGGAGGCCGAGCCACTCTGGGTGGCGATTTTGGCGCAGGCAGCATTGGCGGCGGACTGGGCCTTGGCAACGTCGGCGGGACTGCACTTGCTGAGGATGCAGCCCGATACGAGGGGCAGCAGCTTCGCCTGCGCGTCAGGCTTGCAAGCGCAGGCAACGTCCTCAAGCTTGCAACCAATCTTGGGGATGGCGTCCTTGAGGCAGGGAATCTAAGGAGGCGGGCGCGGATGCGTCAGTACTTCAGCCAACCGTGCTCAATTGGGGTCCAAGAGGCGTACAGCGCAGTCGGGCTGGCCAGTGAAGTCCTGGGCGGCGACGAGGCCGGCAATGGCGAGGGTGACGAAGGTGGCCTTCATTGTGGACGGCTTCAAGCTGAGACTTGGATTGGGAATATACACGGCGTTCTTGGCACGGCTAGTTAGGCGAGAAGAGTCGAGAGATGCAAGCGGCAGCGGGATGGAAAGGGGAAAGGAGAAGGATGGGATGACAGGTCCTCCTTTATTATTTGTTGTTGGGGGCGACGGCAGCTGGAGCGCCTTGAGCGCCTCACGGGTTGTTCCCCCAACTGGGCTGCGTGGGCTGATGAGCTAGCCTCGGCGGGCACAGACCACGAAGGAAGCTCAAGACAGCTGGAGCTTCCCTGCAGGTGGCTTCAGCCTTGGTTTCGAACGGTACTGGGTACCTGAGACCAGGAGGCACCTGTACCTGCCATGAGGTGGTGCACTGCACGATGGGAAACAGGAAAGACAGCAGCCGAGCCGCCACTGGTTGGACCACGTTGTGCCTCCGCGATGCCCTTCCCCAAAGCAAGCAAAAGCAGGCTTGCGAGGGTCGCCACTGACACTCGAGTGGTAGTGAGAGGGAACAAGAGCGGCCCAGGCGCGAGGGATTGGGGGGATGGGGGCTGGCGCAGCGCCCTCGCGCGACGATCCGAATGGCTTCATCAGGGATGTCTCTGGGGCATCACTCCCGCCCGGGAAAACGTCATCTAGCGTCCCCTTTGTACACGCTACATTAGCGGTACGGCCACGACGGCGCGGTACTTGGGCCCGTCCAGGCACGGCTGCCACAATTTCCACCCCGTCGCCCCGACACGCTGCGCGGGGTAAGATGCTGGATGGTTGGATGGAAGGGTTGGATGGCAAAATGGGGTGGCTTGCACCTGCGTCCGTGTCGCAGCCGCCGGTCCCCAACGCGCCTTGCCCAAGTTGGGACCTCCCTCTAGCTACTTCAGGCTTCGCGGGAGGCGCGTCCTTGATCCTCAGAGTCAGCCCACCCAGCCAGCGCGTCGCAAGATGTCTCGAGCTGCCATGGGCGAGGAGATCGACTACTACCGGGCAGTGGCCGATGACTTGACTGGACGCAACATCAGAGACAGGTCATGTCCGAGGGATCAGCAGGGCAAAAGAGAACGTGGTGACGGTCGGCCTTGCTTTCGGCTTGGCTGCAGAGGTTGCGGTTGAGAGTGGACGGTTGGGGGGACGCGTCGCCATTGACTTTGCAAGGACAAGCCCAGAACCGTCCAAATGTCGGCACAGCAACTTTTCATGGCCTCTGCAGCTGCATGGGTAACTTTGCCGCCACACCGATGCCGCTCGTCCCGGTTCACCACCAACCCCAGCATCTGTGGCCGTGTGCTGCGATGCTATTTCCGGCGGTTCGTGTTGGGCGGTGCGGGCGGCAAAGGCGATGCGATCCAATGCCACTGCATCTGCATGTACGGATACTTGGTCGGCAGTGCCTTGTGCGAACTTCCTGATATCGATGATCGTCTGGTTCCGACGTGCCAGGGCAGACTGCCGCTTTGATGTTCCCACATGCACCATTGAACAGGTTAGCCGGCACCCAGAGGCAATGGCCTCTCTACCAAGCGATGGCAAAACGGAGCAGCTTCCTATGAATGCAGAGTTCGCCAATCGCACAAACATCTGGAGCCCATGAACGCGTCCCGCGCAGGTTGGTTGCGCAAGTGAACTGCAGCAGTGTCGAAGGCCCCGAAGCGCGCCGGGACACACCCAACATGAGCTCGCTCAGCCGCAGTACATCTCGTAGCGCACCAATGGAGCAGGCAGACCTCATGCGCCCAGGATACTACTTGTTTTCGCGACTCGGGAAGTTGGTGATTGACATGGAGCAAGCTGGCAACGTGCCCATCTTCGTATTGCGCGGCTATGCGCACTCACGAGCCTGCACGTCGCGGGCCGCCATCCGTTGGTCCAGCCCGAACGGCCAGGTGCAAAGACCTGCTGCGTTGTGCAGCATAGCAGACTGGCTAGTATACGGAGCGCTTCAGTCGCCGCCGGCCTTGCGAAGATCGATGGGACTGGTGAATCTTTTTTCTTCTAATTCTGGTCAGTGCAGAACCCCTGAGCGTCATGTGGCACGCACATCCCCCCATCGGCCGCCGCTTCGGCCAACACGGCGAGGCCATCGTGGAATCGGCATCAACGTCCGTGTGCTGCATGATTCGCTGCGGAAAGCATGCCTTGTTGGTTGAGCCTTACATGCATTGTGGCCTGGCCGCGTCATCCCTTGCCTCACTGTCCGCTACCATGATCAGACTGTATTGATCAGTACGGGCTCGAGCGCACAGTGGTATACTGGACACCAGCGGCTCTGCAGCTCCAAGGTCGCTGCCAAAGGGCTTGGACAAATTGCCAACAACATCTATTGAAGCCGGCCTGAGGTAAACATGGATAATGAGAAAGGACGCCTCATCCACAGTGGGAGGAAGCATATATATAGTACTTACACGTTGGTGGTTCGTGCATATGGGCTAATCTAGCTATGAGTGCGGACGACAATCCCGCAGTCCTCCAGTGACTATTCCTGATGCAGCTCCGCGTTTCCAGACTTCTTTGGCCGCGGCACGAGCATCCAGCTGATCGCTGTCCCAGCGAGGAGGGCAATCAAGATTGGCTGTAGGACTTTGACGCCTACATTTGACGCGATGACACCGGTGATGACGGGGAAGAGAGAACCTCCCATCTGCGCGACGACGAAGAGGAGCGCGAGGGCCGTTGAATGGAGATGCGCCGGGAAGAGCTTTGATCCAAGCCCTATACCCTGTGGAAATCGTTAGCGGTGCGCATAGACAGAGTTCGGGCTCTATGTCGACCAACGTACGGTTGCAAAGAGCGGCCCAGTGAAGAAGCCGATGAAACTCACGGCTATCGATGCCGCGATGATGTTTGGCACTCTATCTTCTCGTCAGTAGAGCTTCCTCGACAGCGCACCAGCGCCTTGGATGGAGTCGGAAACAGACAGCCAGAACACAAGCTGTAGAGCAATGGAGATGAGCACGTAGCCAAGCACCATCCTCCGCGCGCCGAACCGGTGCGTCGGCTCCGCGAGCAGGAGCCGTCCCAAAAGGGCGCCACCGTTGAAGCCCGCGGGTACGTAGCCCATTTGAGACAGGCTCCCTTGGCGCACATCGACGAGGTACTCGACGACCCAGCCACTGGCAGTCAGGACGGCGCCGAGGTAGAAGAAGAAGAATGTGCTGAGGAGCCAGACACTTGGAAGGCGGGCCGTTTCCTTGATGAGCATCATGGCGCCTTTGTTGCGAGATATTTCTCTCGTTTCGCTCTCTTCTGTCGATGTGACATTACCGCTACCTGGTTCTGCTTCGTCGCTAGTAACCGGCGCGGCCTTCTTGAATCGGAGCGTGTCGCGGAACGCGACAAGCACCAAGGCCAAATTCGCGACGCCAATGCCCAGGGGAACCGTGTAGAACAGATACCACTTCGAGGTCGCGCCCACCGATGCCACAGCCGTGGACACGAATGGGCCGACGAGGCACCCGGCCATGTACATGGCATGAATGAAGGCGAGCCATCGATGCGCGCCCTTGACGCCGGCCACGTACGTGTTCCCGTGGGTGTCCTGATACGCCTGCCCCAGACTGGCGAACCAGAACGTGACGACAAAGAGCGCGAACGGCGGATCCCAGGCGCGCAAGGCGTGCGCGAGGATCTGGACCGCGGCGCCGAGGGCGAGCATCGCGCCGAGGTCGAGCGACTGGGAGAGATGGGTGTTTGTGAGCGCCGAGGTCAGCCATCCCGCGAACGTGGCGCCGTAGCTAGTTGGTCGTTGTCAACATTGAACTCAACGGCAACGGAGAACTTCCAAGTCGGAGGGGGTCACTCACACGCTGGACACAATGGCAGTGCTGACGGCATATTCGCGGATGAGATAGGGAATGAGGGCGCCAAGGCTCCCGTCGTTGACGCCGGCGACGAAGAAGGAGAAGCCGGCGCTGATGAGCTTGAGATATGTTGCGCGGTCGAAGCGGTCCGACCGGCTCGGCGTTGTGGGCTCATCCGTCCGCGGCGGTGGCTCCGAGTGTTTGTTGCCAGGGTGAGACAACTCAATGGCCTCAATCGGCTCAGTCACCGTGGTCGTTGTCGCCATCTTGACGCTGTCTCAACTCTCAAGACCGGCCCCACGAACAACGTGTCGGTTGGTGGTCAAGACAAAGTTCAATGTTCCATCATCATCAAAAGGCAAACACCAGCTTGCCTTGATATTGACCGCCCGACGGAGAAATAGCCACTCCACGTGAGGCCTTGGCCGGCCGCGTTTCTCCGGATGACATGGAGGGCGGGGAAGGCGGAGCCGCCGCGCGGAGCTCGGGCGACGGTGTGGCGGGCCGGTGAGCCAAAACCTCGCCGCCAAGTCGGAATATTCGCGGGCGAGCGGACGCTCTTTCGGACTCCGACACTCCCCGACAGAATCCCTGTCTGGCGGCGGGCAGGCTTGAGTTTCTGTGTGGGCTGTTTGAGGCGCTTCCGTCGCATGAATGAAGGATTCACACGCTTCGTACCTGTCATCAACTTGAAGCAACTCTATTTCTGAAACGAGCGACCACGACCCAGATGCATCTTTGCATTGAATACTACGTACGTACTTCGTAGGGAGAACGAATCAGCGGATTTTTGCTCAAAGAGCCCAGCTGTGGACAGGATGAGCCCTGCTCCAAGAAAGCACGGCTACCCTAAGCCCATCGACGCGCCATACGATATTATTCACCACCAGACCAATGGCTTCCAGCTCAAGTGATTCGATGACCCAGAATGTGGGCAGCCTGAAAAACAGGCACACAGGGTCTAGAACGATCTTGCGATTGCTTTTCTCGAGATGAGCGTCACGATGCATCGGATCTTGGCGAACCCGGCACTTGAGAAAAGCAACTCGTCTAGGGGAAGGTCGAATGCCGCGCACGGTTGCGAATTGTTTCTTCCATGACAGCATCTGATCGCGGCAGTTTGCCACGTTCTGGTTTCCCCTCAGAATCTCGTTTGCTGCCGATGATTTGCGGCCAGGGTGAACCAGATCATCGAACCCAGGATCAGCGTCCGCTCGGACGTCCTGACTCCTGAGATACATACGACGCGTGACATTCACCCAGCAAAGGAGAGGCCCCTAATCTTCTGAGGGTGTTTAAGTCTATCCCGGATTCCACTTGGTAGGTATTGAGTGTCCGGTAGAGTGGACCAATACGCAATAGCGCTTCATTCCGTGCAGCTCTATCTCGTAGACGTGAAGTGACGGCCAAGCGCTTCGCCCGTGTGGTCATCTCGCAACGGAAACCAACATGGGCCCCTGGGGACGGCTCTCCATCGTGAATCCGTGATCGACATGGTCCGGGCGACTTCAACGGTGCCGGCCTAGTACTACCTCGTACACGACGACGGTCCCAGTGCTTCCACGTGCGTTCTAGCCCGCAGTCCTCCGTATCGACTCCATCAGTTAAACGTCAGCTTTGGGTTCTTGAAGGGAATCAGCGCCAGGACCACCGCCTGCGTGTAGTACCCCGCGCGGTCCACGGCGTCGTCCGTGAGGATGCCCACCGACCCGGTGCGCTGTTTCGAGTTTGTCCTTCCGTGGATCAGGTCGTCCGCGTGGCCCAGCTCCATGCCCTCGCGTAGCAGCTTCGCCGTCTCCTCGGGGAGGTAGTACGCCGCCGTGCGCGCCTTGCCCACGCGCCCGTCCCTGCCAATGACGACGACCCACGCGAACGACTCGATGGGACCCCTGCCCGTCGTCGCTGCTGCCTTGCTGCCGTCGACCTCACCGGCGCCACCGCTTGCACTTTCGCCGCGCACGGGGGGTGCTGCCGCCGCCGCCGCCGCCGCCTCACCGTCGTGCCTCGAGTCGTCAACGCCGCCCTCGATGCCCACCCAATAGTCTGCGTCCGGCTCGGCGGCCCGCGCGTTGTTTGCCCGGTTCGTCGCGCCGTCGAGCGTCTCCTGGTCTGAAAAGGGCTGCTCCGGCACCCCCGACGGGACGCTGAGGCTGCGGATGTCGAAGCCGTCGCCGCCGGGGAACATGAGCTCGAACCCCTGCCGCGCTGCCCCGATCTTGACGGGGTTCTTGGAGGAGACAACGACCACGCGTGCCATTTTCGGTTGCGGGAACAGCAAGGGGGCGGTGGGCCAGAACGTTGTCGGCAGTTGAGAAGAGCCTTGATTGCGTCCAATTGTGAATGTGAGGGAAGATCCATGTGCAGGTGAGGGGCGCGACCGTCTATAATTTGCTAGTGCACTGGGCTCTTGCGGGGCATCCAGATATCACTTACGACTCCTGGGAACCGTTTGTTTTCTCATTCCAACTCTCACATTTTCGTCTTGTTCGTCCACGTCAATTCAACTCCTTGCCACGCCGGCCACAGCGACAGCGAGTACGAAGGCAAGGGAGCCCGGCGCAGTGTGTTCATGTTTCGGCAAACCTCGCGACCAACGTGATTGAGCAAGGTTTGTCTGCCGGCGGTGCGGAACGGACTGACATTCCAATGCCTGCCTGGGCGAAATACAGAGTAAGGAAACCCTGAATCAACGCAGACGCTGTGGCGCCATTTGAGGTCAACTCCTGCTTCCGAGCCGCGTCTCATCACCTTGACCCCGACCTGTCGGGTGCTCTGCACGACCTGACCTTCTGCGTCTTCATCGAGGCATGGTCGATCACGCTGCCTGGTGGCATCGTGCCTCTTCCGGCTGCTCGGGTTCAATGTCTTACCAAGGCACTGGGACCTCGTGCCAATCTCGGGTCTCTTCTCGTGGCTCGCGTGGTACGCCGCCGCACGGCTCCAGGAGACGTCGTGTCACAAGTTGATCACATCATGCCCTGCAGCACGGGGTATCGCGCGTCGGCTTTCCGTGAAGCGGCCGGGGTCCCCCAATATTAATCAATCTGTACCCACAAACCTGAGGCCCTGGGCCCTGGACCTAGGCCGAGAGTCTCTCTTGTCTTGTCGGCGGAGCCGATTGAGCGGAAGAGCACTGGGGGCCGATGCGATCGGGCGCGCCGACTAGGGCAGCTGCTGGCCTCTTCAGCAGTCCGCAGAGTGCCCCTGACTTATCGTCAGCCCCGACTGTGAAGGTTGCCACCCGGTCAAGGCCCAAATATCGGTACTCGTCTTGAACGGGATGTACAGCAAGGGCCCGAGCTCTGGTGTGAGGAGGGCTGCACGTTCTTGGGTTGGCGTCGTCAACGTCACGAAAAAGAAAACATCCGCCACCGAGGTCGGCGGAAGCCAACCTTACAGACGGTGAACTGGCTGAGAAAACAAAAGCCATAAACAACAACAATGACGGGGCCGAGAAAAAAAAAAGAGTGGACGGAGACGCCAGATGTTAGCCTGCTCGGGCGAGGTTTCCGGGCGACCTGTCGTCTTCCAATCTCGCTACCAACGGCTTCCCGGCAAAGCACCACGATAAACCGTTGCTGGCGGAAGCGAGTTGGGAGCTGCCAACAAGAACATTGCTGCCGATCACAAGGGAGGGGCGCAAGGAGGTCCGCAGGTGGGTGGGCCTGTCGATGCTGGGGATCAAGGGCGCTCGACTGTGGCTGCGGGCGGCACGGGACGGGTGAGACCCAGAAACCCAATCCGTGAAGCGCCATGCAGGGCTGGCTCTTTGTCCTGCCGGCCGGTTGTCGGTCGAGTGCGAGGCGTGAAGAGTCCAGTGCTGATGGCGATGTAGTTTGCTTGCGCCGGCTCGCCCCTTTGCCCCTTTGCCCCATTACACGCGGCGGTGCATCTGCTGTTCTGCGCACCGGACACAGCAAAGTGTACCTGCATGTGAAGAAGGATGCGGAGCAACCTGAGCTCACTTGCGAGTTGCCCATTTTGCTCGCCCAATTTTCGACCCGCGCATGTCATATGCGCGTCGCCGAGACGAGACGGGCCTCGTGCATCGTCCCAACCTTGGCATGCCATCACACGTGTCGGTCGACAGCTGCAGAGTCGCAACCAACCGCAGTTGCAACGGCTGCAGAAGTCATTAATAGTGCTGCGTAGCGATAGAAGAGGCACAAGCATGTCCCCCGGCTGCAGCATGGGTGGCGGCAATTTGTCATGCCCACGGCCGAGATTGCTCCTCCGACCCATGACAGGTTGAGGGGGGCCGGGGGCCGATGCGATGCCCTGGAGTATCTGCATGCTGCCGGATTCCGAATGAGGCAGGCCTTCTCTCGAGCATCAGAGTCATGCCCCAGGCGGCACAGGCAGGGTCGACCCTGGCCATCTGAAACCGCAGACCCTGTGGTGGGTTGCACTGGCTGTAGCCCGTGCCCGCTCGCCGCCCGCCGCCATTGCCCGTTGCCGCTACTCAGAGCTTCATTGCTTCTCACGCGCTTGCTGGAGGCGAGCTACGCCGTCTAGCACCGCCTGGCGCGCGCTCGCCACTGCGGCTTTTCATCATGGAGACGACTGCGGCGTCCGAAGAATCGCGGCAGTTGGGGAGACTCCTGGCGCCAATTAAGGCACTACCCGATTGACTCGAAGCCCCCCACGGCAGTGGCGTGGATGCGGTGGATGCCAGGTCCTTAGGGCCGGCCGACGCTCCAGGAGTCCAGGGCTCTCTCGACCCGTCTCCAACACTTCCCCAGGCGCCAACGCCAGTGACCCTTCTGAGAGCCGACCGTTGACCAGGGGAGACCCCAGCCTGTGATCGTTCTTCGTTGAGGACCTTGGGGGATCTCGGCCCCTCTGTGGCGCCGTGTCTCGCCCAGACAAAGTCGCGCGGTTGGTGCAGCCTGGTCTTGGAAGACCCTAGCAGGTCCAGGAAGCGAAGTGGCCAGCACGGCGCGGCTCGAGTATCGTGCTCAGCCTTGGCAGTCTGTCGAGGTGGGAAGTTAATGAAGCTGATGCAGGCTCTGCATTATGCGAACATGAACGCCTGGGCAGCTGACGAGGCGGCCATGTCTCGACCGCCGCGTGCAAGGGGGATGCTGTCGCCGTGACACCCAACTCTCCGGGCTCGTCAAGCAAGACAGGGCAGCCCTAGGGAGAGATCTAGTTGCCTGTTCGGTGAGACATGGGCGGAGGCGCCACCCACAAGTCGACGCGCGGGGATGGCATACCGCGAAAAGGCAGCCGGGAGAGGTGCATGGGGATGGCACGGCACGCCCAGCCGACGGATCCTTCCCTTGCTCCTCGTCTTTTCTGAGCGAGGTGTCTCTCAAAAGCAAGGACAACCGTTCGCTCCCTCCACAAGCTTCGGCTCCGCCAGGTCGGATGTGATGTTTCTTTTTCGTCCTCAACGCTCAGGTCCCCCTTCAACGTCAGTCCAACTTGCTCTCTTTCCAACGCACCAATTGAGGCGGCTCGACTTATAACCAGTCCCGCCTCTGCGTTGACGCCCATGGCTTGACGCCTGGTTTCTTGATCTTGTTGCATCCGCTCCTTTACTGGGCCAGTCCATTGGCACCGCGTCGCACCAGAGAGCGCCCCAGTGCAGACCGCTCGCTGTCGCTGTATCACATTGCACCACACGTGTCTACTGATACTCGGCTGGGACATTCCAGTGTTTATCTGTCCCGACGGGGTCCTTTAACGATCGGACTTGGTCGTCGCGTCGACCTGTCGACTTTGCGCTCCTCGGCTACACGCCGATCCCGATGCTCGTTGTCGTACATCTGCGAGATTTCGAGCATCACACACAGCAAAATGGGCTCTGAGTTCGGCGTCCACGCCGACTCCAAGCCGGAGCCAACTCTCGGCCCTGTCGGCATCTTCTGGGCTTCGTGGGCATGTGTTTGGACCACCCTCCTCGTCATCGGCATGGGCTACCTCATCGCCCGCCGCAAGCTGCCCATCTTGCGTCTGCGTGGCTTGGGCATCTCGCTCGCCGCCATCACCATGCTGCATCTGTACTGGATCAGCGTCCAGCTGGGTTACGTCGTCGGCGCGCTCGCGCCGGGTGACGCCGAGTACTGGATCATGGGAATCTACCTGCCATTCGGCATCGCCCTCTTCCACGCGTCTAACAGTCGCTTCCTGCACGTCGCGCAGGCGCAGAGGAAATATGCCGAGCAGGGAGGCAGTGCTGTGGTAGTCCGGGCCGATTCAAGGCGGACACGCGGGCTGCTCGCCCGGTTCAAGCGACTCGACTATACGGCCAAGATACTCGCCGTCGTCGTCCTCGGAATGTTTGTGCAGGTGAGATGGACAGTCGGCTTCTAGAAGTGCACTCGACTAACAATGACCCAGCTGATGCTCACGATCCTCATGTACATCGTCTCCCGAAAATGGCACAGCTCATGGGGCATTCCCGGAACTGAGGTGACGGGCACGGAGATGGAGCAGAAGATGCAAATGGGCCGTGGATGGGAGTGGTGAGTCAATATTCTTCCGCTCGGACCGTTCCCTGGCTGACTGACTAGGTGGCCGTCCGTGTTCTGGCAATTCTTTTGGGCGTGGATCGTCGCCCCGGTGATCCTGTGGAAATCGAGAGGTATTCACGACACGCAGGGCTGGAGAGTACAGACAATCGGCTGCGCCGTGTCCAAGTAAGTCTCGCCTATAACCGCTTGCCACGCCGTCGCTAATGCCTGCAGTCTCCACGCGACTCCCATGTGGTTGATTGCCCTCTACGTCCCCGGCATGGAGCCCGTTAACAAATTCTTTATTCCTCCCCAATGGTAAGTACCATGGCAAACGTGATGCGGATAATCTGAGTAACACCAGCTAGGATCGCCGCCTCGATCATGTTGACGGAAGTGTTCACCGTGTTCCTCCCGTGCTGGGAGGTGATGCGGCACCAGACGCTTCGCCAGGAGACGCTTGACTCCATCGCACAATGGGAGTCGAAGAACAAGGTCTCGAGGAGGACAGAAAACAAGTCTGTTCACACAGCATCTTCAACGCGCGTCGAATCCATCATGTCGGGGTGGAAGTCGACCAACGGCTCCGTCAAGACGACCAACTCGGACGAGTCAATCCTTACCATGAGCGCCCTCGAACACGTCCTCGAGCGCAATCCCGCGCCTCTACAAGAATTCTCGGCCCTGCGCGATTTCTCCGGCGAAAACATTGCCTTTCTGACGAGCGTTTCTGAATGGAAGAGCTCCCTGCCGCCTGCAGTCCGTGACGGCGAGTCGAGAGACCCGAACACGAGGGAATTGGTGCGCGAGCGGTTCAATCGTGCTCTGCGCATATACGCTGGGTTCATCAGTACACGAGACGCCGAGTTTCCCATCAACATTTCGTCACACGATCTGAAGAAGCTGGAGAGCATCTTCGAGGCGTCGGCCCGCAAACTTTACGGCGAGAAGTGCGACGTCGACCCAGCTACGCCATTCGACTTCCCGGCGCCGCCCGTCGAGCGATCGGCCACCTCGTCGTCTGAGGATTCAGAGAAGACAGCTGCTGAGTTGATCGCCGCCGCACGAACATCAATCGCTGGAGACCGAGTGCAGTATTGGGGCGAGATTCCCGATGAGTTTGACGAGACGGTCTTTGACGATGCGGAGAAGAGCATCAAGTATCTCGTCTTGACAAACACTTGGCCCAAGTTTGTGCGCAACCGGCGGTCATCTATGGATACCATCGACCCGGAATCGCACACCGACGTGCTCCAGATGGTCAAGGAGAGGCATGGGAATTGAAAGACGAGGTTCTGAATACGCTGAGGCCTGCCGGGCATCCTATTCTGCTTGTCCATGATGAGCGCTTGTACACTATCAACGACGGCCTAATTGCCACGTAATCAATACCCCAATACAAAGACGTGTCTTACACTGCATGCCAATGGCACAACCATGATTGCAGGCGCTCGCGACGTGAAATTGACCAGTGCTCGTTGCTACCATTCGCTCCATAGCCGTGTTTGAGCCTCAAACATAATCAGCGCCACGAACAACGATTCTGCGTCAATGAGACACCCAGTTATGGCAAGTTCGTCTGCAGTCTTGTCTATCAGGATATGCCTCCCAGCCCGGAGCTCAACAAACCCCACTGACAGCCCAAGGAAGGGTCAACAATGTACAAACCATGTTCTCCCAGTTTGTGTACAAGAAGCAGCAACGAATGCTGCTCCTCACACGCCAGAATGCGCCAATTATGCAGTGATTCCAGCCACGGCTTTGTCAACGATGGAATTAAAGCTGAAATGCCGGACTCTCCAGCCGCCAGACCTGATGGCGCACGCAGCAGTTGCGCATAAGCGCCCAGCCACATGAACGGCCAGCGCACGCCAGCACACGTGCATGCCCCTCCGAGCCTCCCGGGAATGCTCCAGAAGCGTCCGCATGTCAATATCCACCCCCGGACTCGTCATGGTCGGGTCATCGGGAGGGCGCACCGGCGACACCGAGGACGGCGCCGAAAAAGCGGGGCCGCCCCGACTCATGCACAATTTTTATCTTTATCTTCACCCCGTTCCTCGCATTCGCATTCACTAAACGGTTCAGAACGCAGTTTAATAGAAAGCATTTGATGAGCACGCGCCCCCGGACAACACTCTTTGAACCACAACCCACGATACCAAACATCCACTCTTGAAGAAGGCGTACAGCTTCCACAGCCAGTCACTCCAGCCCGCCATGACCGTCACGCCCCTCGCTTTCCGACCGGCAACCGCCGAGGACGCCGCCGCCGTGCTCGCCCTCGTCCGCTCCGCCTACCGCGGCGACTCCTCCCGCGCGGGCTGGACCACCGAGGCCGACCTCGTGGCCGACGAGCGCATCGACACGGACGGCATCCTCGCCAAGATCAACCACCCGTCGGGCGTCGTCCTGGTCGCGCACGACTCCGCCGGCAAGCTCGCCGGCTGCTGCGAGCTCCTCCAAAAGGACGGCGACCTCGCCTACTTTGGCCTCTTCGCCGTGGACCCGACGCGCCAGGCCGGCGGGCTCGGGCGCAGCATCCTGGCGCACGCCGAGCAGTACGCCAAGACGGCCTGGGGCGTGCGTTGCATCGAGATGTGCGTCATCTGGACGCGCGAGGAGCTCATCTCGTGGTACGTCCGGAGGGGGTACCGCAAGACGGACAGGACGCTGCCGTTTCCGTACGCGCACCTCGTCAACGGCAAGGCGCTGCGGGATGACCTTTACTTTACCGTCCTGGATAAGGAGCTGTAGACTGGTGTGTCCGGCATGGTCTGGTCTGGTCGCAGCGGGGTGCGTGGAAGGGGAGCGATTGTCAATGCAAGGCGTCTGGGGTGGGGGGCGGTGGCATAGACGGGGCATTCATCATAGAGTCTGGTCAGCGTATCGCCTGAATTTTTTGATCCTTTGTTGATTTCATTTCCCTCTCATTCCGAGGGCTTTGTCGTCGCAAAGCCCAGCAGCGTGATCAGTGCTTCCTCGTCGGGCTTGGACAAGTCTTTTTCTCGCCACACTTTGGCCAGGCGCATGCCACTCTTGGCCATGACCCTCTGGCTGGCGACGTTTCGCTCCGTTGCCACGGATGTCACACACTCGTCCTTGACGTCGCCGTCACCTCTGACCGTGCTGGCCTCGACGCGCGCCTCCACCTCTTCCCTCGGCAGCGCCCACCACCGGCGCAGAAACGCTTGGAGGAACTCTGTCGCATAGCCCTTTCCCCAATGCTCAAACCGCAACGCGTAGCTGAGCACCGGCCAGCCCAGGTTACCGACACGGCGATGCGATCCTCCGATGCCGATCATCTCCCCGGAGTCGCGCAAGCAGATGGCCATCTCGTACGTGGCCAAATCGTCCGCGAGCTTGTCACGGAGTATCTTCCGGGTGACTTCAACGCTGGCATTAAAGACAGCGCGGCTGGACCATTGCACTACTTGGGGCTGTGTCTGAAGGACGTGCAAAGTCTCCAGGTCGCTGTCCGCCAACGGCCGGATGAGGAGTCGCGACGTTGTGATGGGCGCACGCGACTCTGTGAGAGGGTATGGGACGGTTGGAAGAGTTGTCCTGACTGTGACCCACTGCTTCTCACTCGGCTCGGGCATGGGCGAGGGCATTGCGATGAAGGGTGCATGCATTGACGGAATGTGCGGGGAATGAATGAGGCTGAAGTTGAGCGGCGATTGCAGGCGTGGCGATTGAGCTGATTGCAGCAAGGCTCTCGCGATTGGCGCAAAATGTGCCTGTACTTCGTTCTATCCCAAAGCCATACGGGTGCCTGATCGCGGATAAAAATCGCCATGGGCTTTGCTGATCTGAATCCACTATGACTGTGTGCGATCGATTGATGTGGTCGTATGATAGTAATCACTGCCTGGCAACGAACGACGGAGAAATTATATAAAATTGAAGCTCGCCTCTCACGCTGACTACCTATTTGGCCCTCACACCCACACGCATGGCAGAAGTTAGACGGCACTCTGCCAAGAGCTTGGCGATCCTAGCTCCCGCAGATACCTCCGCAACGGGGTCGATCTCCAGTATCTCATCAAAGAGTGCCAAGTATCACTCCCTAGGACGGCAGACCGCGGCTCAACACTAGTTCAGGTTAACATGCGACAAACACAGCCCCTTCTCAGATGTGATACTCACGGTCGCGCTACCGCACTTGCAGACACCATGTGTAGCGGTGCTGCTACAATAGTAACAGCTACAATCGCCAACGCCGCCACCACAGCAATCGTAGCTGATGTCACATCTCCCGCCTGCGCCAATGCAACGTTTATCGAGGCTCTCGTCTGAGGTGTCGAAAACGGCCGGCGTCGCCAATCCGAGCCCAACCATGGCAACGAACACGGTGAGTGTAGCCTTCATTCTGGATGAAGCTGGTCTGCCGCTAATATGCCTGAGAAGAGGTTGACGGTGAAGCCCAATTCAGATGTACTCCTTAACACGGAATTAATGGTTCCATACGAGCAGTATAACGGCTTCTCACGACTGCTGCAGCCTTTTAAAGAAAGTCGGCGATTTCGAGCCAGGTTGGGTGTGTTCAGGTGAGACGACATAGGGCAAGGATTTGCAGTAAGACGGCCGAACTTGGGACCGAAGAGTTTCAGTCACGCTTTCTGTTGGCTAGTTTATGACTTGGAGGTTGTATGCGTATTAATACGATATGCGTTAGCTCTGCGCTTTCTTGTAGCTGATGTCGTATCGATGTCGAACAAACGGACGTGCCACGGTTCAACCTGTCTCACCACGCCCGGATGAACGCCGAGACCTTGCCTTTAATGAACATATTATATGAAGTGGTGAGCTTTCGTGGGGGCATGGGGTAGCGAGCCATTCCTGTCTTATGCAGAGTCTCACGGTTAGGACTCGGCGTTAGAGGAAGGCAGCGCGCCAACATGAACAACCACCGCTGCACAACATGATTATCCTTTGCTATGGGCATGGAGATGTGGCGGCGGAGTCTCCCGCGTGAAGGGAAAATATTGCCTGAGCGATTTGTACATGGCTGCCAAACGCGTCCGGAACGAGTGAACATTGAGGTGGCAGTACTCAAAGTCCAGTTCAGCTTTTGCAACGACTCAAGCTCCATGACGGTCCTAATTGGCTTTATCGTCACCAATGTGATCAAGTGCGGCACATAGGGGCACGATTCTAGGGCGAGCCTCAGCCAGACTCTTCGTCCCCACTGAGTGGCCACGGTGGGACAGCGGTGATGGTGACCCTGATCATGAAGCCTCAACAAGCTCGATACGCCGTGACATACAGCTCAGCTGTCTGAGCAACACTTTACCACGTTTGTCAATAAGCGACCCAATCCTTTCCTTTGAAGATCACCAGAGGCTACGTGCATGGCCCCGTCTTCGTGGCGGCAGGAGTTGATGTTATCACGGACCGTGCCGCTGCAAAAGGATGCAAGCTTGAGGTGTTGACAGCTGAGCTGGACCCAAGGCCGCGTGTCCAGGTGACGAAGCCTCGTCCGTCTTTATGTCCGGTCCCGTGCCGAATGTTCTGTAGGAGTGGTGGCCGTTATCGATCCCAGTGGGGGGCAGCATGTGGAGTTCAAGAGCTGCTGTGGGTGCCAATAAAGATCAATTGTGGGCAGGTCGTAGAAGTGATTTAGTCGCACTGCGATGGAATCGTGACATGGGTTCCTGGTGTCGTCGTGGAGGGTGGAGTCAGGGGACTTTCATGGGTTGACGTAGCCTGACACTCCCACGAGGAGGAGTTCGTGAGGTGGGGACAGCCCACGCAACGCGTCCCAGGAACCGAAGTTAATTGAACTGTTGGCCCCGCTCGGCTGCTCTTTGTCGAAGAGTGTGTGCCCATCGTACGTTGCGCGCTGACGGGTGCATCGAATGACTTGGTAGCACTCACGATGGACTCTCGGCAGGTTCCGGTGGCATCGTAGTTGGTTGACTGCATGAGTGAAGCGTCGTAGGTCGCAGGCGGTCCGAGTGCCTTGAGATGAATGAGGATGTGCTCCTGGAAGCGAGTGGGCATATAATGTTGCACTCGCCTCACCGGCTTACTGTCGAGACAATCCAATCCCAATGGTCCCTCCTTGATCATCATTCCTTACAAGATTCCTTGACTGATTCTTCCAATTCTGCCTTGGTGGCACACATTTCAGGTCCTCGGCCATCGTCTCAGTTCAAGATGAGAGGCCTATCTCGGGCGATCTGCTTGGTGGCCGCTGCGGGCGTCGGGGCTCTCCCGGCGAATGACGCCCAGTCGACGCTTCATAAGTTGTCGAGCAGCAGCAACACCATGGTCAGAAGCATGCCAATCATTAATGCCACGCGGATTCATACCGTACACAGCTCATTTGCCACTGCTACTCTGCGTCTCAATACAACTTCTGTTTCACCCACGGTTACCTCGACGGAGACTAACAAGTTCGGATTCTCTGGAACCTCAACAGCCACATTCCACAGCGCCAGCTCAACTGTGACGCTGGCACCAAACGTTCATTGGACACAAGATACCAAGGAGGTTAAAAATGTTATCCCTCTTTCACCTGAAGAGGGATCTCAGATGTACTATGGCACTGGCGGTAAGGACCCCAGTGAAGTAGACGTGACTAACGAACCACAAGTGTGCTGATGTTCATTAGACCCATTAAAGAAGGGCCAATTTGGCCTCATCACTTACAACTTCATCTCACCTTCGGTCAATCTCGATCACAGTGACTGGATCAAGGTCGACTATGATGAGAATGAGGGCCTTAAGGTCACCTTCACTAATCAGGATGCTTTCAATCACGCCAAGAAGACCTGGCTCCCTAAAGACAAGGGCCTGATTCTGATTGTCTTCATCGATGCCTGCGAGGCATATAAAAGTGGCGAGAGATGCTACTTCAAGGCATCGAACCTCGATGTGAGTCCGGACGACATGACGATTATGGTCTCAGCCGAGCCACGCCATCCGAATGATCTCATTACTTCTGGCGAGTCCCAATGGGGTTGGTGGGATCCCTCCGAGGGGTCAAGCCTGGCAACGAATCCCTCGAAGGCTGGAAATGAGCAATGCCAGGCAGGCAATGATGGACCCACCAACGACTTCCTGAAGCACATTCACCCCGATACTACCTCGATATCCGACAACGGGGCCAATGACCGCCGCAGCATCTGGTCCTGGATCGATGACCATGTCGTTAAGCCAATCGAAAATGACGCCAAGGAAATTCTGGGAGACATGACTATCAGCGACGATTTCAACAAGAGCCTCCCATTCAAGTTTCCTGAGTCCGGCACGGGACCCTCTGCGGTGTCACCGTGGGGCGGCGATAGCATGCTTCTATGGTCGATCGGCTCGAAGTCGAAGGCATCTGTGGATGTGTATTGCGTTGGCTGCGGTGTCTCGGGAGACGCCAGGATAAGCGGCAAAGTCAAGTGGACGCCCGCCACGGGCTTTACGGAGGGCGAGGCAGACCTGCATCTGGACGCGCAATTCTCGCTCAAGATCGGTGTCGACGCCCACGCTCAGTTCAGCCAAAGCTTTTCCAAGGAAGTCTTCGAGCATACCTTTAACATGACGGCATTTGGTGGTTTTTCCATCATACCTACCATAGGCGTCAACGTCACCGCCGATATCGCGGCCGCGGCCCAGGCCGACGGCAAACTTCTAGCTGGTGCCGAGATGGGTCTACAGGATGCACATGTGATCTTCGATCTCGTGGAGCCATCTAGAAACGATGTTGGGGGCTGGTGGCCATACTTCAAGCCTGTACTTCAGGCCGACGGCGACGTCATGGTCAGTGCGTCGATTGGCCTCCCGATTCGGGTTTCGTGCCAAGTTTCGATGGGTCTCATGAGCGTGGCGGCCACGGTGATCGACGAGCCGTCGGTAAACGCTACTGCTCAGGCCGCGGCGTGGGCGGAGCTCAATGGTGGCAAGGTCAATTGGGGCTTCAACGACACGGATGGCTGCACTGGTGTCCGGACGCGTCTGAGCTGGAGGAACAAGCTCCTCGCCGACGTGAAGAGTGCGATCTACAGCGGCAAGATTTTGCTCTGGGACTCATATGACCGGCCGCTGGGACCCAGCTGCATCCCGTAAGTTATTCAAGCTTCCTGCGTCAATCATCCTCTGGGTTTCTCCATATCACTGATGCTTGTACTTGTTCACACACAGATTGCCGGGGGGGAACACCATGACGGCGTCGACAACCACGGTTACATCTACTACCGTGCATCCAACTCCGCCTGCAACAGCGTCTGAATACACAACCATGTCGAAGATCACAACCACTCCCAACTCTGCAGTTACATCTGGATCTGGCTTCACGACATCCGGTGCCAAGGGGACCTCTTCCATCGAGACCGGAGCGATTCCCGTACCTCTTCCAACCTCCTCCTTCGAGACCGGGACGATTCCCATACCTTCTCCAACTGCCTGCACGCCCTGTCGATGCCCCGTCCCGAGTAGTAACGGTGAGAACCCGGGTTCACAACCGAGCATTCCGACCCAAGGAATTCCCGATGGCTCGGCAACAAACCACGCACAGCCCGTGCCGGTTAAGTCATATACCGACACAAACGGTTTCCAATACGGCCCGTTGGCGAACCGTGACAACACTGTTAAGCTCATGTCCTGCAGCAACGGCGACGCGTATGCTGCTCGGCCCGGTGAACCTGACTCAAACGGTTGCTCCGACCAGTGGACTGCCCAATCGGACAAAACAATTGTCAGCGATGGATCTGGAAGGATGATGCACTACTTCAACGACACTATGTCGACTCTGGGCGTTTCCAAACTAAGCGTTTGCAGCTGCGCTAAGCCTCCTGCCACTGGTGTCTGGGTCGCGCTCGCACCGTATCAGAACCATACGGCGCCCGACGCCGCCCGCTATGTTGCCGTCGACCCTTACAAACACGTGTATTACCCCGTCGTATGCGGTTTCACCGATAAGAAGGGGTCTCAGGTGTTCCTAGTGAACGATCCTGCCAAGGGCATTCAGACGCTACAGAGTGCAGCCAGCAAGTCGGTGACGGGCTACACTGTCGATAAGTGCCACTCATTGGTGCTCTCCCCGACGCGATAAAACCAGATTTATATTAGGCCGAGGGCTTCTCGGCAGGGTTACTTGTAATGTTATGGTAGTAATGAAGAGATAGAGCCACAAGCTCATTTGCTTGGAACTCTGCCTGCGCCTCCCGGTATATCAACACATTGAACTTGGACTAGCAGATCGACACTACGTGTGCACAGGCTCTTAGTTTTTCAGCACTCCATGTCTAGACTACACTTGGGAGTTATCGTCACTACATCGTATGTCCTTATAATTTCACCCTTTAAGGGAAGATAAAAGAGCTGCAAAGTCTTGATCGACGTTATTGAGAATACTGGTTTTAAAGCCCCTCCATTTTCCAAATACGTGCGTAGTACCCTCCCGAGAGGCTTCTCAGTGAGATATCAGCCAACACGGGCGTCCCGTATAGCCCCTGCCATTGCCATAATTATCTTCATCACTGTATGTATCGAGCAGGTGAGCCAATAGGTTTCAAGTCTGGTTGCTTGTCTCGCGCATGTATAGTATTCGTGCTCGTAGCCGGAAGGGTAGTGCCAGACTTCGTACAGTCTTGGCTCTTGGTCTCGGTCTCAGACCCGTTAAGCTTATAATGTACCTGATTTCCGCAGTGATAAATTGTGTATTTATATTATAAGGGACAGTACACAGAAGCAGGGGTTTTGCCAGTTGAGGCGAGGCCTGCAAGGCTGAGCAGAATGACTCCTGTAACGCCAGCCACGTCAAATCCTCAAAATATCCGTATTGTTCTCAATGAAAGCGGCAGAGTCGCCGCGAAAGTTGTCCTCCAAAATATCATTCTCGTCCGCTGACCTGAACCACATAAGCTTGTGTTCATCTTTCCACTGGGGCCAATGGGCATAGTCCTGTATGCCCTCGTTGGGGTCAAGGTGGTGAATAAAGTTGAGATAATAAGTGCGGGTGCTCTTCATAGCATGATTGGGCATTATTCCATAGAAAACCTGAAGAAGGTCTGATGCATGGAAAGTGCCAAGGAAAGGAGTGCCGTAGTCATACGATGAAATATAAGACCAGCTCGGTATATCAGGCTTAACCTGAGCAATGAGTTTAAGAGAAAGACGACGAGTTAACGTAAACGTCACGTCGCCGAGAATAGCAGCCATGCGCTTGAATCCCGGATATAACTCGTTAGAAGTGCCAGTACGGAAGGGGCTACCTTTGACGGTAGACGGCTCATATAAACTAGCCCATCCCCTTAGTTTGTCCTTAGGCGCGTTGTGGAAGAAGAGATCCCCGAGATAGTTTGTGATATCGTCGATGCTTGAAATATTGCTCTGAAAAAAAGAAAAGAGTGTTCCCTCATCTTCTTGGTCGCCGATAATAAACGGAACCGCATAGAAGCGACCGTCTTTGATAAGATTGATAGGGTTATCGGGAAGGACGACGCCATCTGGGCGCGGCAAGTATGAGAGCGCAATCGAGTTGTATGATAGAAACGTAGGCACTGAATTAGCGGCCTCCAGAAACGCATCGAATGGTAGTTGGCGTAAGCACTGAAGTGTATCCGCACAACACTGGCAACCGGCTGCCCGGACAACAGCGTCGTAGACAGCCTGGCCCTTGGGACAGTTCATTGGGTCCGCCGGTATTGCGCTGCCCGAGTTCATAATCGCTCCTCGGAAGAGAGGATTCCCCTTATAGCTGGCGTTGCCACCGTATAGGAGCATCTGGTCGAACACGGAGATGGCGCCGGCGGACTGGCCCCAGATAGTGACTTTGGATGGGTCGCCACCAAATGCTGCAATGTTATCGGCAACCCATTCGAGGGCTAAACGTTGATCGAGTAGGCCGATATTAGCGCTCCGATCTTTCATGACTTCATTTCCAGGCATGAAGCCGAAGCCTCCAACCCTATAATTCACCGACACAAAGACGAAAGCCTGTTGCTGGTCCATAGCAGTCGCGAGCAGATTTCTAGCGTCATAGGTATTCGTGCCTCCGAGCTGAAATGCCCCTCCATAGATCCAAAACAGAACGGGGAGCTTGTCGTTGCCTTTGGTGCCGGTCGGCCTCTGGACATTGACAGTGAGGCAGTCTTCCTGGCCGATGAGAAATGTCTTTAGGAAGGGAATGTCACGTAACCGACTTTGAATCTTGCCTAGACTGTCCAGAGTCTCCGAGGAGAGGTACATCTGAGGGCATGCAGGAGGCTCGAACTCGCCATCGATATCTCCTGGATCTGAGGATAGACGCTGGGGGGGCTTAAGACGTAGCAGGCCGACCGGGGGATCTGCATATGGGATGCCATTAAAGGTTTCTACACCCAGATAGGTGCTACCGCTGACCCTGCCACCAGTAGGGATGTCAATGGCGACTCTGTTGGGACCCTCCTCGTTGGCGTTGGCTTCCACGGCCCTTGGAGCAGATATGGGATTCGGTGCAGCGCCAAGGACTTGCCCCAGAGCAGGGGGGGCCAAAGCTGTCAACAGCAACAGTCGCGGCAGTGCCGAGCGAAAGATGTACAAATGCATCTTCATGAATCAGCAACAGCTTTCAAGCTATTATTAAAGCTTCAATGTGAAAAGAGCGACCGACTCTCGCAGAGGGGCGCGTGCTTGTGCCGAGCGTGATGAGCAAATACAGTAAAGAGTGAGATCGTGTGTCTTCAGCATGAGGAATACATGCTCGCTGGGCTTCCTATAGTGTCTGTATCCAAGACGGATACATCCGCCGCCCTCACATTCCGTGCCACTTAGAGCATTGCAGCGTTCAGCTCAGCAGGGCCCCAGGAGCAGTCCACAGTCATACGACCAAAGCAATACTATTGAAGCGGTAAACCGCGTGGAGGCAATCGGGGTGGATTATCAGCAGTGGACTCTGTGCATCTCATGAAGGGGTGGTCAAAGCCACGAGAACTGCATTGAATGACTTGACTCGACTTGGATCAGGGTTAGGGTTAAAGTGGCTTCCTGGGTTGGTGCCAAAACCCATGTTGGGCCGCGTGTGATCGTACGGCAACAGTGAACTTTGTTCGCATGCCTGGCCCAGCGATGTGGACTGACACTGGCCTCCAACCAGTAGCAGTTTGTATGATGTGGTGGCCGCAGGTAGGCGGGGCGGTTTCTGGGGTGCGTGAACGACGGGCGCAAAGCGGGGGCACGTAGGAGGAACGCTGCAGGCCAAAAATCCCGAGGGGTCCAGGGGCAGAGGCAGGGGGAAGTCGCAACAATGAGCACCGAATGTTTTGGGTCATTAACTCTGTTGTGGGTGAGCAAGGGTCGATGGCGTCTCGATTCCGGGTCCGCACCTGAAATTGCTGGTTCGTTCGCTAGACTTTACGCCGCAGGCCCTCCAGATCCTTATCAGGCGGGTCGCAGGGTCCAAGCCGACAGTGACCGGGGCTGGGATGACGACAGTGACATCCCTGGGGGTCACACTTGCGTGGCCGCTTGCGACGACGAATGTTGGGGTTTACATTGTTCTCATGATAAGCAAGGCGGCGTCATGGGCGATTCCATGCCATCTTTGACGCGACGCACCATGTGACCTTCTGTGCCTTACATGCCGCCATAGCAGCCGATAGCTACTGGGCAACGCCGGTGGGTGAATTGGTGGTGATCGTTGCGGCGATGATGAGGCGAACGTCTGTGGCAGTAAGACACCATCATAGTCAATTAGCATTCTCACATCATTGCGACTTGCTGCCCGTCGGCGAGAGCGATGTGTGTGAACACGACATACCGAACGTATTAGCGTCAGCTCTGCTGTAACATGGCCGACTGCAGTTGACCGTAATCACCATGGCGAGAATACCGTGGTTCTCGAAAAGTCCGACTATGGGCTAATCCAGGTTGGAAGGTAGCTAGCATTGCCTATGACATATATAGAGGGAGTCACCTTTCCATGGGGGCATGTGCGTCCAATAATGAAGGCAGGATGAACAAGCCGACATTCTCATTCACACCATGTATTCTCAGGAACGTTCACAACAGGCGGTACATTCTCATTGCAGCCCATAAGGTAGCCCAGACAGTCACTCCAACGACCAACAGATTGATGGCTGAGCTCCTGAGCGCTTTGGCAATGACAGCTCCAAACGCATTGGCCAGGATATCGGCCTCATTGCGGTGAGGAAACGGAACGTCGGGAACACTCTTGCCAAGGAACTTGCACAGGGGTTCCCATCCGCTCCCGAGCCGATACTCAAGCAGTCTTTCCTTGGGCACGGCTCTGCGCACAGCTTGGTAGTGCTGGCGATATGTCTCGCGCGCGTTCTTCTTGGCCGTGGCGAGATTGGCGGAACCAAAGCAGCCCTCGATCCACAGCCGGCCGCATGTCATGATCCTGCCGAACCAGAAGGGGTCCGTAAACCGCAGCACGTACTGTCCAAACGGGTTCAGGATACCCTCCAGTAGGCCGGCGATACTGGCCAGCCATTTCTCTTCGTCGCGATCCACTAGGACGACCTTGGCCTCCGGGTAGGCCTCAATCAGCTCCGCCCAAAAGACGCAGCCGGGGGCGTCGGTGATGGCAGCAGACTCGCCCAGCAGCTGGTCGAACTCGGCCCTGCCGTAGGGCTTCCCCGTTCCCTGAAACTTTGCCCGAAGCGCCTCGTTCCACATGTCGGCGTCCTTGCAGTTTTCGAATATGCTCGCGTAGTGATACGGCTGCTCATATCCCAGGATCGAATATGCCTCTCGCATTGACACGGTGCCGGTTCGAGGGAGGCCCAGCGAGAGCACCTGCATGGGCACTACTCGCTTTGCGCCGCGCCGGTCGATGTTGGCGTCTGGGTTGAGCATGGCGGCCCACACGCTGAGGCGCTCATAGTCGGCGGGCGTGGCCATGCTGCTTGACTTGGAAAGGCTGCTTGTCTTGCCGCGAAAGAAAAGAATACCCAGTGGGTTTGGGGTTGAGCGACGCGGGGAAAGTGACGGAAGTCGCGGTTGTACAACCGCCCCCGACATGCCGGCTCATGCAATTTTATGGTCTGTGAAACGCGTCCTCAAGCGAGCAGCCGGATGAACGAATGCATCCCACGAGGCCGCTAGCGCTTACACGTGCTTGCTGGTAGGATCCTTTCGGGGCTCAATGGCCGTCTTTCCGATCGTGTCATGATCTGGCCCTGGCCTCATTAAGCACGTTGGGTTCAGGCCGGCCAAGAGACTCATACAATTGCATAGTTAACCAGCGTGGTTTTGTCGGCTCGGCATGCTACACCTGAGATATGGGCTTGCCGGACTACTCACGTCGACTGGCGAACGAAGGCATGCAGGCCGTCGAAGCACGCACGACAACGTGGGAAATTCCATATCAATTGAGAAGCAGCTCAAAAATGCTATTTGAGCATCGGGGAGAGATTGGCATGATGCTACGGGTCCATCAGTTTGGGCATACCTCGGTTGCGCGCATTGAGCGGCAGAGCCGGTGGACAGTGGGACAGCCTTTTGGGTTCGACATTGGTGTCCGATAGATGCTTGATCAGGGTCATTCGAGGGCCTTTATCTCGAATTTTCCAAACCATTTATTAGAGACGGATCATGATGGAATCCGGGGCGACGCGGCTAATAACATCCCCCGACGTGGGGATAGTCGAACCGTCGCTCCCCCGGGTTCTCCTCCTCCAAGCAGTCGAGGTACTGCACCACTTTGCTGTCCGTCAGCGCCCGCATGTCAAACGCCTGCCCAGCATCGACAGAGTGCCCATTGACGCTCAAGTAGTTCCCAAACTCAGGATGCCCGCCCTCCCGCTTCACCCTCCACACCTTGGTCTTCGAGCCCTTTTCGTATCCAGGCACGCCCAGCTCGCCCAGGTCCACTTCCACGGCGCCCTCCGAGTCGCCCATGAAGATGAAGCAGCGCATCGCGCACGTCTTGCAATAGAAGAAGTGCAGGCGCCTGTCGGCGCACAGGTAGTCGCCCAGCGCGGCGAATGGGTCCTCGGGCGCGAGCAGCAGGAAGTCGTCGGCGGGCGAGGCCGGGCGGATGTGGAAGAAGCCCGCCTTGTGGCAGACGGTGCAGTTGCAGCGGTAGAAGCGCTGGTCGGACCGGGGGCTGGGCTCGCCGCCGGGGTACGGGTGCGGGAGGGTGAGGAAGAGGATGTACTTGGTCGCGCCGCAGTGGCAGGAGCCCTTGAGGGGCGTCCTGGTGGGCTGCTGTGAGGCCATGGTGTTGACGCAGGTTAAGTGACTTGAAGGGTTGTTGGCAGTGTGTTAATGCTGTCTAATGCCCGTCTTGATTTGACGTGTCGGTGTCGTCGTTGGAGAGTTCTAGCTCTTGGGCACCAGGATCGGGCCTGAAGCTGACTACCCATCTTGTTATATACTTGTCTTCTCACGGTAAGACCCCAGTCAAGCCGCTCAATTAAAGCATGGTCACTGCATCTCGTGTGTGAATGAGGAAGCTGGCAAGGCGTGTGAGTCTTCACGCCTTTTGAGCGACAGCCCGGCGCCCACGCAGTCCAATCAAGCCAGCGCCCGTAAAAGCTGGGGGATCAGCGGAGCCGTTGAGTAATTGGCACCCGCTAATTGGGCCGGCATTCGGCGCTCGTTTCTCGCCTCTGATGCTGATGCCTCGCCCGCTGCTTGATCTGCTTCGCTGTGCTGTGGTATCAAGGCAAGGTGATCTCTGCTTAGCAGGAGAGGGTCCCTGCGCTCCAGCACCTGCGTGGAGGGGCGCCGGGGGCAATCGTCAGTGTCTTCAGTGATGAAGAAAGAGAGAGTGGTGGTGGTGGCGGCGATGGCGGCGGCGGCGGGCCCTCGGGGGGCGTTCAAGGTTTCCCCAAAGGCCTCCAACAACGGCAAACGTCAGGCACGAAACGGGCAAAGATGGCATTGAATTGCGGGGTATCGCAGCGCCCCGGAGCCAAAAGGTCCTCCAACCCGCGAGCAAGCCAACAGGGCTGACTCGACAACTGGCGTTGGGGTCTGGTCCCCCCAGGCCAGCCACAATCCATCCCCACGTCCGCAGATTTCTGGCTTCGCAGATCTCACTCATCAGCTCTCTGCGTTCCGTCACACGAACCGGAGTCTGAGAGACCGGAGAAACCCTCGAGACCGGACACGGACAGGCGACGGACCCCCATTGCGCGACCATCGGAGTTACTTGATCACATTGCCGGCAAGGGTTGACGCGACCCCGGGTTGCATTCGCATTGCTCGCCCGCGGCGTCTCGCTGCGACCCGGCCACGCGCCCGCCCGGCCGCCCGGATCTTTTTGGCCTGCTGCTGCTGCTGCTGCTGCTCTCTTTGGGGCTAGAGCCGCCGAGCATCGCCCTTCTCATCACCCTCTCCTTCTCTCACTCCTCTCTCCGCCGTCTAAGCTCACCAAGACTACGTCGCGCGCGAGACGCTTCCCGACAGCGGCGACGCCTGCCTCACGGCCATCCCACCTCGTCCCGGCGATCTGGAACCTGGGTGATCCGTCCGTTCGTACCGTCACTTTCGTCGGCTCCTCACGCGCGCGAGGCCCGCTGAGGGGGGCGCTGCCTGCTGGCCCCAAATGCCGGCAGTCAAGCAACCATGCCTCCAGTGCAAAGGTATCTGTTCCCCCATTCCCCCAGACTCCATCGCGATTCCCAGCCAGCCAGTCGTCAGTACCGAAATGCTAACCCCCCGGCAGAGAAACACGTGAAATGTGAGTGGTAATTGCAGCGTTTTCGTTGGGCCCTTGCTTTCTGTCCGTCATGCTCGGCATCTGGCGCGCGCCCGCATTTCGGTCGCCGCCTCCACATTTAGAGGGTTCATCAATAGCCGAGAGCCTCTGGAGTCTGCACATCTCCGCATAGAGGCGAAACCTCCACAGTTGAGAGTCGAGAGTCGAGACTGGGAGCCAGACTTGCTAACGAGGGCAACAACGCAGGTGACGAGGAGCGCCCGCGGTGCCGCCGCTGCCAGTCCAAGCAGCTGCCCTGCTCCCGGCCTACCAAGCAGACTGTCTTCAAGCACGGCTCCGTCGCGAGCTTCTCCAAGGACCAGAAATGGGTCAACAGCGCGGCCCGGCACTGTAGGTCACTCGGCTCCCCCTCTTCTTCCCTTCTGTCCGACTCCCTTTCTACGGCTGTGAGATGGTCCGCGGAGAGATGAAATGTTGCAGATTCTGCAACTTCGTGGGAGTGAAGAGCATGAGCTGACGGGCGCACAACCGCATCAGTCCGATTCCACCCCCGGGGCGGCGCCGCCGAGCGAGGCAGCGGCCCGGACAGCAGCCCGGACGCGACGATGCCGCCGCTGCGCACCGCGTCGCTGACCTCGTCGTCGCAAATCACCGACGCGGGACACGGCGCATACGCGGAGATACCGCCGCCGCAGGACGCGCGCTCCAGCCACGGCTCGCCGGGCCACTCGTCGCCGCCGCACTCCCACTCGCCCATGGACACGGACTACTCCCGTCCAACGACGACGACGTACGACGGCGCGTCCAGGGTTCTCCCCAGCCTGACGCACTCCGAGAGCTTCCACACCGATTCGGGGCCCGACTACACGCCGAGTCTGCCGCCAACGATTCCGTCCATCTCGTACCTCACGTCGTCTGCGAGCCACTTCTCGCCGCGGTTACATGACAGGACGGCGGCGGTGGGGGGCCATGCCGTGTCGCCGCCGCCGCCGTTGTATAACCCCGAGTCTCCCAGGGTTGTTCCTGCGTCGAGCGTGCCCGTCTCGCAGCCGCATGCTGGCTCACATAGGCAGTTTCCGCTGCAGGATGTTCAAGAGGCGTGTCTGTTGCGATACTTTATCGAGGAGATATCACATTGGGTAAGTCTCTGCTTGTCTCGTGCATGCAGCAACTATGAGCAAGTCTACTGACGCTCCCGTCCTTCAGTTCGACCTCTGCGACGAGGACCGCCACTTCCAGCTCGTCGTGCCCGTCCTCGCGCGGCAGCACCCGCACCTCCTCGACGCCATCTTCGCCGTCGCCGCGCGGCACCTCAGCCGCCTGCCGCAGTACAAGACGGGCCCGCGCGGCGCCATCCTCTACCACGGGCAGGCCCTGCCGCACCTCGACGAGCACGCCGCCGTCGAGTACATGCTGCGCTGCATCCCCGCGCTGCGGCAGTTTGACGACGCGCGCGCCGCCGACGCCGACTACCGCGACAGCATCATCGCCACGGCCGTCATCCTGCGCCAGCTCGAGGAGATTGACCACGAGGCTGACGATGGTGGTGCAAGCGGCGGCGGTGACGGCGGCGGCGGCGGCGGCGCGCGCGAGCACCAGCAGCGGCAGCAGAGGCAGCGGCCCGTCAACTTCCTGGCCATCATCGACGCCGTGCTGCGGAGCCTGCCGTCGCGCGACGCCTTTCGCCAGCGCAGCGTCATGCAGGCCGCGTACTGGATGGCGCTGCGGCAGGAAATCTTCAACTCGTTTACGCGCCGCGAGGCGCCGCAGCTCATGCTGCCGGCCGAGTTCTGGCACAGCGCGTCGCGCGCCAACAAGGTGGTGATGCACCTCGTGCAGTGCGCCAAGTGGCACTGGGGCGACGGCTCGGACCACGAGTGGAGTGCGTTCTCCTCTTCATCCTATCCTTGGACAATAAGGGACCGAAAGACGCGTCGCTAACAAACGGAACAGTGCGGTTGATGAAGCAGCAGGAGCTGCTCGAGCACGACATCCTGCCCGCGTTCCAGCCCCTATATCAAAAGTCGGCCGACAAGACCAAGGGCGAAATCTTCCCCACCATCTGGTACGGGAGCAACATCGAGGTGACGAGCGTGCAGCTCGGGCTCATAGCCAAGTCGGTCCTCGTAGCCGAGAACCCCTTCCTCAAGTATGCCTCGTTCTCACCCACCATGTCGCCCAAGAAATGTGACTGACAGGCACAGAGCGCAGTCGGCATCGCGGGCGAGCTGGCGCAAGGTGGAAAACGAGGTCCGGCTGCTCCTCCTCGAGCTCTGCGGCATCGCGCTCTGCAACCCGGCGTCGCCTCCCGCGCTGGTGCAGGCGGCGCTGGGCATCGGCATGTACGCCGACTTCTTCACCGACCAGTACGAGAGGCAGGCCATCCGCGGCGTGGTGGAGCGGTATCGCGACACCCACGCCTGGCCGGTGCAGCGGCTGCTCGAGATGTTTCAGTGAACTCGCATCATGTCCGTCGAGGTCTTTGCATCTGATGTTGGGCGTGAGGCCATTGGTCCATGACCCTGAACGATAGTCGACCGCATTCACCCAGTCCCATTAGCACTGTCGACGCTGGGCCGCTTCCACACCTTCTGGTGTCCCAAAAGTGTGCCAAGAAAAACCCCCTTGAGCGTAAAGGCCGCGCAGGCTAGCCATATGATGACGAGCATAATAGCCAGGACCGTGGACCAGACGCGAAAGGCGGGCGAGTCGAGCAGCTTCCCCAGCTGCACAGCGGCGTTTGTATAAACCCCCTACATTCACCCAGTTAGCGTCTTCACACACGCAACCCAACCACACGAGACGGGGCGTATCTACCCAGGGAAAGACAATGGCCCATACGGATACGGCAAACTGCATGGGCGGCTTGCTGCGGAAGTGGTTCACAAAAGAGCGCCCGATGCTCACCACGGCAAACGTCCACCAAAACGTCCCTTGCCCCCAGAGCGTCAGACCGACCAGCATGCTCGCGTAGCCGAGCGGCCGCATGGCGTCGTCGGTCAGGAGCACCCTCTCCGTCTGTCCCGGCTGGGCGGCCCCCAACTTGCCATTCAGCGACAGCAGCGCGGCGCCGAGCGCCTGCAGACCGAAGCTTGTCTGCCCCCACGGCCCGCACGAGACCATCTCGGAAAAGACTTGCGCGCCGACGAGCGGCTCGGCGCCCGTCTCGGTCTCCCACGGCGACAGGACGCGGGCGATGAAGAGGATGTCGAGGGCTATGGCCAGGGGCAGCCCGAGGCCGACCTCGAGGTACGCGACGATGATCATAGGCACCTTTTCGGCCGGTGTGAGGAAGGGCCCGGACGCGGTGGCGGCGCAGAGCGTGCCGGCGCCCGCCGCCGAAGTGAGGGCCGCAATGAGCGGCAGCTGGGTGCTCGGCGTGAGGCAATTGATGAAGCCGCCCTCCGCATGGATCGAGTGCACAAAGATGAGCGGGATAAACAGGCACGCCGCGACAGCCAGCCCACAGTTCACCCACCACAGCACGTAAACAACCACGGCCCAGGACCGCCCGCCCCACGGCCCGGGTACGACCACCAGGGCCAGCATCTGCACAATCGACATGAAGGCGACGCTGACGCTCGCGAGGCACGCCGCCTCGGAGGTGTCGGACGCGACGGCCCGGAGGGCCGCCCGGGGCGAGGGGCGCGCGGCGGCGAGGCGGCACAGGTACAGGGCGCAGGTGGCGGCGAGGAGCGCAATGGCCGCGACCCAGAAGATGACGGAGATGGTGTCGAGCCCGCGGAAGCGGTAGTCGAGCTGGTGCAGCACGAGGGCGACGCTGCCGGTGCCCTGCGGGATGAGGAACCACGGCGAGTGGAAGCTGCTCAGGGCGAGGCGCGCGTGCGAGGGCCGGCCGGCGACGCCGCGGGCGTGACGGCCTTCCGGGGAGCCCATATCAAGGCCGTTGAAATGAGCAGAGAAGGCGAGGATTGGGCATCACCGGGCGAGACAATGGTTGAGGGGATTTGCACGTGTAAGCTGAAGAGATGATTCGGCGGTGGTTGCCGTGGTGGTGAAGTAAAGGATGATGACGTCGAGGCAGACGGCTAAACTCAAGACGGAGCTTGTCAACCACGCCATTGGGACGCGGGAAATCGGCACGCATCGCTCCCCCCCACAAGTCCAAGTGTCAAACCTGTCAAAAGTCAATTGACTTTTACCTGTCATAACTGTCAATATCTGAACCCAGAAATGCGCCGTCAGTGAAGCGAAGCGTCCGATGCAACGAGCTGCAGCAGACATGCATCGCCGCAGGGTAGCCAGCATAGCCTTTCCCAATTGAGGCATCCGTCCCAAAATGGAAGTCGGCGCTAAAACACCATGGTCAGCTCGTTCACGATGACCGTGAATCTGGCGTCTACGTGCTTGTTTTCATACCGCTTTGGGCGTGGCCATCAGTTTCATCTGCACTCTCTCCTGGCCCTCAAAGATTTTCTGCTGTGAGGTGTTCTACCTTTGACGTTTTCTTCTGTCTCAGTGCTTGACTTTTGATGCCACCGGCCTGGGGCATCTCATCCAGAGTCCTGCGCGTTCATCTCGGCGCACGCGTCGCGACGTTCGTCTCGAGGCTCAGCGTCGCCAACATGCCGAGACGGAGTACTCGCCTCTCGGTTAAGGCCGCGGCCGTTGAAGCTATAAAGCCCTCGCCAGCGCCGCCGACGACCACCAAGGCCAAAGCGAAACCCAGGAACTCGCGAGCCTCAACCTCTGCGTCTGCGTCTGCGTCCACCTCCGCCTCCACATCAACACCAGCGGCAGAGACGCCCTCAGCAGCCGCAACAACAACCACATCATCATCATCATCATCATCATCCACAACCTCCCCCCAAATCATGACCTTCCCCGACGCCCCCTCCTTCACCACCTGGCTCTCCCTCCACGGGCCCTCCACCCCCTCCGGCATCCTCCTCCGCATCGCCAAGAAATCCGCCCCCTTCCCCTCCATCACCTACGCCTCGGCCGTCGACGCCGCCCTCTGCCACGGCTGGATCGACGGCCAGCGGCGCGCCCACGACGCCCACTCCTTCCTCCAGCGCTTCACCCCGCGCCGGCCCCGCTCCCTCTGGTCCCGCCGCAACGTCGACCGCGTCGCCGCCCTCGTCGCGGAAGGCCGCATGCAGCCCGCGGGGCAGGCCGAGGTGGACGCCGCCCGCGCGGACGGCCGGTGGGAGCGCGCGTACGCGGGGCCCGGCGCCATGGAGACGCCGAGGGACTTTGAGGACGCGCTGCGGGCGCATGGGCGGGGGGAGGCGTGGAGGGCGTGGGAGTCGCTGGGGAGGTCGAAGCGGTATCCGTTTCTGTGGCGCATCGAGACGGTCAAGCGGGAGGAGACGCGCAGGCGCAAGATTGAAGAGTACGTGCAGCTGCTGGCGGAGGGCAAGACGCTACGATGATGATTGAATGCGTTTCTGAATTGCATCGGCATTTATGCGCCGGGGTATATAATAAATACTGTCTATATCAAACCTGAATACACCATACTCCTGAATAACATCGAGGCGCTACCATCCCTCAGATTCGTCGCCTTCGTCCCCCTCGCCGTCAGACTCGCTGGCCATGCCGTCAATGAGGCCATTGTCGTCCTCGTCTTCGTCTTCTTCATCCTCATCATCCTCGTCGTCCTCATCTTCATCCTCTTCGTCCGAGTCAACCTCACTATCGGACACGGGTATCGGGTGCGCCTCGCGGTGCCGTTGCAGCCGCTCCGCCAGGGTAAGACGCCTCGGCTCCTCTGCTCCCTCTTCCGACGAGCCGTCCGAGTCTTCTTGCGCGGATGACTCCGCCCCGCCGTTTGGCTCCAGCCTGGCGCCAGCACCGTCGTCCGTCTCAGAGTCAGACTCAGCAGCAGCCCGGAAGCTGGAACCAGCACCGTTCACGGGCGGAGCGTTGCCGGTTCTTGCGCGCTTCGCCCGCGGCTCGTCGACTTCGGCGTCGCCCTCGTCATCCGAGTCAACTGCAATCTTGCGCTTCCCCCGTCGGTTTGATGGTGCTTGCTCTGGCTCGTCGACCTCCGCGTCGTCTTCGTCATCCGTGTCCGCCGCAATCTTGCGATTTCCTCGTCTATTGGAAGGGCCTTGCTCGGGCTCGTCGTCATCGTCAGAGTCGGCAACGATATTGCGTCGTGGCGGGCGGTCCAAAGCCGGAGCTCCGTCGACGCTTGCCTCGGGGCTCGAAAAGCGTGCGCCTGCGGCGTCGCTGTCCTCGTCCACAGATGACTCGTCTTCGGAATCATCAAGCTCCTCAATGGGCTCGTCGTCGATGCCCTCGCTCTCGTACTCGTCAATGTCCTCAGACTCGCTATCGTCGTCGCCGCTTTCCTCGTCGTCTGAATCGTCGCTGCCGCTCGGCGTTGCCTCGTACGGCAGGTCCTTTGTGTCGCGAAGCTGCTCGAAGCGTTGCAACGCCGCTTCAAACTCAAAAGTCACCATGGGCCAGGCCTCGACTCCATGTTCCTCGAGCATCCGGCCGATAGACTTTGGCTGGGAGCGCATATGCCGCTTGGGGAGCTGATATTTGGCAAAGTCTGGGTGGTTGTCCACGTCGGGCCAGCACAAGAGGGAGACCATGTCCTCGCCCAGGCCCGGCTCCTTCTCGTGCGTTTCGACGCGGTACCTGTGCACATAGTCGGAGGCACACCACCGCAAATGCCGGTCGTGCTTGAATATATCGTCATCGGCAGATATATAGAGCCGCTCGACGTTGGGCATGTGGTCGAATGTCCACCTGACCCGGTCCACGGCCGACCTGTCCCGGGAGTCGTCCCAGATGGGGACAGCCGCGTTGACGACCAGGTCGCCGAAGCCAGGCATCAGGGCCTTTTCGCCCGCGCCGTACGACTCGCGGCGGAAGTGATCGATGTCGACGATGTCTTTGCGGCGGTTGAAGGCGACGCGGGCGTCAAAGTCGGCGGTGCCCGAGTCCATGGTGAGGGTATCGGGAAAGGCCTTGAGACCGAGGGCGCGCGACTCTTGATGGACGGCCATCAGGCTGCGCAGGGGCTCGGTCTGCTCCGCGAGACTGATCCACTCCTTGACGGTCCATATGCCACGCGGAGTATCGAGGCCCAAGGCGTCGCGCAAGAGGTGTCTCTCGATCTTGCGGTCACCACCGGGGCCCATCTCGAACTGCAGCACGCGCGGTCGGCCGTCGAGGTCTGAGCAAAAGTGTTGCCATATCTGCGTCCTCAGCTCGGGCGGGAGGTCCATGAAGCGGGTAAAAGACGAGCGAGGGCCGTCAACGGAGCCATCGTCGCTGCTGCTGGTGCTCTCGTCATCGTCGCTCGAGTCTAGCGCCTCATCGTCGATCAGGGGATTGGAGTCGCTCTCAGAGCCCGACTCGTCGTTGTCGCTCTCGCTGTGAGATTCGGTGTCGCTCAGGACCACAGGGCGCTTGGGCGGCCGAGGCATGGTGTTGCGTGTCGATCGCCCGGGCTCGTTGTCGCCCCGAAACGCGCGTGGTGAAGGGGAGACGCGCAGCTGAAAAGTGATTCGGGACCCCACGTTGGTCCGAGCTGGGGTGGGCACTGTGGGTGATGGACCATTGGGCAGGCAGTGGCGGGCAGCACAGGCAACCCTCGAGCCAACTGCCAACACTGACTCAGCAGGCCCCCTCAGCGAGTGCAGTGCTGGAGAGCGCCCTGCACGCCTGGGCGGGTGCTCGGGCAGACTCAGAGGCTCACCTATGCAAGGCTTTGTCGCACGGGGCGGGTTTGCAGGCCTGGATCAGCTCGTTCGTTCAAGCCCAGGCGGCGCAATGTGAAAGCTTCCAGCGCGCCTCACTTGCACTGGACCCCGGCGACCTTGGAACCCGGAGCCTCCAGCTGCTACTGAGCCGCCAAAGCACCTCCAGCTCCGCTGCAACCCTGCCACTGCCACTGCCCCACGCACCACCACCCGCCAGCCCAAACCCTGACCCGCCCCACGACAAGCGCGCCACCAACCCACAGCTCCGCCTGCGATACCTTCATGAATGCATTATCGCCGGCCCTCCTTCACAACAAGCCAATCATCAGGCGACTTGAATCACCCAGGCAGAGTGCCAGAGTGGTTAATGGGTATGACTAGAAATCATATGGCTTCGGCCTCACAGGTTCGAATCCTGTCTCTGTCGATTCATTTCTTTTTTGCCCTTCTCCTCGTTCGGGGTGAATATTGAGTATGTGTTTCTTTTTGTTTTGGCGAGTGGGCGTTGCAGATTTTCACACAGAAGACGGCAGTCTACGCCCGTCTTGCGTGTTCCAGTCAGTGAGCGGACCACCACCGCAACTCGGTAGGCAATGTAGCACAGGTTCCCGGCCGGCGGCTGCTACCGGTGTTGGCGGGTGAATATTACACTGCATGAAATGACGATTCGAGGAACGGTCGGTTGCTATTTCCCCTTCGACTGGGAGTCCAGTCGCCCATTATCATGTCCCAAGCCTCCAGGTTGTCGTCGTGAGAAGAGGACTCTCTTTGATCTTGGGCACTGGTCTCCGGTTGCCTCCGTGGCTGAGCCGGCGTCCACCATCCATCAGCGCAGCTGCGCCTGCGCCCACTGAGGTTACAGCGGCATCTGCGCCACCATCTGACGTCGTACGGCCCTGTAGGGCCCCCTGGTTAGTGGGAATACGCCGTATACGACGGGAGCGAGTGCCGGCCGGCATTGCCGACACAGGCCTCTGGTGTGATGCTGGGCTCATCCTCGACCGCGCCTCAAATGAAATACTCGCCATCTATCCCCGGTCACCTGGGCACAGAGACACCATGTCACCACGTCCATTACCTCGTGTCTGCGATTATCGCTGAGCTGGCCTCTGAGAAACAAGCCCCTTCGTGCCGGCTGTGAACATTGTCTGGTCGACAACCCCAGGTGGCCGTCTCGCAAAACAAGGGCCAGGTCCACCACTAGATCACATACACGAGACACATCAACCATGCCGCCCGGGACTCAACTGCCTTCATCAGATTCTCCACCCAAATCTAAGAGGAGGAGGACTCAGGCGAAGCCCGCGGCGCCACCGTGCCATACGTGTCGCCGCCAAAGGCTGCGTTGCGATGGAGTCAAGCCCGCCTGCGACAAGTGTATCGCGCGGGGCGTTGAATGCCTAGGTTACGGAGCCCAGCCGCTGCTCTGGGTCCAGCCCAAGTCGATCAAGACTGCAGATGAAGCCGCCGGCCAGAAAGGAGATGGCGATGACGCTGGCGGGCGGGTCGAAGTTCACCCAAAGCGACGAGGCCGCCCCAGGCTGGTGTTAATGTCCGGTCTAGAAGACGATAGTCACAACCAGCACGCACTACAGCTTCTACCATCGCAGCAACCACCACAATGGATAGCCGTCCACGGCCCAAACGGCGGGCGCCGTCCCCGAGCAGCTCGGCCAGGCGTCCCCCGGCCCCGTGCCGGCCTCGACCCCATCGACTACAAGAACCACAAGCTCACGCTCGACTGCCTGGACTACTACAACAACTTTGTATGCCCGGACATGGTGCTGCTCGACACGACCGCGAACCCGCTCCGCGTGCCGCTCGAGTTCTGGCGCTACATCCCCGACGTCGTCCTCGACATGCTCGTGTCCACGTCTCTCACGCACCAGCTCATCAGGGCAAAGGCTCATGAAGTCTCAACGATTGGGATGGAAGGGAATAGCCTCGTGCCAATCAAGAGGCATAGGATGAGCGCGCTGCAGGGCCCGTCTGTGCCTGTCATATACAAGTACCATCAGCGGACGCTGATGGCGGTGAATCAGGAGCTCAGTAAGACAGAGTCGCGGTATGGGGACTTGGCGCTCGGTATCATCATAACGCTCATGCGTGTAGAGGTGAGCCTATCCCGTTGGCTGACTTGATAGACATGCGCTGATATGGCCAGATACAACAATCTGCGTTTGGCGCCTGGCCGGCGCACCTGGAAGCAGCCCGGGCCATCATCGCGCAGCGCGGAGGATTCAACCGGCTGGCGACGATGGAAGACGTCTACGTTGGCGAGGGTCTGGTCAACTTTATGCTGTGCGTCCAACCCCCTTACATGCGCGTACTTAATCCCTCGTCTGACGTTTCAGTGTCGACATCATGAACTCGGTCATGACGCCCACGTGGCTGATGGACGAGCGCACAGCCACCCAGACCGAGTATATAGCTCACCTCCACACCATCTACAAGGACGGCAGGGACTCGGACTTTCCCTGCCCGGCGACTCTCCTCGAGGCCATCATCCGTATCAACGATGTCCGGGCGCTGAGCCGCGACGAGGACCAGGACGAAGCCGAGCTCGACCGCGTCTCCGGTCAAATCTTCACCAGCATCGCCTCCTTCAACGCCGCGGACTGGACCAGGACCCACGTCCGCACACTGCTCTCGCCGGGCGTATTGACGACCTCGTCCCCATCCTCGGATGACACAGCAAGGGACAGCTCCGACGAGCAGCTCCACAGCGAGAGCCGCGACGTAGCAGACAAAGGACTCGACGACGCCGTCGCCGCCGTGCACGACATGTGCACAGATCTCACCAAGACGATCCAGTACGCCGTACTGCTCTACTGCCTCCGCACCCTGCACATGGACCGACGGACCTCAAGCGGCATGTCTTCCCCCCAGCTCGCGTCCGTGTGGCTCTCCGACGACATGGCACTGGATGTCGAATCCGCGCACAGGTCCGCCCTCGACATGCTCCTGGCCGCGCTGCATAGGCTATGGGACGTCGAGGCCAAGGGGAAGGACTGGTGCGGGAAGCTGTCGTTCTGGCCGCTGTTCATCGCCGGCATGGAGATGGACCCCGGGCCGGAGACTCAGGCGGAGAGGGATTTTGTCTGCGGTTCGTTGCGGAAGCTGGTGTACTACCTGGGGGACTTGAGCCCCCTGGATGCGGTCTCGGTGCTGCAGCTGATCTGGCGCAGGACGGCGGTGGGGGGCTGCTCGGGGAGGCAGCGGTTCTCGTGGGATGAGAGACTGGTCATGCCTGGCATTCGGGGCCTCTACTTTTTCTGAGGCTCGCGTATTCTGGCTACATATGGCGGGATTGATACATATGGGGGCAGTGGCGACGGATGGGCTTGCAGCACTGACTGCACTGGACTTGGAAAGTACTCTCCTCACAACATGGGGTCGGATCCTCGCCATTCTGAGCCGGTAATCATCCTCGATCACACCTCACATTCATTGCCTCAGGCCTGTCACTCGCCTGTCCCCTTTGCCATCTTAGCCCTCAAACCCTGTTGGCATAGTCGCTACCGCGATTCCGGTCAATGGCTGATCGCACCCTCGGACGGCAAGCCACACGCGACGCGACAACCTGCAACCTAGAAGCACCCCCTACAATGGTCTCATCCCTCCTCGACGCACCTCATCTGATCCTCAACATATACCTAGGCGAAGGCGGCTTCCGAGTGACAGACTCATCCGGCTCCATCGGGTTCTACCAGGAACAATGGGACAAGGACCTCATCCACAGCCCACAACTCACCGTCCACTCCATCTGTACCGACAGCGACGCGAAGGGCAAGTCCTCAGAGCTGGTGCCCGTCGCCAGGGTATCGTGGATGCAGCCACTCAACTCAATCATCACGACGTACAACCTCCGCACCCGGAGGCGCCTACACATGTACCGCGAGGTGCCCTTCTCCATCTGCCACACCGTCCAGGGTCCCTTCACGACCTGGCAGTGGAAGCGGCTGGAAAAGTGCTCTCCACACCTGCGGCTCGTGGACTCATGCGGCGAGAAAATGATGGCGGCGTTGGTATACTGCAAGCCGCGCGATCGCAGGTACAGGGCGGGCCATCTGGCGACGTTGAAGATTGGGGCGTCCACGCCGGCGGATGCGATTGATGACATTGTCGTCACGGCGCTGGCGAAGCTCACGTACCAGCGGATCCATTGGTACTATTCGATCAACAAGACGAAGCCGAGGATTGCGCAGATTGCCGGGGCGGTAGCGGTTTGAAGCGGGTACCAGTTTCTCATGGACGCGAGAACGGGGAAGGAGAACGACTGTATCATTGTTGGGGGTATCTCTAAATCAGCATCATAAATCCTACCACATCCGCTTCCCTTCTTCCGCCGCAGCCCATTGCACATAGAATGTCTCCGTGGCGGCTCACCGACCGGAACAGTACAAGGTCAACAGCGCCATTAACAGGATGGTGTCGAACTGGCCTCCATAGTTGACGTTGATCTGGAGCACGCCGCAGCGGCCTCTCTTCGTGCTGGTCGTGAAGACGGCCAGCACAGGGGCCGTCTTGCCCTCGTGCGCTTCTCCAGCCGAGTCTGGTCGTCCTCCAGCGTCGGGGGCGCTGTCTGCCGTGAGGTGCTCGACGAGTTTCCAATTGCGCGTGCTGAGAGGGGCAATGTTCATCCCGTCAACGGCAACGGCGTGCGTCCGTTTCCAGACAAACGTTCTCCTATGGACGCTTCGCCCCCGATCCTCGTAAACGCCGTCGCCCTCGTCGCCAGAAGGCAAAATCATGGACCAGCTATGCCTCGAGCCATTGGACGTGTCCATACGTAGCTCTTCCCAGACCATGTCGCCGCCAATGTGACTCTTGGCCCCTTCCACTGACGCCAACGGCTCCGGCGACTGAGAAGCAAGGCCAAGCTTGAAGTGCTTGCTAAAGGATGGGAGGTGCGACACGGCGATAACGGGCGTGGACGAGGACGCTTCAGGCCCTGCGTGCAGGGATACAAAGGGGACGGTGCGGGAGTTGGCGACGAGAGCAATTGGGGCGTAGAGGCCGCTGTCGAGGGGAGATGAAGACGTCGCCGGTGTCTGGGTTGTGGGAGCGATGCGAAAGTGCTGCTTGAAGAGCGACTTGTCGATGTTGTAAGTGCGAGCCATGGCGGGCGAACACAGAGGCGGAATGGTTGCGCCTGCTCGGAGGTGGATGTCGACGAAGTCCAAGGCCGATGAGGGGAATGTAAAGAATCGGTTACTGCTTTAATCTCGGCGCGCCATCGTGAACATGCTCTAACATCAGAGGCCGGATCTTTGCAATCCGGGCTCTGCTCTTATATCACCAATCGCCTGCGGGTGAAAAGCCATGATCCAGGACCTGAGCGACTGCCTGGCATGTGGCTGACGACCTGGTGACGCTCCAGGTGTCGCGAGCCGTAGAGCGACGAAATACGATGGACGCGAGGGATCGCGGCCTGGCAGCTCCAATCAAAGCACCGTCTGGAACACAGCTTGGCGCCACCAGCTGCTGGACAGCGAATGGACATGGGGCTCGCATATTGGCAAGGCTCTCTGGTCTCTGGAACTCCTCGTATGTCTTGTGTAATTCACTGTCTCCAACTGTCTGTAGATGTCGATGCTCCATGCTTGTGATGTCGATGATGAAGCTTCATTAACTGAGGGCCAAGCACGGACTGCCGGAGCCAGCCAGGACCCCGAGGGGGCCCCGAGGCATGAAGCACCGACTTGTTGGCTCGTGGCCCGAGCTGCAACGCGATGCTTTACTTCCGGACTGCGTCGGCTCTTGCGGCCCAAATCTCGACGCTCAATGGCTTCGGCTGTCATGATGCACCGACGACTCGACGGGAACTGCAGCCAACGGTGCTGCATTGCTGTCTGTGGCGTCACAGGCGGGCCCAACGCTCGCGTCACCGATGTCAATCAACCACTCGACAGCTCGAATTCGGCGCCCACGACGCAGTCAGTCGCGGCCAACGGCAAAAACGCCGAGTGAAGCATCCGAAACTATCACGAATTGTTGCCGGGCGTTGTCTGTGCTGACAAATTTCATGTGGAGGAGTGAGCAAGTTCAAGGACAAAAGGGCGTTATCCGACCGTCGTAGCGCAACTTCCTCGCCCTCTATTGACGAGCACGTTTGGACCTGCTGGAGATTCGAAAAACATCCCCATATAGCGTGCAAGATGCCGCCGCCAACCAAGTTCGCCGTCCTCCTCTTCCCAGGCTTCCAGGCGCTCGACGTCTTTGGCCCGCTCGATGTACTGAATATGCTGTCGCGTGGGCGGCCATTCGAGTTCTCCGTGGTCGCCGCGCGTCTCGGCCCCGTGCCGACGCGCGCTTCGGACTCGAGGCAGAGCATCGGCCAGCAGATTGTGGCAACGCACACGCTTCAAGACGCTCCTGAAGACATTGAGGTGCTGCTCGTTCCCGGCGGCATGGGCACCCGCAACACAGAGGCGACGCAGCCCGAGGTCGACTTCATACGCGAGAGGTTCCCGCGGCTGCGGTTCCTGCTCACCGTGTGTACCGGCTCCGCGCTGGCGGCCCGGGCGGGCGTGCTCGATGGGAAGCGGGCGACCACGAACAAGGCATCGTTTGACTGGGTGAGTTGTCCTCGCGCATCAGTCTACTCGGCCAGCGACGACGAGCGACACTGACGGCGGCAACAGGTCACGACGAACGGCCCCAAAGTCGAGTGGGTGAGACAGGCGCGGTGGGTCTCGGACGGCAACGTGTGGACGTCGTCGGGCGTCTCGGCGGGCATCGACATGATGTACGGGTTCGTGGCAGCCGAGTTCGGCGAGGAGGTGGCGGCGGCGGTCGCATGGGACTCGGAGTACGAACGGAACACAGACCCGTCCAACGACCCCTTCTCGGGCCGTTAAGGTGACACAGGTAGCAGTAGCCTGTCCGTCGACGCTCGACGAGCTGCTGCTCGTGTCCGGCTTGCCCAAATTAAATTACTTGGCAGCTCTCTGCATGCTGCTCCTGGAGCGATGGTGTCGCTTGTTGGCGAAACTTGCATATCTGGTTCCTTTTTGCGCCCCCATGGCCCCCGCAGGGCGAGCAGCCGTTGCCGAATGAAGCGCGTCGGCGGCCAGCATCGTCCGGGGCTTATTCGCGCGCCGGGTCAGCTGTGCGCACTTTTGTGGTGCCTGGTGGTGCACCTGGCTCGCGTCGAGGAGCCCCGGTGCGCCGTTTCATTCGCTGCTCGTACGACCGAGGGTCAGGTGCGGCTTCTCGGAACCGTGAAACTGCATCGCCGAGTGATTCACTCCTGCCCGTGAGACACGTCAGCGGCACTCGGCCAGGGCCAGGGTCGACGATTTTCGTTTCAGCGGCGGGGGAGGCTCGGAGTGGCCATGTTGAAGGGGGATATGCTTCGAGGCAAGCCGACGAAGGCGCACCTGTACGGCCCGAAGGGCACTGGAGGAACAGGGAGTCGGCAACCGGCAGGAGCAACGAGAGCAACAGGCAAGTGCAGCCGACCGACGCACAGCGGACCCGACCCCCTGCAGCCCGCCTCCACCATCAGATGACAGGCGGGCGGACTGGCGGTAAAGGGTGGAAATGGTGGAAGGAGTGGGGGGCGTGGCTGCCTGCTGGTCGCCTGTTTGGTGCTGGGGGCAGGGACGGCCCGCTGCTGTTACCTGCCTTGCCTGCTTCTGTGCATACTACTCCGGACGCCGTGCTCCGATTGTGTGTATTAATAACAGGGCCCGCCCATCTTATCTGATCCTGCATCATCATGTTGTGGAACGCTGCCGCCTCCTTGCTCCCCGACGCATATTGGGGGCTGTGCGGGCAATAAAAGACGTCTGCGATGACCCGTCCTCGACGTATACCACGAACCTGCGAGTAGCGGCTCGAGCCGCTAGACGACTTTTCCTCGAACGAGTCGATCGATGACAGCCGCCGCGGCCATGTCTTTCTCGGCCGAACAAGCGCCCTTGCTGGGGCCGAGGCTACCGGCATCGGCCGCCTCCTCACAGTCGGACTCTCCGCTTGTCCCGATCCACGACGCGGCGGATGTCGAACACGTTCACACGGATGAACACCGCGCGGGTCGCGGGTCGCCCATCCGCAGTCGGGCGCCTGGCGTTGCGCGCATGGAGCTCATCTCATCGCAGCTCACAACGCTCGAGCGAACGTGGCTCTTTTTCAGCATCTTCCTCGTCGGCTACGCATATGGGCTCGAGAGCCAGGTCCGGTCTGCGTACCAACCATATGCCACATCGAGCTTCTCCTTGCACTCGTACCTATCCACCATCAACGTCTTGCGCAGCGTCATCGCCGTCGCCGTGCAGCCCACCGCTGCCAAGATTGCCGATGTCTTTGGCCGGTTCGAGATCGTCGCCGCCTCGACGGTCTTCTATGTCGTCGGCATGGCCATCGAGTCCACAGCCTCGTCGGTATACACGTTCTGTCTCGGCACAATTATATACCAAGTTGGCTACACCTGCATGGTGCTGTTGCTCGAGGTCCTCGTGGCCGACTTCTCGTCCATGCGGGCGCGCGTCTTTTTCAGCTACATCCCAGCGCTGCCGTTCATCATCAACACTTGGATCAGCGGCAACGTCACTGCTGCGGTGCTGGCTGTTACCACCTGGCGCTGGGGCATCGGCATGTGGTGCATCATTTACCCCGTGTGCTCGATGCCGCTGCTCGTCACTCTCTACCGCATCGACAGGAGGCAGGTCAGCATCGCCAAGAGCGAGAGCCCTCAAGGCTTCCACAGCACGATGCAGTTCCTTGGCCTCAGCAAGGGACGCAGCGGTCTCTTTCACCAACTCGACGTTGTGGGCCTTTGCACGCTGGTGACGGCGTTTAGTCTCATCCTCGCGCCTCTGACCATTGTCGGCGGCACCGTCTCACACTGGCGGAACCCGGCAATCATTACGGCGCTTGTCATCGGCTTCATCCTGGTCCCCGTATTTGTCGTCTGGGAGCGACGAGGTGCCAGGACCCCCCTTGTCCCATTCCACCTGCTCGCCGACCGGGGGGTGTGGGCGGCTTTGGCGGTGCGCAGTCTGCTCAACTTCGCCTGGTACGTCCAGGGCAACTACCTCTACACCGTGCTCATCGTCGCCTTTGACTTTTCCATCGAGACGGCTACGCGCATCTTGTCCTTCTTCTCCTTCTTTGGCGTCGTGAGCGGTGTCATCGTGGGCGTCATCGTGTACCGACTCCGGCGACTCAAGTACATCATTGTCGCGGGGACGTGTCTGTTTATGGTGGCCTTTGGCGTGCTGTACAACTTCCCCGGCGGTGCGACACTCCACTCTCGATCTGGGGTCATCGCCGCCCAGGTCTTGCTGGGCTTGGCGAGTGGACTCTTCGCGTACCCGACGCAGGCGTCGATTCAGGCGTCGGCAACGCGCGATCACGTCGCCATACTCACGGGTCTTTACCTGTCCTTCTACAACGTCGGAAGCGCATTCGGCACATGCCTTGCGGGCGCCATTTGGACGCAGACGCTTTTGCCCGCGCTGACGGAAAACCTTGCATTTCAACCAAACGGCACTCTTGCCAAGGCCATGTATGACTCACCGTTCCCAGTGGTCAAGGAGTATCCTGTGGGAACCGAGATACGCGACGCCATCATCCGCAGTTACGAATACGTGCAGCGGCTGCTGTGCATCGCCGGCCTGTGCCTGTGCGTGCCGATGATTGCGTTTGCGCTGGCGCTGCGGAACCCTCGGCTGTCCACAAAGCAAGTGCAGGAGGAGGCGAGAGAAGCCGAGGACCAAGGCGAGAGGTGACGGGCGAGCATTCCATGCATCTACGAATCGAAATGACCATTCTGCGTGCGAACCTTGGCATTATACTAGCGATGGATTTCTTTTCTGGACGAATCACGCAGCAAGCGGATATCTTTTCATACATTTACACATAGATCATATCGAGCTTGCTTATTCACCGGCACGCCCGTGTCATAATTGAAGTTCAGCGTTGGCGACCAGCTGTGCCGTGCCGTGGTGAAGTTGCAATGGGTGGTATTACCCGATTTGGAACGGATGCTCGCGGGGTTCGTTCCGTCAATGCGACCGACCCGTCCTTTAGGCTCTACGAGGTCGCACGCAATCTTTCTTACAAATCGACAGCCCGAAGTAACATGCATGCAGCCAGGTCGTTTGAGCCAAGCCGCGTTCTCACGTTGACTCACTGCTGTGAGTCTGGCGTGACGTCAATGAACAAGAAGGGCGCGGACGGCATCTCCCGCACAACCCGAATTAAACGGCGTCTCGCCTATTAGAACCCAACCGTCTCGCGTCTCGTAAGAGGTCTTGTACGCGATCTCATCAAGAAAACGGCAATTGGACTTCCTGCATCATGGCCTCTCCGAAGATTACGCCATTCAAGATTGGGGTCCCCGAGGCGGCTATACAGCGCCTCAAGGAGAAGCTCGCAGCGGCGTCGTTCACCGACGAGACGCTCTTCACCGACAGCTGGGACTATGGCGCGCCATTGAGCGACGTCAAGCGCCTTGCTGAGCGATGGCGCGACGGCTTCGATTGGCGCGCGCAAGAGGCGAAGCTCAATGAGGTGCCGCAATTTACGACCAAGGTGGACGTGGATGGGTTCGGGGAGCTCAACATTCATTTCGTGTACAAGAAGAGCAGCAGGAGGGGCGCGATACCTCTGCTGTTCTGCCACGGCTGTAAGTCTCTGTGCCATCTGCGTGGTGTTTGGGTGAGAGGACCGCAACTGACAATGTGAATGATGGATGCGTGCAGGGCCGGGGAGCTTCTACGAGGTCCTCAAGATCTTGCCGCTTCTGACGGAGCCAGAAGATCCCGAGGCACCGGCGTTTGACGTCGTTGCGCCGTCGCTGCCCAACTTTGGGTTCTCGGATGGAGTGAGCAAGAAGGGCTTCAGCATCTCGCAGTACGCCGAGACGCTGCACAAGGTGATGCTTAACTTGGGGTACGATAAATACGGTATGTTGGCTGCGCCAATTCTTGCCCACATCTTTGCTTGCGAATGCGACTGACCCCTTTGCAGTCACTCAAGGAGGCGATTGGGGCTACATCATCACCCGCCTCATCGGCGCGCAGTACCCCTCCCACTGCCTCGCCTCTCACGTCAACTTTGTGCGCGTCACCGAAGCGCCCAAGTTCACCAACGCTCCCCTCCTCTATCTCCGCCACGCGCTCGCCCCATACACGGCGCTCGAGCGCGCAGGCCGCGACCGCAGCGCATGGTTCCTGACCGAAGGCACCGGTTACAACCTCGAGCAGAGCACACGCCCTTCAACGCTCGGCTTCGCGCTCGCAGACTCGCCCGTCGCGCTGCTGGCGTGGGTATACGAGAAGCTGCACGACTGGACCGACGGGCCGTACCCGTGGCAGGACGACGAGGTGCTCACCTGGCTGTCCATCTACGCCTTCTCGACGGCGGGCCCGGCCGCGAGCGTGCGCATTTACTACGAGGCGAAGCATGCGGGCGTGGAGCAGACGCAGAAGGGGTTCGAGTACGTGCCGGGCGTGAAGCTGGGGGTGAGCATCTTTCCCAAGGATGTGCTCGTGCCGCCGCTTAAGTGGGCGGAGGGTTTGGGCCCGTTGGTGTTTGGCAGGATGCATGAAAGGGGTGGGCACTTTGCGGCGCATGAGAGGCCCGAGACGCTGGTGGCGGATCTGCGTGAGATGTTTGGCAGGAAGGGCGGCGCCGGGGATGTTGCCAAGGTCTTTAGGGCTAAGCTTTAGAGAACCATTGATCTGCGACGGCATGTATCTCCACGTTCAAGCTGGGCCTTTCATCCGTGAATTGCTCAGCCAATGTTGTCCCAAATGGATCGGACTGACACGTCCTTCGCCCACCTGTCATCTTTCGGCCCCCTCTGCACGGTAAAGGTAAAGACACGCTCCTCTCCCTTGGCGAGAAAGACACTGTTGTCGTCGAAAAACCCAATCACATCCTTCGGTGCCGTCAGCCAGACGTGCGGAGCAACGGCCTTGGTCGCCGTCACTTTCCACCTCAAGCCGCCCAAATACTCAATCTCCAGCCCCGGATCGACAATTGTGGCGTTGCTCAGATACTTGGGCACCCAGTAGTTCTCGCTCGCGTGCTTCTTCCCGCTGCCGGTTTCCGTGGCGCTAACTTTAAGCAGGAGGACGCTCCCCTCCGCCGACGCACCCTTGGGCAGTATGTCCTTCCAGCCGACGAGCTCCTCGATCTGCATGCTGTGCAGGGCGGGCATGGAGAAGTTGTACGTCTTGCTGACGAGGCGCTCTCCGGACCACGCGAGCCATGTGGCGGTGATGTGGCCCGTGACGGGCGCGAGCGTGTCCGAGGCGACCCAAATTCTGTACGTCTCGTTGGAGGGCTCGAACCAGCTGCTGGCGACGACGGGCTCGTAGGTCTGCTTCGTGACGTGCTGGAGGACCTTCCACCGCCCGGTGTGCTCGATGGAGTTGAGGGCTAGGGTCGTCCAGGGGGCGTTGAGCTGCCACACCAGAGAGCCGAGGTTGTTCTCCGGCAGGCTGATGGATCGTCCTGGGCTCTCGTGTTAGCTACGCAACTGGGAGAGGGGTTTGAACGGGCTGATGACTCACTGTAGGACTCGATCTTGTGCTTGATGATCATGCCCTGCCAGATCTGGCTGGTCCAGGAGAACTGGTCAAATTGTGCGAGAGGGTCCGAGATGTTCGGGAGGATGAGGTACTTTTCCATCCCGTCTTTGAGGTCCGGGTATATGGCTACATGTATGGGGCAGTGTTAGCTCAGCACATGACCTGAACAAGTTATTCAATACGCACTCGAACCACCGTCGTAGCACCTGTTCAGCAGCATGTCTCCGTCGGGTCGAATGTTCCGGTCGCGAAAGATCGTCTGGTACGATAGCAGAGAATCGTAGCTCCTGTAGACATGTTCGTTAGCCCACACAGACAAGATCACATCCTGGGGGGTCAATGAACTCACATGCCGCCAAACTCAACCACGAAGCGTGTTACGGGCATCTGGGAATTATCGAACACCGTATCCAGCCCGAGATTATAGTCCATCGAGGAGCCGTAGAGCGGGCTGTCCGTCCCATCTCGAGGCTCGATGGCTCCAGTATCAGGGTCGTAGCTGATGTATCCCTGGGCATCGCTGGCCTGGATCCAAGAGATGGAGCGTGTGTTCTCGTACACTACTGGCCAGAGCACGTCTTGCTGCAGGATCGTCATATTCCGGGCCCAAGACTCACCGTACGTTTCGTTGCGCGAGGCCAGGCGCCTGTACTTGGCCATCTCGTTGCCTCCGCACCACAGCGCTTGAGATGCGTGGTGGTTAAGGCGACGCACTTGGTAGCGGGCTTCCTCTCGGACGGTGTCGAGGAACTCTGGCAGGACCGGGTAGAAGTTGTCGCTGAACTGGAACTCGGACCACAAGAGAATTCCGACTGCAACGTGTTTTAGTCAGGTGTTATTGCTATTTTGAGGGGATAGAGACGTACGCTCGTCTGCAGCATCATATAGTTCGTCCGCGTAGTAGTTGCCTGAAGCCCAGACGCGCACCATGTTGTAATTGCTCGCGACACTGGACTGGATGAGTTGCTTGTAGTCCTCACTGGTAACCTGATGCTCAAATGGGCTCATGGGTACCATGTTCGATCCTATTAAAAGGAAGGTCAGCAGGTTTCAGTCCCGAGAAGAAGACGGTCTTTTGCACGCACCCTTGGTGTTGAAAGTGTGTCCATTGATTCTGAAGCTAAAGTGGTTTCCTGTGCGGTCGTCGTACGGGGTCAGGTCCATGACGATTGTTCTGAATCCAACGCGCTTCGAGTATTTCGCGGTCGGTCGTGGCTTGCATTTCGAGTTTGTTGCCTTCTTCGCCGGCTGTGTCAGTGCAATAGAGGCGTTGTACAGCACCGGTTTCCCTGGCGTTGCGTTAACCATCAGTTGCTCCAGGGGTAGGGGGGNAGACTCACCAAAGGCCTTTGGCCACCATCTCTCAACCGCACGATCGGGAATTTGGAAGCTTGTGCTAACAGAATTTGCCCCGGCCCTGACCGTTGACTTCTGAACAGAACCATGGAAGCCTGCGACGTCGACCTGCAGACCGGGTCCTGAGTCGATTCCGGCCGAGAGGAAATCGACAGTGGCGTTCACCACCCACGGGTTGGACTCCTTCGGGGTAGTATTTGGCCGTTGACCCGTCTTGTAGATGTCGATGAATGTATTTGTAACGTAAAAGCCATCGTCTAGACCGACCAGGTACGCATCTCGGTATATGCCCTGGGGGGCGAAGTGCGGGCCCCAATCCCAACCTGCTCCGTATAAGCTGCCAGCTCGTATGTGCAGGATTTATCCGGCCGAGCTGAATCTCACCGAAATCAGATTGAACCTGCAGGACGAGGCGTCAGTCACATTTCCCCGTGGAGGGTGGCAAATTGGCGTACCTTTCGGATGTACTCGCGGCCCTCTGGGTACTCCACGTTGTAGTTTGTGAACACGGTGTAGGGCGAGCCAGACTTTGCCATCACATCCAGGGCATACTTTATGGGGCTCTGGATCTCGACTTCCAGTTGAAGCTTCGATCGCTTCGTGATGAACTCGGTCACATCAAACGCCCATTGTCTGAACTGGTTGTCGGCGAACCCGACAACCTGGCCGTCCAAACGCACATGAGCGGCAGTGTCAATTCCCTCAAATACTAGGTATACTTTCTTGAATGCAGACCACTGTTTGCCCTTGGGCGAGGATTGTGGCAGCGATCGTGAGAAGGTCCAGTTGTCCTGCGGGACCCAGTTGTACATCTCGACTAACACGAGCTTTCAGCTATGATCCCGGCAGTGGCGGAGGCTTACACGCGTCCGTGCAAATTCGCGCAGAACTCACAATTATTGTCCAGAAGGGGATCCGGGAGCACACCGGCAGCGTAAAGATCCGTCTGGATCAGGCCAGGCACGGTTGCGGGGACGGACGCCGAGCCATTGCTGTTAGTCGCGTGCCAGCGCCCGCCGATGTCGACGTACTCTGCGCCAGACGACGAAATGGCTGTGAAGCGTGCCGCCGCCACCGAAACCCAAAACGAGGCGAGGAACAGTCGTAAAGGGGCCAAACTCATGCTGGGCAGTGTGTCTAGTGTTAATGCACCACGGAACCTCCAGAACGACCGGTAACTTCTGCATTGATCTTCATGCTCTACAACTCCTTTTTATAACAGACAACAGCAGTAGCTATACTGACGATCCGGCTCCAATGAACGCTGGGTAAGCTTAACCCCGCAGACACTCCACTGGACTAACTGGAGCAATCCGGGGAACGAGACACACGCTTGGGGGTTTTCGCTTGGAGGCCCGCGCCAGCGGTGGAGCTACTGGTCGGATTTCTCGCGGTCGTGGGAGCAATTGCAGTGGGCGACCTGGGGTTGTTAAGGTCTCTAGCGCGGAAATTGTGAACTCCGGCCTCCAAGAGGTGAAACTAGTGCGGATTGTCAAATCTCCGTCTTCGAGGACGCCGGCATCCCGGGTCAGCGGCCTGGTGGCGTCGCCTCCGCATTCGGGGGATGTGACGCTGATCAGCGGGCAGCACACTGATCAGCCACGTTAACGAAGTGCACTTTGATCGTATGGAGGAACAGCCGGTTTTCCAGCCGCCACTGTCGTTATTCGAAACACGCACCGAGTGATGGCCTATTTGTTGCTATTCAGCAGCGAATGCACCGCTGTACTTGGACTTCTCCTACACTTATGAGTGAAAAAGTGCGCCGTCAACCCCCACGCAGTCGTCTTCAACGTGACCAGGGTCGTGCGGATACAGTCGCAGTCTAGAACCGGCTCCTGGAATTCCCTTCAGTTCTTCGCACGCCATGTGGCGGGTTGAAGCCATTACATTGCCTGATCGCGACGCATCTTCAACAGTTCAAGAATGACAACGGTCTGCCAGGCATTCCGGAATGCAATTTGCCCAGGCCATGAGGGCGTGCGACCACGGGCTTTGTGGCTGTTCGGCGCTACCGAGCTGCACTGGGAACCGCGCCATGGGATTATGGAGTTCCGTATCCCCGTACTAGTGCCATGCCTATTGCCTCGGACCTTGTCTGACAGGCGACTTGCACCTTTCACCCTTGTCCTCCGGACTCATGTCTGGGACCCGAACGGGAAACAACCCCCGTGGGGCCCCGCGTCGAGAGGTATATGATAATAGAGGGATCGTCCGACTTTGCAGATGCCTTTTCTAACCTCATCCTCACCTCTCGCCACCACCACAACCAACACCTCGTTCAACTCGCTGCGCGACTCCGAGCACCGGTTGTCCACCATGTCGGATCCCGAGAAGACGCGTACTACCAGCACTGAGCACAATGAAGGCCCTCCTCAGTTGGAGAAGGGCGCGGTGCCCGCAGAGGCCATCTCAGCTACCTTGGAGGTCACGGGTGGTGCACCCAATCCATGGGGCAAGGGCCATCTGAAGCTGTACGGCGCATGCCTGGTTATCTACCTCTGCTCAACAATGAACGGCAAGTCTCCCCTACAACAGGCTCCCATGCCGTATAGGACGCGACTAATTGTTACAGGTTATGATGGCTCGCTCATGGGCTCTATCAACGCCCTCCCTGAGTATCAGGAATACTACAACCTGGGCAAAGGCGGGACTTCCACCACCGGCCTCGTCTTCTCCATCTTCCAGATCGGTCAGATGATCGGTGCCCTATTCACCTGGATCTGTGACTGGCGCGGGCGAAAGATTACCATGATCGTTGCTTGCTTCGGCATCCTTGCCTCGGCCATCTTTACCGCGCTGGCACCAACTCTGGCGTCCTTCATTGGCGCGCGATTCCTCCTCAGCTTCTTCTCTACCATTGCCACCGTGGCGGCACCGCTGCTCCTCGTCGAGATCGCGCCGCCGCTGCACCGAGGCGCTGTGGCCGGCGCATACAACACGCTCTATTACATGGGTAGCATTATCGCTACGTTTGGTGAGTTTCTGGCAGTTGCACTTATTTTCGTCGCGTTCTAACACTGCCTAGCCATGTATGGCGCGAACCTGCACTTGAGTGGTAACCTCAAATGGCGGCTGCCTCTCTGGCTTCAGATGCTGTGCCCTGGCCTCGTCTGCATCCTTGGCTGGATCGTTCCCGAGAGTCCTCGATGGCTCATTGCCAAGGGCCGATACGACGAAGCCCGCAACTTCATCATCACCCATCACGCCAACGGCGATGCTCATCATCCTATCGTGGCCATCGAGATGAACGAAATCGAGGCCTCGCTGCGGGACGGTCAGCTGCGCTCCGCCAAGTCGTACTTTGACCTGCGAACACTCGTCAAATCGCGCAGCAGGCTGTATCGTCTGATGCTTGCCATGACAATGGCTTGGTTCGGACAATTCTCTGGCAACAATGTGTCTAGCTACTATCTGCCTGTGATGGTGGAGAATGTTGGCATCACTTCCGTCAATACTGTCCTCCTCCTCAACGCCATCTATGCCGTTACGGGCTGGATCGCAGCGACAGCTGGAGGTATGTGCCCAGCATCCCACGCATTCTATTTGTACTAACACAGTCTCAGCCCGGCTGCACGACATCTTTGGCCGCCGTAAGATGCTCATGTCCTCTTGCGCTGCCATGTCCGTATCGCTGGCAGTTGTAGCAGCCACCGCCGCCAAGTACGAGCAGACGGCAAGTAAGACGGCCAGCTCTGCCAGCATCGCCTTCATCTACATCTTTGGCGTCGTATTCGCCATCGCTTTTACCCCCATGCAGCCAATCTACCCGGCTGAAGTCCTCGCCAACGACATGCGTGCCAACGGCATGATGATGTTCCAGATCACGGCCGGATGCGCCAGCTTTGTCAACACTTTTGCCGCTCCCATCGCCATGAAGAACATCAAGTATTGGTTGTAAGTTTGACCATCATGTCCCTTTCACCTAAACGATACTGACCGTTATCAGCTACGTGTTTTTTGTATTCTGGGACATTTTCGAGCTCGCCTTCATCTACTTCTTCTACGTTGAGACCAAGGGCCGGACTCTGGAGGAACTGGACCAGGTCTTTGAGGAAAAGAACCCACGCAAGGCCAGTACGCGCAAGGTCACCGTGGAGTAAGGATTGGACAAGCTGCAGCTCTGCTCGCTTTCGATGGGAGACGGATTGTCACGGCCCGGTGATCCAACCGGATAGCATTGTAATCTTCGGATAGCAGCTAGAGACAACTCGGAAGTGTGCCATGCGAGATAGAATTATCCGCAGTAAAGCTATTGGCCGTTATGTTGCCTTGCTTGCTCAACTTGATGCGATGTGATGCCCTTTTGTCCCCGCTGCCGGTCCCGGCAGCTCGACGTGTTGCCTGGCTTATAGCTGCGCGGGTCCGGAGAAGATCGTTACGCCTTTGGCCCGTCACACCCCATCGGGACACTCGGTGGCAGCGGTTCCCGCATGCAAGAGCAGGTCGAGAGATGCGGCCCCCTCTTGCTGAGTGACGCCTACCCGGCGACGCTAACTGAAGGAAACGGCTTTTTTTTGTGTCGCCGCACAAGCTCCCATTGAGTAAACGTGCGATTTTACATGTGCGTTCTACTGAGTCTAACTCATGCCAAGGTATTGGAAGCCTGGCGTGCCCTCTTTGACGGATGATCCATCTACGTCAATCACCTGCTCATCCCCAGGCATGACATCAATGCCGTTGTCGCTGAGACGAACCCCGTCCTTTTCTTCCAACACCAACCCTTTGGTTGGCCTGTCTGCCGTGATGACATATCTTCCAGCCGATGCCTCGATCTTCACACCTCGGTCCGGGAAGGCCAGATACTTAAGCGGCTGAGGCCAATCGGCCTCACGGGCAACCACCTTTCCACCAGAAAGAAGACGCACAGCGACAACGTGCGGCTCTTCGCTGACGTTGTCAATCTCGCCAGCATAGACCTCGGTCGTGCCGTTGGGTGCGATTGTCACGTTCGACTTGACGATCGGGGACTTGACCTCTGCACCCGTCTCCACCGAGAAGAAGCGAATCTCGACATCTCCAGTAGTCTCCTTGAGCTCACTGCTCGACACCCACACGTTGAAAGGCGACTTCTTTGCCGGTCGGGCGTGGCACACGCTCCAGTCGTGATGTTCCCGCTGGACTCCAACGGTGATTGGGCGCAGCGCCCGCGCAACAGTGTAGAAGCCAGGTTTCTTGCGAAGGAAGAAATCGACGATTGCCCAAGAAGTGCATGGCCAGCAGTCATTTATCTGCCAAACGAGGGCACCGCCGCAGTGGCGCTCGTGACCCCACTGGCGCCGGAAGCCTCGATAGGCGTAAGCAAGGGCCTCGCTCTGGGAAAGCTGGGTCAGGTAGATATGAGACTAATCAGGTCAGTTACGGGTGGTCATTGTCAAGGTTCCAATACTAATGGAGCCGCACCTGCAGGTCCGTGGGAGGTCGGAAGTTCTCAACCAGGTACGTCGCGATGCGTCTCTCGTGGCCGTCGGCCTTGTTGTGAAAGTCCAGCGTGTGAGACTGAGGGTATAACTCAGAAGGCTTCGTCACGAAGTGCTCAATGGTTGCCTGCTGAGGGAATGCCTCAAGACCAAATTCGCTGTTAAATCGGCCTCCAATTTTCGCGTAGGTTTGGTACTTTTCCTGTGTTCCGTGCCAGACTGAGGGATGTTTAGCAGGTCAGCAGGAACTAGTTGGGGAAGAAAGTTGGGGAAGAAACACCACGCACCGTTCCATTGGTGCACATCGCCGACAGTCAAGTCATCTGACCTCTTGCCGTTCGAGAATGGAGAGCTGGGCCAATAAGGGACACTCGGGCTTTCGTCTGCAATGACCTTGGGCAGCAGATGCTCATAGTAGTAGCGAGCCGGGTAGCTGCACTTCAGCCACGACTCTGCGTCCTTGTTCTCATAGTCGTAGTCGAGATTGTATCCCTCCTGGATTTGGTAGTCTTCATTGTTTCCGGCGTAAAGGACAATCGAAGGATGATGTCGTAGACGTCTAACATTTTGCCTGGCTTCAGCTTCAACAGAGTCCCTAAGCGAGGACCATGTGGGATAGCTGCCGCAGGCAAACATAAAGTCTTGCCATACAAGAATGCCGAGCTCGTCGCAAATCTCGTAGAACGCGTCGTCTTCGTATATGCCGCCACCCCAGACTCTGCAGGGATCGTCAGCGCTGAAGCGGGCATGAAGGGTTGCATCTAGCTTACCTTGTCATGATCTGATTTCCCTCAATCATCAGTTCCAGCCACTCTCTATACTTCTCACGTGTGAGCCTTGGTAGGAAGTTGTCGGCGGGGATCCAGCAGGACCCTCCCGCGAAGACGTCCACGTGGTTGACGCGGAAGTAAAAGGATTGCCCGTGGGCGTCATCCTTTTGCACAAGCTCACTGTGGCGGAAACCAGTTCTCTTTGTCTTGCGATCGACGACAGACCCATTCTTGACGATTTCCACGGTAACATCATACAGCGATTGCTCACCATATCCGACCGGGTACCATGCCTTCAAATCCTCTATCTGATGTGAGCATCGGGACGTCGGTTCGTTTTGGGGGTGGCTTCCATACCGACTTTGAACTCGACATTGGCTTTGCCGTCTTTTCTATGGCTTGACGAGCCAGAAAACAAGCTCCCACCGTTCTTGCCGATGGAGAGCCGGATCTCGTCCACTTCGCCAGACGAATGAACCTCAACAGTGCCGGTAGCGACAGACAAGTCCTCCGAGACATCATACTTGACCCAAAAGTCGTCAATGTGCGACGAGGATACTTCAAGGTAAACAGGTCTCCACGGGCCGGCAGTCATGAGAACAGGTCCCCAGTCCCACCCCTACACTAGTGTTAGAGACGGCGTCCGAGTGGCACAGTGAGCAAGCTTACCCAGTGATACTGAGCCTTCCTCACCGCAAGTCGTCCAGTCTCACCATTGTGAGCGATGAAACGATAGTCAGAGTGCTCCTTCTCAAGTGCTCTGCCGCGCAAGAGTGCGCTGTCGAAGTCGATGACCAGCGTATTGGAATCCTTCACCACTTTGGTGATATCGACACGATGGCTAAGGAACATATTGTCGCTCTCCAACACGACAGTTCCGTTCAGTGTCACTTTTGCGAAAGTGTCTAATCCCTGAAACAAGAGGTAAACTGAAGAGGTCGCCGCCCCGTCCGGCGCTGCAAAGGTCGTGCGATATGTCCACGACTTTTCGCCAACCCACTCGACATCAAGCTCATTGAGCCCGAGGAATGGATCCGGGATACTTTTGTCACACAGTATTAGCAAAAGCCACAGTAAACGCTTGAATGACTTACCGGCCATTTGCCATGAGGTCGAGATGGGACACCGTAGGCACCTTCGCGACAGGCGCCCAGGCATCTTCCCCCTCATCCGTTTGCTTGAACGTCCAGCCCGAGCTGAGCTCGATTCTCTGTGCAAGTTCCGTCATTCTGGAAGCAACTGTTCCAGTACAAGTCTAAAATGCCACACAAAGTTACACTGCTTATTGAGACGGCTGTCGTACGTGCGCAGAGCAATGTCGTGGTGGCGCGGGGTGCTTTATATCTTCTCCCAGCCCCGATAGCGGTACGTGTATCCACTAATCTCGCGGTTTAGTGTTGCCGCTGTAGTTGCATGTAAGCTCGTCATGCCCAGAATTAATAATGGATCGCCCAAGACCGCAAATGCGTCTTCACTTCGTGATGCTGAAGATTTACAAGCTTCGCAGCTGGAGAGTTGACCGTGGCTGACGACGTGGAAGCCTGGTACCTTGGTGGCGCAACACCTCAAATAATAGGACATTGTTGAAGATCCAATGGTGCATGGAGGTTCAGGCGGTCTTACCGAGCAAATATGAGGTCCCTTGGAGCACAGGCCGGCATGTTAGCCATCGACGTCGATGTCGGCCCATGCGCAGCAAATATGTAAGTCCGCGCTAGTGCAACGGATCACCCCGCACAGCGCTGCCATGGTCCACACCACTGATCGACTGACACGGAAATTTAAAATCCCAGCTGTCGCGGGCTCTGTTGCAAGGGGGGGCAGTGGTCTATGGGGCCAGCCGGCTGGCTGTGCCTTGCCGTAACGTAACGGGTTCTGCCCATGCACTTTGCACCGAACGATGAACCCGACATCAAACTTCTAATTATGTGATCTATGGCGCCATGTCCCAAATTTTTGTGCCACTGGTACTCTTGCGTACCGACTCTGCCGGTCCAAGTACGGCGCAGTGCAGCCTCAAGCTTTCCAGTCCCATCTCTTCCGCATGAACCGCATGAGGTATACCAGGCCAAGGAGGACCGGGACTTCAATTAGTGGTCCTACAGTGGACGCAAGGGCCTGGTCGCTATCCGGTCCGAAGGTGGCAACGGCAACAGCGATGGCCAGCTCAAAGTTGTTGCTGGAGGCGGTGAAGCTCTGCGTTACAGCGAGCGGATACTTGAAGCCAAGGCGATAGGTGATGAAGAGCGTGACGCAGAAGATGGAGATGAAGTAGACAACAAGCGGCGCCGCAACACGAACCACAGATACCACCTGGTGGACCACCTGGCGGCCCTGGGACGCGAAGAGAACAATGATGGTGTAGAGCAGACCGATCAAAGACCAGGGCGCTGCGAATCGGAGGAACACGCGCTCGTACCAAGCTGGCCCGGCAGTCATTCGCAACGCGAAGCGAGTGATGATGGCGGCCGCTAGGGGAATGCCCAGGAACACCCCAACGCTTGTAGCAACAACCTCGTACGAGACGTCTCTGACCCCGGTCTCGCCCCCAATGACGCGGATGAAGAAGACGGCGAGGGGGGCGAAGAGGACCATTTGCAGGATCGAGTTGATTGCAACAAGGATGGCGCAGTATTCGTTGTCGCCGCCAGCTAGGCCGTTCCAGATGAGCACCTAGATTGTCTCACTGTCAGCTGCCTGATGTTATAGCCCGAACGAGCCGTTTTTGACGGCTGGGGTAGTTGACGAACCATGGCGATGCATCGTCCGAGGCCGACAAGGATCAGGCCGGAACGCAAATCACTTTTGTCTGGAAGGAATGCCCACGCAAGACCAAGCTTAAGGTGGCGTGGTGTCAGTAAGCGCAATCTAGGCACAGGGCGGAAACCGTCGCAGGGAGATAGGGTAGGGTGAGTTTACCATCAGGAACGGGGCTACAACCCAGTTTACAACGACGCTGAAGAGTATCTGCTTCCACATAGAGCGCTGGGCGAGAAGCTTGTGGAGCGACTCGTATCGGACCTTGCATAGGATCGGGTACATCATGACTAGGAGGCCAACGGCTAAAGAAGATGTTGTTGATTAGCTTCTTGCGCATGCATGTAGACCGTGGAACGACTAGACTCAGGTACATACCAATTGGCACCGACACGCCGACAAATTTTCCCTTTTGTAACGCGGGTCCGGTCGAGGGTACGAAGTTGCCGAGGATGATGCCAATTGCCATGGCAAGGAAGATCCATAGGGCGAGGAAGCGGTCGAGCCATCCTAGCGCTTTGAATGCTGATATGGAATCCTTCTCTTCATCGCCGTCTCCGTCAACTTGGCCTTCCAGGTCCCGGGCGGTCGCGGGGACAACGTCGGGCTGCTCCGCTAAAGGTGAGGCGGTGAAGTCACCAGACTTGGGCTCAGACGACATGACTGCGACGATGTATCTGCCTGGGCTTGCGTTTCGAGGTGAGAGTTGCAGTACTGGTTTGCATCAAAATATTTTCATGGGAACTGCTCGCGTCGTTTATATGGTGCCAGTTGACATGGAGGGTCCCAGTGCCACCTGGACCCTGGGGATGCCCAAAAACTGCCGCTTTGCTTTTCTGGAGGCTGTGGACCAATCATAGCACGGGTGTGACACATGTATCGTGTTTCCTCTTTGGGAAGTGGCGGCTCCGTGCTGGAACTGTCATGTTGCCGCTGCCGCCACCGGCCGCGATCAATTTCTCAGGTCCCGGACGCAACAGCTCAAAAAAGTGCCGACCAATCATGTATGTGGCGTGACGCACTCCCGGGCCATTCCATGTCAGAGCCCTTCCCCAGGCAGTTGCTTCAGCGGCGGCAGCTTGACTGCCGGGTTGAAAGGAAAACTGCGCGTGGAGCCCTTTACTGCTGAGGCCATGCGCGGAGTAAACTTGAGTCTTTCTACTTTCTTTCGTCAAAGTATATCACCGCAGCGACTTGCACGACAGACATCTCTTTACCCAGCTTCCCTTGTCGCTACGATGGCGACTGCACACGGGTCAAGCACCGCAAGCTCTCCGCCCTGGTACGCGGCGTATCCTCCTCCGAGGCATCTACAACCAGGATACGTGACGCGCGAGGAACTTCTGAGTATGCTCAAAGATGGGGAGAATGTTACTGCGAATGACTTTGTCCTCGTCGATTTGCGGCGCGCCGACCACGAGGTGAGTTTGCTAGGTGGTACTTGGTGCCTGACAGCACCAAGCAGCCCGCGAGCTATGCCCTACTGCCTCAATCCGCCGTTGTGCTATTGTCTCGCTCGTCTGACGCTGACTCTTGCCGCTACCTTAGGGGGGCACCATCCGAGGCTCTTTGAACCTTCCAGCGCAGAGTTTATACCCAACCATCCCAACACTCTACTGCCTATTCAAGGCAGCCGGGGTGCGCAAGGTCATCTGGTACTGCTGTAAGTAGAGAGTCCCCGATGTGTACTCGTAAAATATCGTTCCTGGTTCGCGGCTGAAAGCTCTACAGCTTCATCACGAGGTCGCGGCACTCGGGCTGCTGGCTGGTTTCAGGATCACATCGTTGACTGCGGCGGCGGCGACAGTATAGAAAGCCTGATTCTCTACGAAGGCGTCAAGGGCTGGGCGTTGGGCGGGAGCCAGTTTGTGGAGTGGATGGAGGAGTACGACGCAGCGCCCTGGACCAGCAAGGCCACATAGACCGTATTGTGGCCTCCGCTCAGCCTGCATGTTAGGTAGTATATAGAAGTGAATCCATGGTAATTTCTATCTTTGTGGGAAGGTTCTAGAGTCCTCGTCCAAGGCAGCCGCCACACAAGCCCTCCAGCAGACAGCTGCGGCGGGCCCACCACCCATGATGACGTGACATGTCCACCTGGCGGTGCATGGTTGCAGCGAGCTACAGCAGCTGGGACACTAAAACCGAGAAGCTGTGCCGCCCAGGAGAACCAGATTTAGCATCAAGTGGCAAGAATTACCGACACCATCTATTTCCTAGTCTGCTCTCCAACTAATACAACACCGCGGGTAATCCTGCCTCTGGGGACACTCGACCTGGGAAGAGACGACCTCGCGGCATTTCAGCGACCGAGTGGACAGGAGCCCTCCCCTCCGCCCCCCCCGCGCGGGTCTGGCTTGCAGCGCTGCGTGTCAGTGACACCACCAACGCCAAATGCCTCGGAAGGTACGATGCCCATATGACTTGCGTTCGTCACAGGCTCACATGGACCACACCCGGGCAGTTCAAGACACCGGATTCTAGCGCCCAGAATCGTGAGAGGCAGCGGCGCTCCCGAGCCCGGCGGAGGGAGCTCATCGACGACCTGTCGAGGCAGCTGGACGAATACAAGCGTCGTGACGCCCAGGCGACTCAGGAAATGCAGCGGGCTGCCAGGGCCGTCTCAGATGAGAACCAGCGATTGCGTGCCTTGCTACGCCTGCGCGGCGTCTCCCCGAGCGAAGTCCGTCGGTATTTGGCCTCTTTCCCGTCCTCCGCTTCTTCCAGCATAAATTCCGCGTTGCCGACTGCTACCCGAGTCTCCTCCTCGTCCTTGCCGACTCGCAGCACGTCGACGATTGCCAAAATGAGTCCCACAGCACCTGCGACGGCGCCAGAACCAGGGCTTCCGAAGCCAGCACTGTCCCCATCTGGTGGCAGACGCAGCCTCGATGTAGCGCGACCTCAGCGCCAGGCTGACGGGGACGAGTTCTGCCAACGGCCCGGCTACGACGGAACCCAATATCTCGAGCAGGTTGAGCGTTCCATCGACAGTGTGCTTCCGCCAATGTCGGACTGCTTTTGCCCGCCCGGGCCGCCGACAGAGGATACGGATGGAAGTCGGGCGGAAATGCTCGAAACGTCCTGTGATGCGGCTGCGGCGATTCTCCTCGAACTTCACGGTCAAGCCACCGACTTGGGTCGGACACGAGCCGCCCTCGGATGCAATGGGGGGAGCAGCTGCTTTGTGAAAAACACCACGCTATTCAGACTGATGGACGACATGGACGGGTGAATTATGCCGACCCAAATGTGCGAGGCGTCGGGCAGGAGATCGATTCCAGCGTTGGTGGCGGTGATGGACTCATTCAGGGAGCGTGGAAATGCCCGTAAAGCCCCGTGCCTGTAAGTGGGTAGCCACCTAATCAGCCGCCGTCCCCACTGGAGCCGCACCAGCCAGCGCTTTAAATTGACCCTGAACATTGTCTTCTGTCAATACCTCTTCCACCAGCTCCAGTCCCTACTACGTGATACCTTTTGGACATATCGTTGCAGGAAATGTACCGTCTGCAACGGTCAATCCGGCTCGTGTCCCCAAAAGCCCATTATTTGGCGGTTTCAACACAGCAGCGCCCATTGCACAGTACCGCGCCACGCCCGCGTCCCGTCAGCACTATGAACGGGCACGGGGACCTTAATAACTCCCATGCCATGCGAGAGGCGATACAGCTCGAAGTCGATACAACTTACCGCTTGCGGTCCTTGGCCATCGGGCCAGATGAGGATGATTGTCAGATCCGTGAGCTCTACCGTCCGTTTCTCTTGCCTGACGCCTTTGCCGCGGACGATTGGGTTGCGCATCAGGAGCTCAGCACAGCTCTGAAGATGGTTGAGTCGCAGATTCTGGACAAACAGCAGGACCGGCTGCGGATTCTCGTTCTTTATGGCAGCTTGAGAAGCAGGTGGGTTCCGCCATTGACAAGCAGATGCTCTACCGCGTCGTCGCGCTCGTTAAATGGAGCCTTGAAGCTAACAGCAGCCTTGGTAGATCCTATTCGCGTCTGCTGGCGTTCGAAGCCGCCAGGATACTCTTTCGCCTAGGCTGCGATGTCCGAGTCTACGACCCAGCCGGCTTGCCACAGAAAGATGACGTCCAGCATGGCCATCCCAAGGTGCAGGAGCTGCGCGACCTCAGCAAGTGGAGTGACGGCCACGTATGGATCAGCCCCGAGCAGCACGGCAACTTGGTAAGTCTGCATCGATTGCGATGGACCAGTGAGCTTTATGAAGTGGCTAACCTGCGTCGCTCCAAAGACGGGTATTTTCAAGCAGCAAATCGACTGGATCCCATTGTCATCGGGAGCGGTGCGGCCGACCCAGGGCAGGACTCTTGCCGTTGCGCAGGTCAGTGGCGGGTCGCAGTCGTTCAACGCCGTGAACTCGCTGCGAATTCTTGGTCGTTGGATGCGCATGTTTGCTATCCCCAACCAGAGCTCTGTGCCGAAGGCGTACACACAATTCACTTCTGAAGAGGAGGGCAGCCGCATGATGCCCAGCTCGAATCGCGACCGTCTTGTCGATTGCATGGAGGAGCTGGTCAAGTACACGATTGTCATGAGGCCTCATTTTGACTTGTTTGGCGATCGCTACAGCGAGCGTGAGGAGCGGAGGCTAAAGGCTCTGCAAAAATAGACATTAGTCGCGTAGCAACATGCTTTGTTCTTCAAGGGACAAATCCCCATGTAGTGACCGAAAAGAGATTTGTCTTCGTAGTCGTCGTGGGCTCACTTCATATGCGCTTTAGTCTTTTCTCAGGCCGCTTGGTTTCGTCTCCTGGCAGCTGTGGCAGTAGCATGGCCCCCGAACCTGGGAACCGTGGGCGGCATTGTACGGAGACTGGGACGGTCGTGCAAGCTGTCCAATGAAATCGGAAGAGTGACGCAACTCCGCAATCCCTGACCCGACCCTTTTTTTTTCTCCGAGCCCGGCGGAGTGACACATCACTAATAACATACACGATGTCGTTGTTTTGCGCGGTAAGGAACGAGCCACATGGCAATACAACTTCTCGAACGGTATCGGCATTAGCAGCAACAGTTTTGGGCAGTCCGGACAAGAGACCCAGCTCAGCCAAGTGAAGTGGTCAGTATGCAAGGCCCGCCGCTGAAAGTACACGTACACAGTACTTGGGGTCGTTCCTCTTTAGCTGTTGAAATTGTTGCATCATGCGGTCGTAGGGTTCTTCCAGAGTTGGAGGCATTTCCTCGACCACCTCTAGCAAGTCCCAGCTGCTCGTCATGTGGAGCTCTTCTATGTGGCCATTGGAGAATGTCCTGCTCAAGCGCATTCTGGTCAATGGCGTAGCGACGTTTCAGCTGCAGTTTTATTGGAACATATGCATGACACGTCCGACGAGGACGATCAGATCATCGCTTTGAAGGAAGAGCCTCAGCTTCCGTGGACTGAGATACATTGACGTCACGCAAAACGATATCCAGGTCGATCCAACGGTTCACTTCAAGTACGGTATTGCACAAAACTAAAGTGTCGGAAGCAATCCTAGCATAGCTACGTCTTCTCTAGACCCACTGGTCGAATAGAAGTGGGATTTTGGCGCATACTGATTCAGAATGCGCATTCCAGTGCTGTGCCCTTCACTCTGTGCTGCAAGTGTGGTTGTATGGTCGTCGGATGAGGGGCAAACATCCACGTACACACGGTGCGGCCACACACGGCCACACACATCTCAACGGTTCCAAGGCGCTGGCGGATCTCCAACCCGTCCACGGGATGTAGAGTTGCATGCGTCGTGGACTCCAGTCATCATTTGTGATGAGCCTGGGAAGGTGTTCCGCTGAGGCTGCATTTCGCGTAGAGTCTGGTGAGTGCGGGGCCTCGGCCGGGGCCACCGGCGCCACCACGCGCTTCATCCGACTGTGGCCTGTATGTGTGTATGTGCGTGCTGACAGGGAGCGGGGGGATATCCAATGAGAAGTCGATGGATGAGTTGGAAATGCTGTGCTGCAAGCTTAAACGAACGAGGCTGCGGCCCTGGTCACTCTCCTGCAGTGGACAGCCTATCTAGATGAACGAGGTTACTGGATGGGATAATATCCGCCGCGGCCACATACTTCCCCAGCGCTCGCGTTGGTCGGCGAATCTATCATGGTCCAGACCGCCGCACCGACTTCTGTGATTTGCCAGGCGGTTCCGGCGCGCCTCGGATGTCAGCTGTGCAGGACGGGTCACGTCTTCGAATCAGAAAGGATGCGAAAGGTGCAGATGTGGCGTGAGCTTGTTCGATATGGATTCGAACTTTGTCACAATGCCCGGCAGGTGCGACGCATGCGCTACAATGGCTGCTTTCCCGAGTCCGAATCGTCGCCCGAGTTTAGCCCTTGCCTGCCGGGGACGGTTAATGTATGTAGGGAACAGAGGGGTATAACGGAGGAAAGTCATGCCAGGGACTGTGGCATCTCTATATCATAAAACTGGGTGCATTGCTCGGGTTCCGTGACACAGTGCAATGCACATCTAGTGTTGGGAAACCTCTGACGTTTAAAGCCTCCTCTATCCGTTCACAGAATTATCTCGTCACATAACTGAGAACTCCTCGAGTCAACTTCAGTCCCATCAATAGTACTACCACAGAGCGGCTTCTTACACTATCCACAATGACTCCGAGTCCCTTTAGAGTTATTGTTGTCGGTGGTGGCCCGGTCGGGATGACAGCCGCGCACGCTCTCTCACGCGCAAACCTTGACTTCATCGTGCTCGAGCGCCGCGCCAAAATGGTTGAAGATGCCGGCTCAAATCTTGTTCTCCTTCCCATAGGATTGCGTGTGTTGGGCCAGCTAGGCTTGCTCCCCAAGATCGAGAGCGTCAGCTCACCCATGAGCCGTTTCAGGCGCATGGATCATAACGGACGCGATCTTGGCGACACCCTGTGGTTCACATACTTTAAGGAAAAGTCGGTACGCCCCAGCTGCCGGCTGCCGCAGCTTCCAACTTGTTAAAATCTATGGCTAATGGTAACCTGTGCAGCCACGGGGCCTACCCACGAGTGATAAGCCGACATGATCTTATGCAAACCCTACACGATGGCCTCCCAGCGGAGGCGAAGGCAAAGCTTCTCCCTGGCAAGAAGGTCATAGATGTCTCTTCCGGCCCTGACGGCGTCAGCGTGACTTGCGCGGACGGCACCTCGTATACCGGAACCGTCATCGTCGGCGCTGATGGTGCCCACAGCCGGGTGAGAGACTTGATGCGGACGGCGGCCCTTCAAGCACCGCCCACCACCGAGAACAAAATCAATGAAGCGGAGCCGTTCCTCACTACCTACCGTGCCATGTGGGTACGTTTTCCAACAGTCCCTCCGATCAAGGCCGGAGATGCTAGCGAAACACACGGGTACAATTGTACTCTCCAGCTCTTCGCTGGCGAGGGCACCTCGGTCATCGGAGTGTACGAGCGCATGGAGAAGCCGACGCGCGAAGGGGTGCGGTACAACCAGGCAGACGAGGAGAAGTTCATAGAAAGGTGGGGTCACCTGCCCATTATCGAGGGCGGGTTGACGATCAAGGAAGCCTATACCAATCGGACCCAAGCCGGCATGGTGAATCTTGAAGAAGGCGTCGTCGACCATTGGAGCTGGGACCGAATCGTTCTTGTCGGCGACGCGGCGCACAAGTTCACGCCAAGCACTGGCGCGGGCTGCAACAACGGCATCGTCGACGTTGTGGCGCTCTCTAATGAGATGTACCACGCCTTCAAGGCTGTCCGGGCCTCGGACCCGGAAGCCTTTCCGACCAAGGAACAGGTGTTCGCTGCGTTTGAGGGCTATCAGCTCGCGCGCTTCGAGACGGTCAAGGCTGGCCTCGCCGGTGCAAGCCAAGCCACCGGCGCCGCGACGTGGGCGGATACAACACACAAGTTTGTGGACCGCCATATCCTCTCAAAGCAGTCGCTTCAGAAGTTCTTTGCCAATCGGAACGCGCCGGCGCTGGCCCGTACACCTGTCTTCGAGTATGTAGAAGGCGAGGAGCAGATGGTTGGGAAGTTTCCCTGGGCTCATCCCATCAAGCCGGCGTCCTCCTAGTTGGGTGCTACTGACTTCCTATGCAGTACGAGACGACTCTCATTGATTTCTTTTATAATAGTCAGTTATGACAACACGGATAAGTTCTGGAGACTCCCAAGACACTATGGGTGCATGTATTTGCATCAACCAGCTGTCTCGAGCTCATCCAGTCGGCGGTGCATTGTGCTGTCTCTCCTAATCCCCTACTTCGGCCCACGACAAACAGACATCTTCCTCAAGACCCTTTTGAATATATACTCTGTTTATGTCGGGCGATGGGCATGGTTCGAGGGCCATTGATACCCGGGCCGAACACTTTGATACCCTGGCCGATTCTTACATGGGCGTTGTGGCGGGGCGACATGCGGTAACTCAACGCTCGACACCTCTGTCTCTCATGTTCTTCCTCCATTTCTCTCCATACACCCACTCTAGCCAGGCCAGGGCCAGGGCGATCATACCAAGGCCACCAAAGATTGTAAACGTCCAGCCAACCCCCATGCTGTCTATAAACACTTCGACCAGGGCGGTACCACCACCGGCGAGAAAAGCGCGAACAATGCTGTTCGCGGCCTGTGCTGTCGAGGGCGATCTCGGATGAATGTCGACGAGAAGAGTTCCGCAAATCTATTCCAAGGGGGATGGTCAGTTTCATGCCGGTAACATGTCAGCACGGAAAGGCGGGGCGCGTACATTGAACACGACCGCTGTAGAAAGGCCGATGACGAAATGCAGTACCAGCGGAACTGCCATGTTCTATTTACCAGTGAGCCGCCCGAACGAACAACGCCGAGATTGGTACTGGCAAAACCTACCGCCTTGAGCTGCAGAGACCACCCATATCCGACCAAGGAAACTGCTCCAGCACTAATTACATGCCAAATACTTCGGAACCTTGCCCTTTCGATAGGAAAATGGTCTAAATCATCACTGCCCGGAATATTTATCTCGATCTCATTCTTGCGAGCGATGACACGGTAATCGTGGTCCAGGAGGCTGCCTTTAGGGATAGTTAGAACGCCAAAACCGGGTGCCAGATTCAGGTACAAGACACGAAGCTCAGCGCCACAGGATCTGGTTGAGGGCGTTGGAGCATTTCAAGACGGAGCTCTAACTGACCTGCACAGTACGCGCCAATGCAGGATCCGATGCCAGAGGGTAGGTACACCAAGCCCAACTGGATCCCCGAAATATCGTACACGGTGAGAAAGAGCGTCGAAGTAGATGCTTGGAGAGAGCTGAGGTTCATGTAGAAGATACCAAATATGAGCGTGATCAGCGCACTGTCTTTTGCCCACAGCAGCTTCAGACTGGCCAGTGGGTTGGGCAACTTCAAACGCCTCCCAGTGTCGTTTCCTATCGCGACAGCCGCCTCGCCGCTTGCGCTGCCAGGCCTCCGGTGGCCCTGTCGTAGTGTCAAGAGTTGCCAATGCGACAGAACCGTGCGACGAAAGCCCGAGACTTTCCCAGATCCGTCGCCAACAATTGAACGCGCCGTCTCCGGGAGCAGTAGTGCAATGAGCAACAGACATGCGCCAGACGATATAGCGAGGAACCAGAATATCCAGCGCCAGCCCAAATAGCTGGCTAAAGCGCCACCGAGAATTGGACCAACGGCCGTCGTTATATTGGGCCTTTGCTCTCCGAGGTTAGCCTCGACCCTGTTGTGTAAGAGAAGCAGCCAGAGATTGTGGGCAGCGACGCGACTCAAGCACTTTGCTTATATGTCAAGTTGTCCAATTCAGTGAATAACCTACCCGAGAACCAGACCAGAAACAAAAGTGCCGCGCTTGGATGGCGGAGCTATGTCTGATACTACACCATATCCGACCGCAATGGTGGCTGGTCTGTCAATCAGTTCAAGCACGAGTATGGTGTGAAACGATTGAACTACGCTTGACGTACCCGCACTCCCACAGCTTTGCAACATCCTCAGTAGGAAAAGCGCCGTCCAGTTATTTTGCAGCGCAAGACCAACGTTAGCAACGCAGTACACGCTCATCATGAACAAGTACACCGGACGACGTCCGATCTTATCTGCCAAATCCCCTAGGAGCGCCGGGGCCAATCCAGCCACTATCATGTACGACGTGATGGTGAGATTGATCCGCCCAACTGGAACTTGCAGTGCCTGGGACAAGTCGTCAATGGCTGGGAAGAAGATGAACGATGATAAGGGCGAGAAGCTCGCCGCATAAGAGGCCAGACAAAGTACAAGGACATGTTGTCTCCTTGTGAACACAGAATACGGCGGCGGCAGTGGAATAGGCGCAGTGGATGTAGAGATGCGCTTCGTTACAGCGGGCTGCTGATCGCGCTCTGATGCTAAGAGGTCTTTCGGTGGTGACATCTTCTAACGCGATGCAATGGATCCGAGAATTCGACAGAGCTTTCGAATCGTCTGATCGAGTCTGTGACCACAGAATGACGCATGCTGCGAGGGGTGTTGAATCATCTTGTGAAATAGGGCGTATCGCCCAGCACTGATTCAGCGCACAACCGGCCTGGACCGTGTCGTGTCAGCTACCTATTCTTGGACATTAACACGGGGTCCGTGAAGGCATGAACGGGCAATCCTTTGTGTTGTCCAGTAGCTGCGCTAGGTATATAATTGGCCAGCTAAGTCCGTTCAGATGGTGACAAACAGACAGCACGGATCACCCACATCCACTTCGCAGAGCATCCAGTGTTGAACTTCGGCGCAAGGGCGAGTTACGCCACCGTTAGCAAACGTACCCGATATACCAGACCCCTGCGCACCTTCATTCATGTTCTCATATCTCAGAAGAGCCGCTGCCCTTGTGCGACATTAAGCTCAATGCAAACCTGTAAATCTAAGAATCTCAGTGATGTCTTCTCAGACGATCGCAGTCATTGGAGGGTTGGATGCCGATCTGATCATGATCGCGAGTCGAATCCCAGACTGTGGGGAAAGCGTGCTGGCAAACGAGTACTTAGAGGCGTTGGGCGGCAAAGGGGCGAATTCCGCGATTGCTACCTACCGGACCTGTCACAAAAAGCCACTCCGGGGCTCAGATGTTTGCGACAACATGTCCAGCAACGGGAGAGTCATACCCAATACGGAGGAGCTCACGAATGACGACTCCGCTGAAGACCAAATACGTGTCAAGATGATCGGCGCCGTTGGGGACGACCGATATGGGGACAAATTCATCGTGGAGTTGAAGAAGAATGGCATCGACACTTCCAGCATCGTAACGGTACCCAACACGCGATCGAGCATCTGCTTCGTCATGGTGGAACACCTGACACGGGAGAACCGATGTCTCTTTACGCTAGGTGCGACTGCTGCCTGGAAGAGGGAAGACTTTGCAAACGCTGAACAGCTTGGAGGCGGAACTCGACCGGCCTTGGTCGTGGCCCAGATGGAAATTGACAGAGATGTCGTGGAAACCATGGTTGAGACTGCGGGCAAGGCTGGCATCGATTTTTGTTTGAACGCAGCGCCCGCGACGCCCATTGGCAAGCAATTCTACCGACATCTTACGCACCTACTCGTCAATGAATCAGAGGCAGCCATCATGACGGGTCGCGATAGAGATGAGGTCAATGAGGGAACCTGGTCAACAATTGCCCGGGAGTTCTTGGATCATGGCGTCAAGAATGTGGTCATCACCTTGGGTGCCAAAGGGGCGTTTTACGCCAACGCGACAGGCAGTGGTCGCTGCCCTGCATTCGACGTTGCGGTTGAGGATACTACTGGAGCAGGGTTCGTACTCTTCTGAATCTCTTCTTCCGCACATGGACTAACAGGGATGCTCAGAGATACCTTCACTGGCGCATACGCCTCTGATTATTTGCGCCAGAAAGCCAGCGGGACTTGGGACATTCGGAGCGCCGTCTGTCGCGCTAATAAAGCTGCTGCAATCACGATCCAAAGCGTAGGGGCTCAAAACGGCATCCCTTGGGCTGACGAAATTGAGAACTTCAATGCTCCTACGAGTCCCTGACGTGGCGCGGCGCACTTGCTCAATCACCTACGCCACGAGCGAGCTTTGAGTAGCCACAGCGGTCCGGGATGCAATGGGTACAATTTCGATCAAGGTACCAGGATTATGTGGCTTCTGAAACGCAAATATCCATATCTGAAGATATCTAATGCTCCCTAAGGAGGGCCTTCCATATAACGACCGTGAGTCTCGTACGGACTAAATGATGCCGCAACGCGCAAAAACCCTGTGCGTACTACTCGCCCTTCAGCACCTTGGTTTCAGGGCCTGTGGGACTGCCCAGTGTGTCAAAGTCAATCCAACTTGTCTCCGCATTCATCATGTCCATGTTCAATAGGTCGTCAAATGCGTTGTCCGAGAGGCATATGGACGACAACGCCTCGGCCGGCAACGACGAAGGCCCCCGTGCGCTGTACAGAAAGCGGACTACTTCGCCGCTGCGGCTGGCTCCTGGACACCAGCGCTCCATCTGATGCAAGAGATCCGTGGCTCTCTGAAGCGTCTGATCCCATAATTGCGCCTCTGTGTTCTCTGGCTCTGTAATGAGGGCCAGCAGCAGCACCAGGGCTGCCTGGAACATGTGCCAAACACTGTGCCACGCCGATATTTGGTTGGGAAACCAATCGGCCGCAATGGTGTCGATGGTGTCGACAGCAATATTTCGACATGTTCTGATAAGGTCCTTGACAGCCGTTGTTTCGCTGCTTGGGCAGTCCGGTCCGCGGTTGAGCGCTGCGTTGACGAGGTGTGGGCGATAGAGTGCTAGGCGAAGCGTACACAACCGACACCGAAGTAGCGCGCGGGCTGATCGAAGTACTTCTGGGCAGTGATTTGCGTCTCGAAGGAGAGGATGCAACGAGTGCTGCCAGTTGAGGATCTTTGAATCCAACTCGGTGATCTCTGATGGTGCCAAGAGCGGTACCACCGCCATTCGGTGCTGAATGTGGGCGGCAATCTTGCAGAACTGCTCGCTTGCCCGCAGCGAGATACCGTGATAGTCCTGAATACTCAAGTCAGCATGCTATCCTGATGCAATCGGACTCTTGTCAGTCCGGCTTACAAGTGGTGATGCCAGGATTGGCGATGAAGTCGAGATCGTGCCATTGTCCAAGGAGGGCACATCTGGCCTTCCAAGGGTCGTCCCAGCCCAGACATCGAGGCAAAATAGAGACCACCAGGTTCGAATCCGCGTTTCTGTTCTTTTGTGGCTGTCCGATCCTGGGTCCAACCCACTGGCGTGTTGATGGCTTGAACGATGAAGGCCAATCGCGACGGCCATTCGCAGCGCGGCTCCCATTACCACATGGGCTGTGTTTGGCCGATTCAGGTAATGAAGGTAATGACCTCCCAGAAGCGAAAGCGCTTGGACTGTGTATAGATGTCCCGCCCCTAGGCATGAGAAATCAAGATGCTTCGATGCGCGACGGTAGTACAGAAGGTGTCCGGTTTGGTTGCCACCAGTATATGCAACATAACCCAGGGCAAGGACCATGTTCATCAACGCAAACCATGGCCCAGTATACTGGCTGTCCCTTACCCCTTGGACCCTGGCTCGTCGAAAATTGGCTTCGTCTACCATGGGTGCGATGGCATGCACGTGGTTGAAGTAGGCATCAATGAACGCTCCCTCCTCCGAGGCGTTGGGTAAAGTCGGTGCTTGGGCCAGATTGCGGATGCTCGAAGTGTCATTTGCAGGCCGGATGTTTCGCTTCAGCTTCTCTTCTTGTAGCATGTTCTGGGCGGAAGTGGAACATCGGAATATCGTTCGAATCATCGTGGGGATCGAGGAAGCTCCTTGGAAAGATGTGTGACTGCTATCCAAAGTGAGGGACAGGCCGTTGACATCATCTTCAACCCGGGGGCCACTCAACTCGCTGTCGGTCATTTCATCCCATTCGAAGTTACAATCGGGTCCAGGGCTTAGAGGGCTGATTGGAACTGAGGAGAGAGTCGAGTGGGCAGTCAGTCTCGATCTTGGTGTATTTGCCTCCGGCGCCGGTACTTCTTCGCCATTCACCAATTCCAGTAGCTGTTTCCGTGACATGGAGGAGAGCTCTTCCATTGAAGACGAGGGGAAGAGAGTGTTCAAAATCCTGCGAGACGATTCGTATGCAGCAGAAAGGTCTGCGTACGCCCTGATCCGCCGTCAGCCGGTACCCTAGGCGACCAAACGAGTCATAGAGGTGTGGACATACTTTAACGTAGGTGCATGACGTCTTTTGCGAGTCGGATAGTGACAAAGGTGCGGCACCTCGTAGTATATGCACTGACGGCATGGTGTTGTTTGTCCCTCGCAGCGGACTCTCCGACGTCGGCACTCGGCACATGAATGGGTTTGCCGGCGGCCTTTCGGACTGGGTTGAGTGGACAGCGAGCTTGGATCAGATTCGGCAAGTTTATCTACCGGCATGTTGAAGGCGAAGGAAGGAAAGACGGGAATAGATCTGGCATGGGCTTAGGCAGGCTGACACCAGTCGCGGTCCTGCTGATCGAGGATACCCACCTTCCTTCGCTGCAGTCTCGTGTGGTACGTGTCAGGCAGGGGGCATTGTTGAGAAAAGCCGGGCCGCTGTCTTATCGACGAGGAGTTGGCTGTGCTGTTCTGGCCTAAGACCCCGCGACAGTTCGCGATGCGACGAGCTAGCGCGGAGATTTGCAAGTCCGCTTCACGACTCTGGAGTCTACCACCCAGTCCCGCCCTTACTCCTCCGAACCCCGGGCCTCTCAACCAAGGGGTATCCGAACAATACGTGACGTTTTTCATGTAGGGCAACTGAACGAGAAACATTACACCTGACCGAGGGAATGGTTCATCTCTACATGTACACTCGCGCACCATTGCCACTATATCTATGCACAGCCAGCCTAGGTCCCGCCGGTTTGTCTTGCAAAACCATTTCTAAACCAGCCCCTCTCTATTCTAAGCCTGGACGAACGAGTCTAGTTGTGGATGATTGCCGTTGCCTGTTTGTACATATCCACATCTGCCAGCAACTCGACCACGATCTGTGACAGGGCTCTTGCCACAATCTCCGTCTGCGTATAGCTGTACTCGGTGCCAGAAACCTCTCTGAACAGTGGTTCATGATTGAAGGCGCAGATAGAGCCGGGCGTGGGGTCGCAGATTCTGTAGTTGGCGTGGATCACTACGCTGCCGGCGCTGAGAAGCTCGTGAGTCGCAGGGTCGACGACTGCAGACTGCGGCCACGAGGCGTCGCTAGAAGCGGGGGCAAAGTCGCTAATCTTCCAGTCTGTGAGGTTGTAATCCGGGGTAGCGAGCAGATTGATCACGGCCTGAGGGAGGTATGGCGTCACCTCAAGAGCAGGGTACTTGATGTCATGAGTGATGCCTCGAGACAAGCTTCCAATGGCCTTGTCGACAACTTTGGCAACGGCGGGGATGTCATGCGTGTATCGCGTCCGCATGTCGACAGTGATGTCGAGTTCCTTGGCGGTGATGTTCCCCGGCAGGTAGAAGGTGATTGCCGAGTTGTTCGAGAACGCGCCAAAGGTCTTGACGGACAAGTCAAGAGCCCCTTGTGTCGTTTCGGAAGCATGGCCTCCAGGACCAGTGATGTTGATGGCTACACCGTGAGAATCGTCCTTGACGACATATGAGACCTTGGGAAAGTTGCTGGTGAGGAGAGAGGCGACTGTCGCGTTGACAGTCGCAATGTCGGAGCCCGCTACACCAAGGCTGATGTTTTCCTGGACGACGTTGACGGCATACACGCCGACATTCTCAATCGATGCCGCTGAAGACGCATTACCTGGCAGTGTGCCTTTGAGGCCCTGCACAACTACCATAGCCTCGTACGCCTTCCGCACGGCTTCCTGGTGGGTCTTGCCGGTGAACCGAGCGAACGAGTTGAGGCGGGAGTTCATGGGCTGGAAGGCGCTTGCGCTCGTGGGGTGTGCCATGATCCAGATTTCCGAATCTTTAAAGGCGCCGCGCTGGTCCAAGGTGTATTTGCCTGCAGCATTCTCCTCATCGGGGCAGCCGAGGACGTGGAGACGGCCGGGAATGTCGTACTTGACGAGGGCCTCGCTGGCCAGAGTGGCAACGGTAATTGCGTTGAGAGCAATGTGGTTGTGTCCGCAAGCGTGGCCAATTACCAGGGCGTCATACTCGGCAATGATGCCAATTGTCGTGAGTTCTCCGTCAAAGCCCTGGGGACGATGCTCATACACCAGCGAGAAAGAGGTATCCATGCCGTAGGCATGTGGTGTGACCTTCCAGCCATTGACGCTAGAGAAGTGGTTCACGATCAAGTCGTGAGCGTGGTGCTCGTTCAGGCCAAGCTCGGGGTTGTTGTAGATGTCGACCGCAATGTCCTTCAGCGGTTGCCAGGCCGAGGTCGAGGCATTGATCAAAAAACCAGGAAGGGTAGATAGGTCGACTGCCCTGGCGACGGCCGCCGTTGCGAGAAGAAGCGTGGAACGCATAAGCATGTTGAAGGCGCTCCTACAAGGACTTTCCGAAATAGTCGCCGCTGCAAAAGGTTCTCGCAAAGGGCGGATTCGCTCTCTTTATTGACTTCGGCAGACAGGCCGACAGACATGGCGTCTCGGCCCGACCCGCACCGGCTTTGAAGAACAAACGAGTCTGATTCCTCAGCAGATTTGGCTAAATGCTCACTAGCTCTCGGTAAGATGTCGATGCTACGCCGCAGAAACCCCACGGACGGTTTTGCGTGCCTAGTTCCACGAGTAAGCGCCGTGTCAGACCCGTAGGGAGAGCTTCGTGCAACTCCAGACAGCTGCAACATAGCCTAGCTGACTGTCCCGGGTCCTGTCCCCGGCACTTGAAAGTCGCCGGACCCGGCAAAACCCACTGCCATACATGAAGCTATGCAATAATGTTTGCGTATCCCGCATGATTCCACAGCAACAGGGTATAGACGACGCTTGGCCGTAGGTATGGATGCGGAATGGTGTTATCGACGACGAAATCCAGTAAGTGCTCTCACACCAGGCGTAGCCGGTCAGTGGCTATGGTGGATTCAACGTCGCTACAGTTTCCCGATGTTCGATCTTTGTAGAAGGGCAGTGTTTCATTTCTATATAACCGTGGTCCGCCCCCACTGGCGACCGTCTTTGAGTGAGAACAAGTTGCGGCGCTTGGATGTGCGTCCACATGGCATCAGTGCATGGCCCCCTTGCGGAGATTCCCACGTGGCCGGAATCCTTGCACATCAGATCAAGTGTGCATGTCCATTGCGCCGCACCAGTACATGGCCAAGCCATGCAGTTAGACGCTCGATTCGCACTGGGATACCTGTCCCCCTGAGCAGGACGCACGAATCACGAACCGCATCAGCACTGCACATTTGTCGTTAGATCGCGAATGAGTCAGCGATATGTTGCGAGATCTCGCGGCGCCTCTCTCATACCTCAGGGAGTCAACTAGTCGTTGTCTTCGGTCCTCATTCTTCTGAGTCGCGCGGGTGCCCAAATGATCTCAAAAAGGCTTTGCCATGAGGTTCGACCGGAGAAATGTGTTTCAGACTGCACGTGTGTATGGAAAGATCAAGGGTATCATTGAACGTCAAATCTTTCCATTCAATATGCAAGCAATCCCAGTTTGACACCAGACCAGACCCGACGGTCTTCAACCTACATGTAAGGGGTCGACCTCAGTTTTGGCTACACTACTATATGGAAGCAGCTCTAAAGACCATTATCGTCTTCTCATGTCTAATTTGAAGGTCTTTGTCCGCAGAGGACTGAACAGCCTCCATCGCTTCCGAGCTCAAAAAGCGCGCTCCACGCCTGGCTTGCGTCGTGGACACATCGCTAAGGCCATGAGATGTCCAGAGCGACAGACGTGAGTTGCGCGGTGGCTGCTGCTTAGTTCAATAGTATTTGCGAGATAGTCCTTGCATCAGCTCAGGTTGGAGTCGAGCACGTTAGGAGCCATCAAGACAACCTCGTTCGCCAAGGCAGGGGAATGTCGAGGCTGTCTTCATACTCAGCCCCCAGGAAGCGACGTTTGTACTTTTTAGGATACATCCGAAACAGTCATGCACCCAAGTACCGCTGCTGTTGTCTCGGATTGGCCTCTCACCGCCCTCATTGCCTACGTGCGACATCAGCGATACGAGGACTACACAGCCTTGCCATGCTGCCGACACGATATCCAGGCCGATTGGCTTCGACCAGGTTTGGCATCTTAAATTGTGGCAAAGGCTGTCCGTGCTAAGAAGACTACTGCATGCCTTCGGAGAACCGTGACTTTCCCCGTTTAACCGAAGCAACCCGGTCTAAGACGCGGCACCTATCACGAGCTAGATCCAGGAGCACCTTCGCTAATGCCTCGCCAGCCGCTGACCATGTGAATGTTCCCCCACGCGAGCCAGAAGGATTTGGCCCTAATTCCAACCTTTGAGGCGAATTATTTCCGAGATCCCGAGCCTCTGTGGTGCCAATCCAGGCTCCGAGACAGGTCTTGCTTGTTTGGACCAGCCGCTACCAAGAAAGTTATGTTACATCGAGGTTTATACGTAGCAGGCATCCCGGCGACTTCCCAATCAGGACCACAAGGCGTCAGCAGCAGCACATTCGTCGCCTGGAAGGTGTGCGACCCCATGAGATCTGTCCGGACACACTTCTGAGTCCGCTTCCTCACTGCCTCGAGCACTGCCGAGACTAGAGCTTGCGCTCACTTCAGGCTGCTCGGCTCGTGCCGGTGCGTGACGAGGGGCGCACTGCCCTGAATCAGCCGAAACCGCCATTCTTCTGCAAATTGACGAGACAAGACACTGGACGACGTTGTTGACGGGAGAGAACAGAGGAGGAGACGACATAAATTGATTCGGAGAGCATTGGGCGAGACTCCCTACATGCTACATGTCCGCACCAAACCCGTCGCTGCTAAAAATACGCCTTCGTAGGCCAGCGGCAGAGGCTCAAGAATACGGCCCGAGTGACTAAAGTCCCCGAACGACGACCGCCTCTCGAGGCCGGACTCCGCGAAAGCCCAGACCCCGTTGAGTTCTCGGAGCCTCAAGTCCATGGAGTGGGCGTGGGGTGCTTTACCCTTGACGTAAATCCCCACGTTGTTTTCTCCAACATGCTCGGCGCCGCATTCTAGGACTGTCTCATGATATCTTCCGGTCCGGCTTCTAATTCAGGATTGCCTTTCGATGGAGCTGCTTCATGCCGGCGTAAGCTTACGAGGAAGGTTCTCTACGCGTCGACACAAATAGGACTGTCGGCAACGTTACGATGCTGCCGTGTCTCATGTCGGTGGAGGATTCACAAGGGATTCATCACTGCAGCCTGAAAGACGTCCCGTGCTGCGCTCTTCTAAGCTTCGTATCAAACCAACACACATAGTTAGGCTCGCGGTCATCGTGATGAGAATAGCTTGAAGACGACACTCGACTGTCAGGAGTCCGAAGCGCCAGCATGCTCATTGGGCCTGGCAGAGACATCTCCATCTATCTATCGCGGCAGCATTGAAAGCCGTGAACCTTCTCTCCACTCGGAAGTGCCGTCGAGGGCCCCCGCCACCAGCATGCCCCTGACAGCTCGCGGTCGGCACGGGATTGGATCGGAGAGTAAAGCCTCGTGCCCCAGTCGGACCCCTGAGGCTTTGGTGGCTGGGAGTAGTGTGTGATGAGACGGTTGAAGGAATGGGGAAACGGGCCGTCTTGTCTGGTTGACGGGAAGCTCTGACGTCGTCGTCGGATCTTGCACCATTGAGGTGGAGACAGGACTCTGGAGAGGCATCGCCAAGGAGGACCCTCTTCCCGCAGAGCTCCCCACTCAAAAGGACCGGCGTTTAGCGGCTCTGCTCTCTGCAGCTTCGGGGACTTTCCCCAAAGCGCACCTCCGCGCGAAGCGCTTGAGAGACTGGCAGGGATACTGGGATCTGGAAGCAAATGGTTGAGAGTATAGGACGATAGGTTCAATTAATCGTGACTGATTGATCACAGAGCCGACGTACCTCGGCTCCGACGACGCTCACATAATGCCGTGAGCATGGCATTTGTCTCAGGACTCAAACACTCGTGGTCCACGGCCCAGGTCACACAGATGTCACCTTCTGGGCTGCCTTCATAGGGCTGGAGCATTGGAGAGGGGTGCTACCGGCAATGGAGCGGCGAATGAGTCAAAAAGCATCATAAGGGTACCTACCTCATACGCGTTGGGCGACGAAGCTGTGTCCGTCGGGGCCTGTCTCTTATACACATCTAGATGTGTATAAGAGACAGGCCGCCTCCTGTGCTGCCCGGGGCCTTCTGTAACTCCAGCGCTAATGCGCGATCGCTGACCAAGTGTGCCCGACTGGGGCTTAGCGCGCGTCGGTACTGTAGCCGGGGACGACACCGAGTGAGACGGAACACGGACCGATCAAAGATGCCCAGCGCCCGCTGGAGGGGGGGAACGCGAGAACGAGGCACGCTTTCGTGAGCGGTGGGGCGATCCCGAGCTTTCACGGGGTGGTGTGGTCGCTGCGATGCGTGCTAGGGGAGGTACGAGTTAGTGCTGGGCTGTGAAGATGACTCCCGCTGCTACCTTGCTGACGGGGGTGCCGTAGGGCTGTAGACGATGAGCGAGGACGAGATGCCGAGTATAAAATGGTTCCGCGAGAAGCCGCCTGGGCGCCGAGAGCGGGATATCCGAGTTTTTACGAAATATCATCTACCTGATTTTGTTCAGACCTCGTCGTCAAGGGCCAAGAATTTTCTGTTTTAACAAGGCACCGCCATGTTTGCAGTGTGGAAGTACGGCACCGAGGCCGACAACGTGCAGCATATTCGGCAAGCAGCGGATCCCGCCGCCTTTACCCGGCTTCAAGCATGCAATAGATGCCACTCAAAAAAGGTGAGAGCTTCCACTATATCTGGGGATCTGAATATCATCAAGGTACATAGGGGAGAGCCCGGTGCTGACTCGTCCTGGCAGATCAAGTGCAGCGGCGACAAGGACGGATGCGCACGATGCGTCGCCGGGGGCCACGCGTGCGACTACAACCGCTCGAGTCTGCGCTTTCGCAAGAGCAAGAGCCCAGAAGGCAGCGTCAAGTCCGCCAGTCCCACTCCCTTTCCTCACAGGAGAAGCACGTCCTCTGCGAAGCACGAGAAGCGCCGTTCGGCGCGCGCAATGCAGCCCACGCCGCCTCCGTCAACAACGGGCTCGCCCATTGCCGGCTTCGCCAACGAGGTGTTTTCGACACATGCGTCCAGCTCAATGCTGGAGCCCATGGACCCAATCGACATGATGTGTCCGCCAATGACGAGGAGTGTGCCGTTTTCGCTGTACGAGACGCATGGGGTGCCTGACGGATGCTACGATGACAATTGGCCCTCGTACACGAGTGGCTATCCGACGGCCGTCGTGCCAGACCTCAGCGCGGAGTATCTGCAATTGCTTCATCCGAGCCGCGACGAGTTAGAGTACTACACGGCAAGCAGGCGTGTCGGCGTCTGGCCACAACAATAAGGCCAGCGCTTTTGTCAGAGGTTCATTTTGGATATTACGACGCATATGTACAGCAGTAGAATACCCATCACGGTTTTAGATTGGTTTATTAGGTAGAGCACAATTCCCCAAGCGAAGCGAAGCTTCAGTGTTATCTCGACTGATTATCTGCGCTGTGTGCATGTGATGGAGTAGCTCATCGACTGATGTGGCATCCGTGCCAACTAACAACGCGACACGGAAACTCATGTTCCGAATAGGCAGCTATAGAAGTCTCGTGCCCATGCAATCTGCACATTAATTGGACACACCGTCGGCACTGATGCTCCGATCTTGGATCTCCTGTTGCGGCGTGACTTCGTGATCATTGGCTACCCTAGGCCGTGTTGGTCGGCTTTCACCTGTGACCGACGACGGCGCCGCTCCGTGTGGAGCCCACCGGCCATCGGCAGCGAGCTCCAGGCGGCATCGGAACAACTCGCGCCACCAGCCAGTTTATTTCACCACCACAACCTGACCCGTCCACCGCGTCCACTGCCCGCGCCCGCCTCGACGACGCTGCATCTACAGCAGCGACCAGCGCCCGCGCTCCTCCTCCTCCCTCTCCACCATGGCGTCCTCCGCCGCCAAGGACCCGGCGACACCGGAGAAGAAGAAAACCCCCAGCGCGCTGCGGTCCATCATCGCTGGGTCGACGGCCGGCGCGATTGAGATTGGTGCGTCACAGGCCCCGAGACAAAGGACGACGACGATGATAGAGATTCGCTGACTTTGCGCGCTCGCATAGCCATCACATACCCCGCCGAGTGTACGTCGAATACGAAGATTCAATTCCGCAAAACGAAGACACTGAGCTAACTGACACACCCCGCGCGCGCAACAGTCGCCAAGACTCGGACGCAGCTCAACCGGCGGCTCGCCGAGGGCCAGAAGCTGCCGTGGCCGCCGTTCGGCCGCCAGTGGTATGCAGGCTGCACGACGCTCATCATTGGCAACTCGGCCAAGGCTGGCATCCGTACGACCTCCCCGACGACGACCGAGCGAACATTGCGGAGTTGAATATGGAGCTGATGGACGGACAGGTTTCGTCGCCTTCGACCAGTACAAGCGGATGCTTGCCGATGCCGACGGCAAGCTCACCGGCCCACGCACAGTCCTCGCCGGCTTCGGCGCCGGCGTCACCGAGTCGCTGCTCGCCGTGACGCCCACGGAGAGCATCAAGACCACGCTGTCGGTTCCCCCACGCTTGAGCCTCTGGCCCCCCCTGGGGCGGCGTATGTGACTGACAAGCGTCCCCAGAATCGACGACCGCAAGGCGGCCAAGCCACGAATGCGCGGGTTCCTCCACGCGGTGCCCATCATCGCCCGCGAGCGCGGCATCCGCGGCTTCTTCCAGGGCTTCGTCCCCACGACGCTGCGGCAGTCGGCCAACAGCGCCACGCGCTTCGGCTCCTACACCTTCTTCAAGCAGATGGCCGAGTCGTACACGGCCCCCGGCGAAAAGCTCGGCGCCGTGGGCACCTTTGCCATCGGCGGCCTGGCGGGGCTCGTCACCGTCTTCGTCACGCAGCCGCTCGACACCATCAAGACGCGCATGCAGAGCCCCGACGCGAAGCAGCTGTACGGCAACACGATGCGCTGCGCGGGGCTCATCTTCAAGCAGGAGGGCGTGCTGACGTTTTGGAGCGGCGCGCTGCCGCGGCTGGCGCGCCTGGTCATGAGCGGCGGCATCGTCTTCACCATGTACGAGAAGAGCATGGAGCTCATGGACCGGCTGGATCCGGAGTCGAGGTACATATAGACGAAGACGGACGGCCGGCGTTGTTGGGAGATATAGATTCGCTTCTGTCTGGCGCAGTAGAGCAATATGCAGCATCATATCGTACACCATGTTGGTATCATGCCTCGTCGCCCCCCGTACTTGTACAACAGACCGTGCTGTGGGTATCTGTCTGTCCCATACCGGTCTCCGTAAACACTTTCCCCGACCGCCTTCTCCGTCCGCCAGCACCGCTACTGCAAGCGAATGATGCCAGACAGGCGCTTCCCTAACCTCTCTAGCCACGTCCTCCGCGGCGCTTCCTCAATCTCGCGCACCAGGTCCTCAAAGTATGTCGGCTGGCTCTTGGGCTCGAGCATGGGGCCCTTGAGCTTATAGCGGTCGCGGAACTTGTTCTGCACGAGGAACTGCAGCGCGCGCGCCTTGAGCAGCTCCTCGGCTTCGTTGGTCTTTGCGCTGGCGTAGCGGTCCTCGACGGCGCGGCGCAGGACGTCCTGCAGCTGGTAGTCGGGGCGCAGGTCCTGCTTGGGCCATTTGGCGAAGGCGTCGCTGTAGATGCGGCGCTGCGGGGGGGACTGTCAGTCAATGGATGATGGAGGGTTCTTTTGGGGCACGCGTACCGCTAATGACTTGGACATGGCTGTGGTGGTTGTGAGCGACGTGCTGGGGAGGGAGAAAGGCCGCTGCCGCGAAATATTTCTGATGGACCCTGCTGCTGAAGCCGTCATCGACGCAGGTACAGTGTCGAGTACGGAAAGCTCGTTCTCTGCACTGTCTCTTGCTCGCCTCTCTTCGCTCTCGCAAGGCGGGTGCCTCAGGCAGCAAATGCTGCAGACGGCCTCCGGTGGAGTGGAGTCTTCAATCAGCAGGGGTCGCGGTCCTCTTGCCTCCAATCCAGGAGCCTGCAGCCCCAACCGGCCAGCGTCCCCGCCGCCGTTCCAGGGACTTCCAGGCGCTGCTCGCCTCTGCGCCGGCGACACCCGGGCCGCCTGCGCGTGCGCGGGCACCCTGGGAACCCCGACATGCGCCCGGCCAGGCTTCGTCAGCTGTTCCATCCAGCGCAGTGGCCTCCTGACAGCGTTGGATCCCGTCACCACCGTCGTCGCCTCCCGTCCCGCTTCCATCTCGTCGCATCATTCGGCGATCAATCTCGCACCCTACGAACGCCCCCCTCAGGGCTCTCTCTTGTCCCTCCCCTTACTTTGCGATCTCTCTCCTTCGATTCTCATTCGGCCATTCGATTTTACGGTACTCACCATCCGCGCTTCTCCCTTGTATTTTCTTTTTCTTGGCGGCTTCCGCACCCTATCTCCGCCTCCCCCTCCCCGAGAGTCCACCGACCGCTGCCAACTCAACGCTTGGGTGGCGAGCGACGCAGGCCTGACTTCTGCGACCGACCCGACAACGACGACTTGAGCATCGCACTCACCGCGTTCAAAATGGCTGGCCGATACGAGAGGGTAGGTTTGCACGACTTTGTGCGAGGGCGCGACCCGCGGCTAACGTGGATGTCGCAGGTGAATGAACACGATGTGGACGACGTCGAATCCCATCAATCCAGACTCCAGAGACCCGTCCCGAACTCGCCGCCGCCGTCATTCCACTCGCGCGCCTCATCTCCGACGCGGAACGGCCAAGTCGATCCTGATCTTGCCGATGCGTTCGATGCCGATGGCGACAGCGATGACGAAGCCGACGACACACAGCGGTTGGTGCGCCAGAGCACCACGCCGTCCAGCGGCTCGGTGAGCAGCGGCCACATCGGCGCGGCGAGCCAGCAGGCGCCGGTGCAGCCTCCCAACCCGACGTCGTCCGGCTCGCGGCCGCGGTTCATGGGCGGCGGCGTTGGCACCGACGGCGTGTTTGCCAACATGTCGGCTCGGCCGGAGCGGACCGAGTCTGAGAAGGACGAGCAGCCACCGGTATGGTGTCCCTGTCCCGCAAGGTTGTCGGAGAATTGTTACTGACATGTGCGACAGACGTACGAACAAGCAGCCGCAGACGCCGCGCCGCCGTACTGGGAGACGACTATTCTTGCACCGGGCTTTGGCGGGTTTGACGAGGTCTACGTCGACGGCATGCCCGTCGGGTCCGTCTTCTCATTCATCTGGAACGGCATGATCTCGACGTCGTTCCAGCTTGTCGGATTCCTCCTCACATATCTGCTGCACTCGACGCACGCGGCCAAGAACGGGTCACGCGCAGGCCTGGGCATCACCCTGATCCAGTACGGCTTCTACATGAAGGGCACGTCGGAGAACGAGCCGCCACAAATGAACGGACCGGACGGGTACGCGGCGCCGCCAGACCCCAACTCGCACGACTTTGACGCGGGCGACGTGACGGAGGGCGGCGGGTCGGGGGCCGTGACGGGCGGCGAGTGGATGGCGTACGTGCTGATGGTGGTGGGATGGTTCATCCTCATCAAGAGCGTTGCCGAGTTCCTCAAGGCGCGCCGGCACGAGCAGCTGGTGATGCAGAGCCCAGACCGGGGGCTCAACGTGCCCATCATTGCCGAGGGCGAGAACCCGGAGCGGGTGGTGTGAGGCTGTGCTGCTGCATAGTGTATACCCCGAGCCAGCGCGAGCGAACACAAGCCTTGTCTGACTCTTGACTCTGCATCGTGGCACTGCGGGCATTTTTCTCCGGCGTTATTGGGATGGACCAGGTATGACTAGGGATGGATGGGCTGGAGTGGAGGGCCCTTTTTACTCTTTTTGGTTTCGCAGACATGACGCGCAGCACGCATACTCTCTCGCTCTCTCATTTATCTAGCCGACGCATAGAAGCCCCTTTGCGGCGCCCTTCAGCGCCGTCCAATTGCGGACGGGCGTCGGAAGCTTGTGGCCTTTGCGCTGCTGCAGTGGTAACGTGAATGGTTGTGTCTGGCGCGGGGCAGCAGCTCCTCGGGGGCAGGTGGGTGTGCATTGGACGCCTGGCGCGGCAATGCTTCAGCTGCCTGTCAGTCTGTTGCAGCGCGTCATCCGATCGTAACCTCGCCGCCGCCGCCGCACGCAACCTCCGCCCGTCGGCCAGTTCCCTGTCTTGACATCACTCGCGAGTCACATCTACCCACGACGCCCATAATAACAAACCGCGCAACGCTGCCGCAGTCGCATTCCCGGTACCCCGCTCGATTGCACCGTCTCGTAGCCGTACATTCTGGCTCAACCCCTGGTCGAGAGTCGCCGCAACGTCGCGTCCGCCACCCCAGCAGGAGACACCGTCCACTCCATCAGCATATAAGTCCAAGCTGGCTTCGCCCAAGAAGCTGCTGCTGCGCCCGCTCATCCTCGTCTCACAACTATCTCGCGCCGTCTCACAGAGACCCGTCGCCTTCATCGCTGCCGCTCACCATCAACACCCCCTCCACCACCAGCAACGCCCCCTCAGCCACGCGCTCCAGAGCCTCGACATGGCCTGGCGCTGCAGCGGCGGGACCAACACGGCCCTCGTCGACAACCTCTGGCGGCACGGGCTCATCTCGGACCCGGCCGTCAAGGAGGCCTTCCTGCGCGTCGACCGCGCCCACTACGCGCCCACGCTGCCCTACGACGACTCGCCGCAGGCCATCGGCCACGCCGCCACCATCTCGGCCCCGCACATGCACGCCTCGGCCGTCGAGCACGTCCTGCCCTACCTGCTGCCCAGCGCCGCGAGCCCGGCCCCGCGCGCCCTCGACGTCGGCTCCGGCTCGGGCTACCTGACCCACGTCCTGGCGGAGCTCGTCGGCGAGCGGGGCATGGTGGTGGGCCTGGAGCACATCAAGCCGCTGCGGGACCTGGGCGAGGTGAACATGGGCAAGAGCGCCGACGGGCGCGCCCTGCTGGAGAGCGGGCGGGCGAGGTTCCGCGTTGGCGACGGGCGGGTCGGGCTGAAGGAGGAGGCGCGGCCCGGGGAGGAGGAATGGGGAACGGGCTGGGATGTGATTCACGTCGGTGCCTCGGCCAGGGAGGTGCATCCGCAGCTGCTGAACCAGCTCAAGGCTCCCGGATGGTGAGATGTCCCCTGTTGAGCGAACAAGCATGACCTCGAGTGACGCTGACACCGGCGCAGCATGTTCATCCCCGTCGACGACGACGAGGACGGCTTCTCCCAGCACGTCTGGCGCATTACAAAGGACAAAGACGGCAAGGTCACCAAAGACAGGCTGTTTGGCGTGCGCTACGTGCCCCTCACGGACGCGCCCAGGGTTTGACGACGGCGTTGATGATGACACTGGAGTTTGGCAACACATGGGCTGACTTTTTGTAATTGTACACGCACCACGGTTGGCAGGCAATGTTTTTTTTTTCTTGAAGCTCTTTTTGATCTGTCTGTTGACGTTGTGCTGCTACGCTATCGATCCAAGTGCCAGACTCGACTATAGGACATTACAACAACTGGGGTCTCTACCGCGAGACCGAGGAGGACGCCGCCTCGTTCCCCGTACCGTTCATGTGCTCATTACAAGGGTACAATCATTAATAACGAAAAACCGCAGACCGAAACGCCGTCCCAAAAACGCCACCGGGGCCCTCCCAAAATTGCATTTACATCAAGTATCTCTCTCGACACTGCTCCGTCATGACAGGCACACGGCCAAGACGAACGCACCGGCGCAGACCAGCTCCGCAAACCGGCCCAGAGGCCGCAGCGCCGCCCCGGCGTTCATGATGGCCGGCGGGTCGGCAGGCTTGGAGGGGTGGCTGACGGGCGGATCGGCGGGCTTGGAGGAGTGGTTCGCCGGCTTGGTGGTGTTGCTGGCGGACTGCGTCCAGGGGTCCGCGATGGCGGTCGTGCGGCTCGGGCGCACAACGTCGGTGACGCGGCTCATGGTCGTGAGCGTCGTCGTCTGGTCCTTTTGCTTGGGCTTGGGGTCACAGCCGGCCGCCGACCCGCCGGGGCAGACCTCGACGGTGCGCGTGGCGGGATCCTCGATGGCCTTGGTCACCGGCGGGGCGGGGGGAGCAGAGGAGACGACGGCGGCGTGCGTGACGGGCTTGGCGGTGCTGTCGGTGCACGGCTCTGTGACGGTCAGGACGGCGACCTTGGCCATGGTGGTGGGAACGGGCGGCGCAGGAGGGGGAGGCGCCACCTTGGTCGCCGGGTCGGCCCTGGAAGCCGCATCGGCCTTGGACTCGGCGCAGTTGCAGTCCTCCTTGCCGTCCTCGCTCTTGCGGTTCTGCTGCGGCGGCGTGGGAACAGCGGCGACGGCCTTGGCCGCAGACTCGGCGGCCGGGTCTCCGGCAGCAGCAGCAACGGGGACAGGGGCGGCGCCAGCGACGCGCGAGTACAAGTTGTAGACGAACTTGTCCGTGCAGCCACCGCACTTGCCCGCCTGGGCCTCACCCTCACGGCACGGCGTATGGCACTCGGCCTCGTCGACGGGCTTGAAGTTTTGCGGCGGGAGGGCCATCTTGTTGTTGGCGTTGGGGCTCGACGCGGCGGCAGCCTTGGGGTCGTCGCAGTGGCAGCCGCCGTTGCCGAGGGCGGCGTGCGTCGCGCCGGCGGCCTCGCAGGCGGCCTGGCAGTCGGCGGCGGAGAAGGTGCCAAAGGCCTTCATGGACGGGGGCTGGAAGGGGAAGGCGTTGGCCGAGTCGGCGAGGATGCAGCCCTGGTACTGGAACTTGGGGGAGGCGAACTGGCTCTGCGCGGAGGCGCCGGCGGCGGCGAGGAGGCCGGCGAGGAGGAGGGTGCGGGCCATGGTTGTGTAGTTGTGTGTGTGGTGTATGAGTATATGTGTTGTAGATGTGGATGTGAAGTTGCGGCTTCTCGGGGGAGAGAGTGAGGCGATGCTCGATGGCGAGAGTATAAGTGGGAGACTGAGGGTGAGGGTTTGAGGCGGAAGCGAGAGGCAGAGCCGGTCTCAGGGAGGGAGAGATGGAGGACTGTTCGTTCAGTTGTAGCAGTGAATGGCTGAGTGTTGCTGATGATGATCTTGTCTTCCAAACGACTGACGGCAGAGTCGACGAAGATGTAACATATATAGACGATCATGTGGTCGGCACTCTCCTCCCCAGCCGCGAGTCGCTATTCCCCGACATGCCACCCCCAAGGGAGTGCCATTCAGCGCTGGAAGATCGCCCCGAGGAATGTTCTCTGCGTGTAAGTCGGCGGCGGGGCGGGCGGAGGGGCCTCCCGCACCCGCGCCTCCACCGGTTCGGCAGTGGGCACGGGGGGGGGCCTGTGGGCGCGGGAGGCACGCCAGGAACCGTAGTTCCGCGACTGCCGTTCCTGCGACGGGCGCTACGCCGGGCGGACGTTTGGAAGTGCCGCGTGAACAATGGGTGGGGTGGAGAGGAAGTCCCTGCCACGGACACCATCGCTGGCCGATCTTCAAGGGCGGCGGGTGTCTAAGACACTATCTAGGGGGGGTTACTGGCTGACCATGCGCCGCTGAGGATGCCCAACCAGCGATGGGGATGGAAGGTGCGGTGGTGCTGCGGGCGCGTTGACTGGAATGCTGAGAGTGCTGCCTCTGGGCTGGGACGGGATGGCATTGATGGTGGTTGAGACGCGGGGCTGGGGGCTGTCGCAGCGCGAGCGAGCATGTCCGCCGCGCCGGCAGACGCGCGACCTTGGGCGAGCCAGGTGACCGTCGGGTGAGCAGTGCGTTCACGCGTAAAGTGAGTCGGCATGGCGAAACCGACAATCGTCGATGATGTTCCGGAGGCATGTATGTCTTCCGGTGCGAGAGCTTGAGAATAACGCGAGTCTCTTTCCCACAGCTATCGACTCATCGACGATGCCCTTTGAAGAAGAGCACCATCAGTGAAGCAGGGTCCTGGTCAAATGGCAGCTCCAGGCCCGCACCTGATGGTCTTGCTCTGCATCAGGAAGAGCCACTTGACGGAAACGACTGCAAACAGGATAGGGTTCAATAAGTGTGTCCATGTCCAGCTGGCCGTGCGCCAGTCGCCCTCGTACCTGTCTATGCGACTCGGAAATCCCAGGCGCAGTTGACAAACATGTCGTTCCAGTACAGGTGGGACCTGTGCAGTAGACGCAACATCTGACCTAGGGCCTCTGAACATACTGGCTCACAGAGAGGGTTGAGCCCGTGGATGTCTCGGCTCGCACTCTGGACACATCGGACTTCCGTGAACCCCGGGTCTCTGTAAGCTACATTTTCCCTTCCCATTAATTCCTTCCCTTTCCCCATTAGCCTTTAGATGCTCGCTGTAGTCGCTCAGCTAGTTATCGATGTACCAAGCTGAGCACGTCATAGAGCCTGCAGTATCTCGCACGTCTGCTTACACCATCATGCCGAATTAGTCAAAGCCAAGGCCGCGCAAACCTGCTGCCCGCAGCGTTGAACTCATTACCAATAGGCTAAATGAGCCAACGCTGGCCAGTAGCTTGCGCGAGCTCGGATCCGGACATTGTGCTACGTCCGCATTTATGGCTCTGCTTCAGTGTACATAAACTGCTGCTGGGAATCGAGCTAACCGGGCTTCATCACAACACAAACAGCGTTCATCATAGTCCATCATCAATCGACAACGGGATTCAAGCAAATTAATCTCAACTTGACTGCAGCCTAAAGGTTTTCCAGCTATCACATAAACCATCTACGGGATTGAGCAAGCCCGACTCGATCACAACACTAATAACACCGCCCCACCACAATGGTCACCCTTCAAACCGTCCAGGCTTCCAACGACCGTCTCAAGGAGACAGCTGCTGGCCTCGTCGCCGTTTTCCTTGGCGCGACGTCCGGCATTGGTCAAAATGCTCTGAGGCAATTCGTCGAGCGCACTGTCGAGCCGCGGGTATACATCGTCGCCAGAAATGCGACAGCCATCTCACCCTTCATTGAGGAGCTGCGGAGCAAGAACCCAGGCGGAAAATACGAGGTCATCGAGAAAGATGTCTCTCTGGTGAAGAACGTGGATGAGGTCGCCGCCATCGTCAAAGCCAAGGAGACCAAGCTAGATCTTCTCTTCCTATCCGTTGGCTTCTTCTCATTTGACGGCCGTCAAGGTATGCACATCGTGTCTCTCGCTTCATCAGTGCCCATACTCACATATCGTTAAGACACAAGCGAAGGATTGGACGCTTCCTTGACCACCAGATATTACTCTCGGCTGCGCATCACTCAGCTTTTGCTGCCTTTGCTCAATGCCTCCTCAAGCGCGCACGTCATGTCTGTCCTCGCTGGCGGGCTCGAAGGCCCGATCAACGAAGACGACCTCTCGCTCTCCGACCCCAAGAACTTTTCCGTCAGCGCCGGCAACAGCCACTCCGCGACCATGTTAACGCTGTCATTCGAGCACCTCGCTCGCGAGAATCCCACCGTCAGCTTTGTGCACGCGTTCCCTGGGCTGGTATCTACCCCGCTACTGGGCCGAACTAGCAGCGGATTAATAGGCACGGTGCTTCGCTGGGTGGTCATGCCATTGTTGAAGCTCTTTGTTGCAACGCCTGCCGAGGCGGGTGCGAGAGCGCTATTCCACGCTACGAGCGCCCGGTATAGCGTCGATGGCGGGCTCGTCCCTCTTCTCGAAGGCGTGGAGAAAGCCACCAAAAGCAAGGGCGGTGTGTTCCTCGTCGATGCCAAGGGCGAGAGTGCCGACAACGAAAAGGTGCTCGAGGATTTCAGGCGCAGGGGCGTGGATAAGCTTGTCTGGGAACATACGATGGAAGTGTTTGGCTCAGTACAGTAAAAGTTACTTGGGGGACACAGTCTATGCGTTGTGTGACGGGCTTTTGTAAGACTACGAAGGCAGGTCTTGGTTACGACAATAATGGGCATCTGTGCCCCGGGATAGCGGGCGTCAAAAGAGCCAACATTGGCGACTTTCACATCAGTATGCGCTGGCCGTTTATCTCCCTGCCCGGTGATGCTGGGCAGTGCCACAGAGTGAAGATGTTCTTCCGCAAACACAGCTGCCAGTTTCACAGTCGGAAATCGGCATGCCGACGGTGGCCTATCAGCGGCTCGCTTGCCTGTGTTTTCCGTTTCGGCCATCTACTTGCCATCAGGTTATCCCGGTCCCGGCCGTCTCGACCGCGGCACTGGCCTGCTTGCAAAATTACTTTGCTCACAGTCGTTGGAGACTTCTGGCACGATGACGACAATGATTCGAAAGGGTTTGGGCGGTAGTGTAGAGGATTGGACAGGACGAGATGGCTAGAAGGTTTTGTCTTGCAAACATGATTCCGGCTGAGGGTCTTGTACGTTCTGGTGCCAGCACGCTTTATGAGTCTCATCTGGCGTGTCTCCCGGCATCTCCGGAGCAGCTGTCGAGATGTCTTGCGTAACCGCTGCTGGGCGCTACACCAGCCATCGATGAACCGCCATTGCTCTCGCAACAACTATTGGTCGTGCGAGTTTTTCGTCGAAACACTCGTCAGTGGTGGCGCACCAACGGGTTGGAGCTTGATGAGGAAAGGGTGCAGCTGTGAACAAGTGGCAAATATTGCACGGTGACGTGAATATTTATAAAGGCGTTCATGGGAAGGAGACCTTTGGTGGTAGGCTGACGTTTTATGTTCTGGGAATGATGTGAGGGCACGGGCACCATTTGAGAGCACAATTCGCGAGCATAGGATGTATAAGTCATATCCGACTTCGAAGATGACAATGACAGCCCAACAAACAGTCATACCCGTCCCCAACCAGTGGAATACGATGCAGCTCAATTCGTTGAGATACCACGTCACATGCGAGCTGAGGTGGCCGGGTGTAAAGATGCGGTAATTGCGGCGAGACCTCGACAGTCGCCGTGCCCTGCAATTTCGTATACGACACCGAGACCGCCATGGAAACCTTGAGCAGACACTGCCATCGCCGCCCAAACGTTACGATAGGTGGATGCAATGCAGGCCGTTGAATTAAGGGGCAAGGCTGCCTAAACCAATTGGTCCCGGAGCTGTCATCGGCCGCGCCGGCAGCGCCCGGCACTCAAGGTTTTGGGCAACACGAGAAAAGCCGTTGAACTATTGACAGAATCTGGGAAGCCACAACCTTGTTGCAGCGCCACACGTCAAAAAGATGCCCGGGCGTCGCAGCGATCCAATTACGATCCGATTGTGGCGGCGCTCCACCGGCTTGCACCTGCATCGACTAATACTAGTGTAAGAACATGTTCTGGGAAGGGTGTGCGACATTGAGTCTTGCCGTGAGCCGCACGACCTTGAGCTAGAATGAGTAGATGGGCTGGAACCACGGATGCCAAGTATAAGTAAATCGTATTACACCGCTCCCGGTCGAAGCGCCGTATCTTCAGGCACACCACGTTATTCCAGAGACAATCACTGCCCAACCTCTGCTCTTCATCAAGACTTTGGTTACCCACACTCGCTTATACCGTCAGAACCAACCGCCAACATGCGCACCGTTTCTACTCTCTTCGCTATCCTGGTCGCAGCCGCCGTCTCTCACGCTCAAGAAGGCGGCGCCGACACCACCGAAAGCATCCTGACGGGCGTGACCCGCGAGTCAAACATCCCTACCTCCTCCGAGAGCATCTTGACTGGTGTTACTCGGGAGACGTCGATTCCTACCTCCGAGACCGTCCGCACCACTATGACCCACGAAACGGTTACATCTACTATCCATAGCATCTCGACGGGCGGGAGCGTGACTCACGAGACGACGACTCGTACCTCGTCCGAGAGTGTCCAGACTAGCGTCGAGTCGTCGATTCCAACATCGGTTGCTACATCGAGCGAGAGCATCCTGACTGGAGTCACCCGCGAGACGTCGGTCCCGACGTCGGCTGCTACTGCTTCCGAGAGCATCTTGACTGGTGTCACTCGTGAGACCAGCGTTGCTACCGAGAGCATCTTGACCGGCGTCACCCGAGAGACCTCTGTTGAAGTCCCCACTCAGACGGAGAGCATCTTGACCGGAGTCACCCGAGAGACTTCTGCTGAGGTCCCCACTCAGACGGAGAGCATCTTGACTGGAGTCACCCAGGAGACCTCTGCTGCGGTCCCCACTCAGACTGAGAGCATCGTGACCAGTGTCACTCAGGAAACGAGTGCTGCTGCTCCGACCGAGACCGCGGTTGTCCCTACCGCCGGTGCGACGTTGGCTACTGAGAACTCGCTGATGGCCATGGGTGTCGCTGTTGTCATAGTTGCTTTGGGGCTGTAATGGCAGTATACAAAGGGCCTTACGGTGGAAAGAGTACTCGACCAAGGCTGTGCCCAGAGTGATGGAGCTAGCCCAGCCAAGCGTTGTGAGCTACATGTAATGTCTATAAGATGAGCTTCTCGATAGTCTCAAGCTTTTGGATACTGGTCTTCATGGGCTGTGAAAGGCTTTGAGCTGGTCAACATGATGGATGAGCTTTGCCCAAGAGTGCGTCTCTGCCTCGGGCACTTAGAGTCTACTACCCCTACGGCGCACTGTAGCGTAAGCGAACACCCAGCCGCTCTCAGAATGTGAATTGTCGCGCGTGACTTCACCAACATTATCAGATATGACCCAAAACAAGTCTCACTTTTGCAAGTGCTTTGCAAGTACGGCCTTTTCGTGATACGATTGTTGTGCTGCGGGCACTGGGGCCTTTTTCGGTTGCGCAACCTGATGGTGCTAGTTGGAGCATGGCGAAGTGACTCACAATCTATGATGAACGGCTTTGACGCAACTGCGGGCTCTTGAATAAGCTACACTGGCATTCTCTTATGCTGGAACGGCGAGAGTCTGTACCATGACCCGTGACCCTATGACTTGGTGTCGCATCGTGATTCACCAACAGGAAACTGGCAATATAAAAACGCCGGTCTTCGAGAACACTGTCCCCAACTCTGCAACATTCTGCCAAATCTCAAGCTCTGTAATAACAAAAGAACTTTGGCTTCTATTTCCATCAGTCACGATCAAGCATTTCGCGGGACCCATTGAGTCCAGGATTGTTCGAGACCGATTCGCGGTTGCGTTGAAGAGCTGGCCCCAGGCCAACAAACAAACGTTGAGACTATCAGAATGCAAATGGATCCAGATCATCCGCACGGCACCCAGGAGAACAGCGTCATAAAGCTGCTCTCTCAGCCTGAGCCGGACGCCAATGCCCTGAGCCTTGAAGAAACACATACCCAACTTCGCCTTGTTCATGGCGCCGCGAGGCTCATCAGCGACACGTTTCGCAATCATGAGGACACGCAAGCTGCGAGAGACGACAACGAACCCCTTGAAGGGAATTCAATATCTCGCAAGAGCGGCAGCAGTGATCTCGAACTGGCTTGGCTGGAACTTTTGGGTATTTCTCGTCGACGAGCAACACTCTGGGCTCACTTGGCAGCTATTTCAAGACTACCAGCCCAACAGCCGGCTTTGGATAAACTCCCTGTCGAAATCCTAAAGATCATCTTCGAATATTTGGGCATGCCTCGTCTCAAGTCTATAGACGATATCTGGCGTCGAGAACTCCACCATGGGCGTTGGCATTCGACAAATCGTAGAGCCGTTCAGAATCTGCGACTCGTCTGCCGCCTTTTCAACAGGCTTGCCTCGTCTTTATTATTCCCTTATTTATTTCTGTCCATCGATGAAGAATCACTTGACCTGGCCCGAAGGATCTCGGAAACGCCTCACCTGGCTGTAGGCGTGCGCGGCATCGTCATATTCACATCATTCTGCATTCAGCGCTTAACCCAGGATTTCTCTCTATACAGGGAAGTGGTCTACAGAGAGCTACGTCATTATCTGAACGACATGGAATTTCAAGCGTCCTCTGATGAGTTTCAGAACGACGCGGCTCACTTTGCGGCATTGTGTAGCGCATGGGACGAGACGGGCTATCTTAACGCCACATGCCCAGGTGGGATCGATTTGATCGGCGACGAACTATTTCCTCATACACAGATTATCAAAATCGCCGAGAGAAACAGCACCTACCACAGCGCCGCACGCGAGGAGTTCCGAAATGTTTTCACACAGGGTTATCATGCCTACTGTACCAAATATCAGTCCCAGGTTCGCCTCACAGAGGAAGGAACCTTTGTCCAGAACCTCGTCGACTCCATCAGACGCATGCCACAATTCCAAGATCTTGTGTTCACTCGTGGACATGGTACTAGGCGCTGGACTGCGTCCTTAACGTATTGGGGAATGCTGTCAAGCTGTCGAAGAGCATTGCGGAACAGAAGCGCGCTGCTGAAGTTCATGTCTGAGCCTCAGGCCTGGGTCTGGGAAGTGGCATTAATGAACTTCCGGCTTGATTGGCCGCAACAACTCATTACTCAACTGCCAATTGCTCTCTCAGATGCAGGAATACGGCTGTTGCACCTTGACTTGGATCATTTGTCTATTCGACGTGATCCACCGCGACGCGCAAACGACACTGACGAGGATGGTACTGATGAGGATGGCGCTGACGAGGATGGCACCGACGACAACGGCGGTAATGAGGGTGTCACTGATGAGGAAGGCAGTGGTCGGCAAATCCTTGACCAAGCCAACCCTGAACAGGACCATGCTGCCGGGGATGTTCGTAGCGTGGATGGCCCCGATCACCACGTAACCGGCCAAAGCGATACCGAGCAGGATGACCCAAGCCACGACGAAGGTGATCCGGCTCGCAGCATTGAAAACTGCGTGGTATTTGCTGGGGATTCAGACCTCATGTGGCGGCAATTGGGCATTGCATTCCAGTCCTTGCAGTCTGTTCGTCTGGACATGAGCGGCACGCATTTTAGAGAAGCCCGGTTCACGTACGTTTTCCTTGAATGTTATGTCCAGGCAGCCATGTTAAGCAGAAACCTCCGTTGCTTTCACATGGAACCCTCGGGTATTGATATGCTCTGGCAACCAAGGGGGACTGGAATACCGCCCCTTTGCTTCGTGGAATGGCCTCTCCTGGAAAAGCTGTCTCTCGCAGAAGTGGAGGTGACTTCCGAACAGATGGAGCACGTTTGCAATACGCTAAGCAGAGATACCTTGAAGTCAGTGTCACTTGAGTGGGCCTTGCTGACGAGAGGAACATGGGCAAGCATAATCGACATGCTTCGCAACAAAACTCGAAAGCCGACGCTCAAGTCTTGGACACACTCGTCACGCCGCCGGGAATTGTTCCATCTTAGGATGTTGCTCACTGGAAATTCAAGCTCTGGCAGCGATACAGATGAGTCAAACTTGGAAATACCGATCTCTCTCAAGCTCTTTTCAGACGCGGAAGTAGGAGACGCTTTCCGGTCGAGGACAAGGGCTTTTACCGCGGAGGTACTAGCTGAGCTATATCTTGGCAGGGATCCGAGGGTACACGTGAATCCGCTGCTATACGCTACGCGCTTTGACTAGGAGCTCTTTGCGAGCTTCTTGATCTGTACGTAATATGGAAGGAGTCGCTGATAACGTCCGGTCTCCACGAGAACTGATGCACTCGGTATCATGTCCTATTTCGGTTTGCACATGCCGGGGCATACTAAAGTCAGCTGCTATCACGCGAACCGGACGTTCATGTGCCAAGGTACGCGGAGCGCTTCAGAAGGCTGAGAGAACGGGGTTGACAGAGACGGCCGAGATTGAGAGTGTGAAAAGGTGGCCCCTCGCCTAGCTATGGGCAGCCGCGACCTATATCCAGATGGGTTCAGCGTGGCAACAATACACCACAAGATAGTTATGCCAGCAGTCACAACCGCAAGTCTTGTACCCTCTAGCGCTGCAGTGCTGCTAGATGCTGCAGTGGACGTCATTGTGGCATATATGCCAGTCTCACCACCCGCCATGGATCACGAGCCGTCTAGCACCGGTTCCAACTTCCCACACCCTTCGATTCCGCAATTCTTCCAGCAAAACCCCTTTATGCAGCCTGGCCTTGTTGCCGAGCCAGCGATCGCGCTTAAAACACCGTTCGGCATTTTTGTTATTGATCGCTTCCCGTCAGTGAGCAAAACCCGCTACATCCGCTGTTGAGCACCGACAATCAATGGTACCTTGGTCCTCAAGGATACACAGGGGGATAAGCATAAAGATATTTTCAAGGCGGTCAATTCCTCACGATAAATGGGAAGCAAACCAAACGGAAGCGAGATGTATCCCCAAGAAGTGTGTCTTGCAGTCCCCCGGCTGAAGCGGTTCTAAACGAGGTATACGGAAGGCGGGGCAGCCACCGTTCCGTGGAGTGGTAGCAAGTTGGCACATGCAGCGTCAGACACAACTCGTGGAGGACTCCTAGTAGCAATTTAGGCAGCAACCGAGAACAGTTCATCAACCCATCAAGGTGATTTCTTCCTTCCACTTCCCACATGTTAGCGTGCGGGCCAGTCCATATTAGCACCACGATGCCTGTCGTGAGTCTCTTTCTCATCCAGCTCCAACCTGGGGCTCGGCTATCCCAGCCTTCAGTCTTGGCTGGGCTCGCTGCAGTCCAAGACTTGTATTCCACCCCATCAGACACGACATATCCCTGTCAATGGCTCCAGCAAACAGAAGATCCCACAATCTTGTATCTGCTGTGCGAATGGTCGGACGCTGCTCTTTGTCGAGAAGCGTTCAGCCAAGCTTCCGCCTCGAGGCAACACTTGAATGAGCTACTGGATGGTTATATCCAATCCACGACCGCCCGGCTATTTATTATTAACGTGGCCGCTCGCGACATTCCGTTGGAGGCACCCATCATAAGCATAGGGTGCCACACCGTGTTAGCCGAGAACCAGGATGCACTTGAGCTTTTCTTCCAAAGCAATAGAAACGTACTGGATGACTATGTCACTTGCGAAAAGAGAGCTGTTGGTGGGTGGCGCCTTGAGGGAACCAGCTGTGTCCGAGAGGAATGGTGGCTGTTTGTCGGATGGGAGAGCTGGAGGCATCATTATGACTTTATAACGATTGAAGGGTTCAAACAGTACGGGAAGATTCTGAATCTGTTGAGCGGGTACGAAAGTCGGCATGCAAGAGTCTTGCACCTCTCTCCGGAAGACAAGGAGTAGTCTACGCTATAGTCGTAGCAATTCGCGCTCGCGGTATTTTTGTCTCATGTGCCCCCGACGAACAATGCGGACAGTTGCTCGTCATACCTTCCATGAATCTGGTTGCGTAATATGGCTCAGAAAGTATACGTATATGTTATGTCCCGCTTCATGCCCGTTGCCTGGCCCTTTGCCGATACTTCCCAGGCGTGGTCTAGAGCTGCCACAACATCCTCAGGTAAGGGACCGCTCTCAAGACTGCATACATTCTGGTCGAGCTGACGGACGCTTGAGACACCCAGAATAATCCCGTCGTTGCCGTCGTCTATTCGTAGATCCGAGTGATGAACTAGCCATCGCAGAGCCACATCTATCATGTTCAAATTGTGACGCTCAAGCGCGCGTCGCACGGTTGCGATGGACTCGAATATGTCGTCCCTGAGGTATCGAGACCGGTATGCGCTCCCTATCGCCGGAGAGGTGTTGGAGTACCGGCCGCTGTCCGGGACATGGTCTTTGTTCTTGACTTGGTCCGAGAGTAGGCCGCCGGCAATTGGGTTATAAGCCACAAAATCTAGGCCGTACCGTCTGCAGACGTTGAAAATATCCGGCTCAACGTTCCGCAAGAGGAAGTTGTATCTGCCCTGATACACTGTGGGACAGATCCAACCTCGTTGCTTGCAGATCATGACGACCTCTGCCACCTCGAATGCTGCGAAATTGCTCAGTCCGAACTTTTTGAACTTGCCAGACTTGTGTAGCTCGTCTATGGCCTTGAGTGTCTCGTCGAACGGCACGGTGCGATCTGGTCTGTGCAGGTATAGCACCTATCATGTTTGTCAGCAATAGTTTGGCGGATTTGGCGCATCAACTTACGTCAACTGTATCGGTGCCTAGCTCTTCGAGGCTTTTGTCGACCGAGGCAACTACCTTGACAGCTGCATTATCCCCTTTGGCGGAGGGAGAGTGCACTTTGGTGGCCAAGTGAAGGCCTCGTTTCCTCCAGTCTACGGCACGGGTGAAGGCCTCTTGCGTGCCTCCAACGTACACTCTCGCAGTGTCAACCTCGTGGTAGCCTTTCTTCTGAAACAAATCAAGCACATCCCCGAAAGTGTCGAGATCTGTTATCCGGGCGCCATCCGCTTCCGACGGCCCAAAATTCATTAGTCCAAGTATCAGCCGAAGCTGCGGTGTTCGTTCGGGGGCCGACATGCTAGAGATCATTGACAAATCCATGTGACGATATAACCCAGCGCGTGGCATTGCTCGCTCGCTATATAGTCACGCCGGTCCTGGCAGCCGGACGATATATCCGGATTTTGTGTGGCGAATGACTCCATGGGCTGAACCAACAAATCGCGTTCACTCCCGAGTATGTTGTATGACTTAACTCCGTTGCCGCCCGGTATGTCCAAGCGCTAACAGTCTCAATACGCCTCATCGCCGATCGCGACGGGCTGCACTGGCTTGTCAAGCCAGCAATGGAACGCCCCTGGACCAGTGCGGTCGGAGTTGAACCTTTTACAGACGGAGTTTATGGACGTCTGGCATCATTCGAGTGACTTTGCATTAGCGCTACGCGTCGTTCATTCCCCTTGGTATCGGATTCGTGCTACTCCATTCCCCGCATCGCTCTCGCGCATGGATTACGGCTCCCTTGCTCGGCTGACGTCCGCAGTGTGAGGTACAACTACTGCCGAGGGTGCTCAGCTAGCTGAACTTTGTCCTTCTGTCATTCGCGGTTGGTCTTACTTGGTATCGGGAGCGTTGGTAAGCCGTGGGCACGTAAATCGAGTGACAGCAGCACCCCGGCCAAGAGGTCAATGAAAAGACGGTAGACTCGCTTTTGAGCACGGAACCTGAAGCTACCACATTTGTCCCTTCTCCCCTGGCTGCCATACCTCCGTTGTGCGGTTCGGAAAAAACGTGACCACATCGCCAGGTCCCACGTTCAGTGCCTCCCCTGTTTTCTCGTCGACAACCAATCCTCCCAGCCGTGGAATCGCGGTTATTGGACTGCGATACTGAAGAGCGGACTGCTTGTGGGATATATAGTCCTCCATCTCGTCGTAGTGCGGAAGTAGCACCAATCCACGTAAGAGGTTCAAGCCTTTGGTGCTCTGCAAATCAAAACTGTTTAATGTCAAATCAGGATCCGCCAGCAAACAGTCTGCAAGTGCAATGTCTTTGCCAAAGATGCATGCGGCTTCTCCTGCTGCAAAGACTTTGCCTCCCTTGTCGACAAAGTTCCTCAAGGCCTTCAGCAAGTCGAGTCGATTGATCTGTCGAAGTAAAACGAAAGGATTGCCACCGCTTATGAAGATGACATCTGAATTCAAAAGGCCAAAATTGTTGCTCTCGGAGCCGAGTGTGACTGTCGGAAAGTGGCCATGAGCATGAAGTCTGTTGCGGACTTCCTCAACTTCCCCGGGCCAGAACTTTGTTGCCTTTGCTAGACAGCAAACTGAAACTCGTTGACTGGATTGGAAACACTTGTCCCACAGAACAGGGCTTTCGCAATCAGTGTCAGGTAGGTTGCCACCAAGGTAAATCATTATAGAAGAGTATCGATTGTCGACTTTCGTGGACAAGAACATCACCCGTCTTTATAAACCCCCAGGAGGTGGCTCAGCTTTCTATGAAGCTATCGGCCACATGTTACGCCGGCTGACGGAATGACTGCCCAGGATTCTGCCTTGCCTGCTACCTGAAGACCAGAGCGACGACAATTGGATCAACCCATGGTTGATGGAACGCAAGACTCACCACCACGCTGAGTGAAAGGATGGGTAGCTGCATCAGTTGTTCAAAACCCGAGTCTCGGAGGCGGTACGCGGTCCGGCGGGGCAATACGCATCGAGCACTACCAGAATTGATGTCACAGGCAGATTCGGCCCGGTTCAAGCTACGATGAAGCCAACAACTACTAGGGATGAGCACTTCCTCGCTAACAACGAGTTTCATGACTCTTACACGGGTTCAATTAAGTAGCCGTGACCGTTTTGCAGGCGCACCTAGTCCATATCATACCTGTAGCGGTGGGGCAACACCATTGCTGGCGTTGTTTGGACTGAGACTTGAGGTGCCTACGCACTATTCCTGCCCACCATGCTTTTCGACGAGGTACGAGGAATACGTTTCCTGCCAAGGCTCGGTCCAACTCTTGGACTCGTCCACAACGGCGAGGCGTGTCTCCTTTGGCAACGCCCGCATGACGGAATCTGTCGTCGCCAGCACGTCCTCCGCGCCGCGTAGACCGCAGTACCGCTTCAACGCCTGCGACATGACAACCGTGGAGATGGACACTGGCGACGCCTCCATCACTTGGAGGAATATGTCGACCGTCGTCGCCCGCTTGCAGACTGAGCTTCTGAATGCCGCAAGTACCAGGTCGCTAAGCTGTTTTTCGAGGGTGGTCGACTCGCTGCCGTCGCAGGACGTAGTAGCCGAGTCCTCGTTGCTGCCTGCCTGTGGCGCTATCCGCGGTAGTATCGCCGCGGCGAGCTCAAAGTCCCACCACCCGGGCGTTGCGTACGGTTCCGAGGGCGGCTTGATGAGACGGTCGAGCGTCTCAAGCTTATCCGCGTTCTCGACCGCAGCGCCGCCAGCTACCAGCAGCCGCACAAACTCGGGTTTTCTGTTGCGCAGAGCGGCGCGCAACGGGGTAGCGAGATGGTGATTCTCGGCTCGCGCGTTGGGATCGAAACCCATCTCTAGGAGTCGGCGGCCAATCTCAACGCATCCGCACCAGGCTGCCAAGTGCAGACATGTCCTGCCATCGTCAAGCGTAGCGCGCACGTCGGCTCCCGCGGAGAGCAGCGCCTCGAACGCAGAAATGTTGCCTTTGTCTGCGCTCCTCTGCAGCGGCGACATCTTGGGGGGTGGGGGGCCCCAAGATCCGAACATCCCACCCGAGTCCTGAGAGGCTGAACCAATGTCGGCGCCGTGTTTGACAAGTATCTCAATTGTCTTTCCAGCCTGGGTGCATTTCGCGTTAGACGCATGATGGACGAGTGTCCAATTCTCGGAGGGAAACCCGTCACTGCTCACGCAGCAGTTGGCATCGAAACTCTGCTCCAAGATAAAGTCGAGAACATCATGGCCATCGTTTATGGCGGCGTGCATGGCCGCGTTGCCAAGCAAAGCCTCTTCGGTGACGGGAAAGAGAATCCTGGCCGTGGCCAAGCAGTTCTCTCTTGCTGCCCTCGCCAGCGCAGAGTTGAAATGATGGCCAGCTCTTCTGTCATACACCGAATGATTGGCGTCAAACCCAAAGTCAAGTAGCAGTTGAACCACCTCGCAATGGTCTTTTCCAGCAGCCAGCTGCAATATCTCCGCCGTGTTTGGTCCGGCGCTCTGTGACGACTGGAGTGGATAGCGATCATGGACGGGTCTGTTT